CCTTCATGCAGCCAGTCCAAGATGATGTACGAGATCCAGCTGCAAAAGACATTACGCATGCAGCCAAAGCAAGAAGCAACCTTGACGCAGCCATTCCAATGCGATCTGCGGAGACTGAGTTGCAAAACACAAGAGAACTACGCGCAATGGCATCGGAAATTGTAGCTCCAAAACCGGATCTCGACGCCAGAGCGAAAAAAAAGACGATTTTGAAGCACTTTTTAAAAGGATTTTTAGAAGGAAAATCGCTAGCGCCAAAATGGAGAAAATCTGCTGACAAATCACTGTCGCAGCCTTCATGCAGCCACTCCAATACGATTTACGAGATCCAGCTGCAAAAGACAATAGTATTACGAATGCAACCACAGCACGAAGCAACCTTGACGCAGCCATTACAATGCGATCTGCAGAGACTGAGTTGCAAAACACAATAGAACTACGCGCAACGGCGTCGGAAATTGTAGCTCCAAAACCGGATCTCGACGCCAGAGCGAAAAAAAGACGATTTTGAAGCACTTTTTAAAAGGATTTTTAGAAGGAAAATCATTAGCGCCAAAGTGGAGAAAATCTGCTGACAAATCACTGTGGCAGCCTTCATGCAGCCACTCCAATACGATTTACGAAGTCCAGCTGCAAAAGACAATAGTATTACGAATGCAGCCACAGCACGAAGCAACCTTGACGCAGCCATTACAATGCGATCTGCAGAGACTGAGTTGCAAAACACAATAGAACTACGTGCAACGGCGTCGGAAATTGTAGCTCCAAAACCGGATCTCGACGCCAGAGCGAAAAAAATACGATTTTGAAGCACTTTTTAAAAGGATTTTTAGAAGGAAAATCATTAGCGCCAAAATGGAGAAAATCTGCTAACAAATCCATGTCGCAGCCTTCATGCAGCCACTCCAATACGATTTACGAGATCCAGCTGCAAAAGACAATAGTATTACCAATGCAGCCACAGCACGAAGCAACCTTGACGCAGCCATTACAATGCGATCTGCAGAGACGGAGTTGCAAAACACAATAGAACTACGCGCATCGAACGGCGTCGGAAATTGTAGCTCCAAAACCGAATCTCGACGCCAGAGCGAAAAAAAAGACGATTTTGAAACACTTTTTAAAAGTATTTTTAGAAAGAAAATCACTAGCGCCAAAATGGAGAAAATCTTCTGACAAATCACTGTCGCAGCCTTCATGCAGCCACTCCAATACGATTTACGAAGTCGAGCTGCAAAAGACAATCGTATTACGAATGCAGCCACAGCACGAAGCAACCTTGACGCAGCCATTACAATGCGATCTGCAGAGACTGAGTTGCAAAACACAATAGAACTACGCACAACGGCGTCGGAAATTGTAGCTCCAAAACCGGGATCTCGACGCCAGAGCGAAAAAAAGACGATTTTGAAGCACTTTTTAAAAGAATTTTTTAGGAGAAGGGAGAGGGTGAGGATGAAGAGGTTGAATCTTCCGATACTTAGATTCTTGTTCCTTCCCCCTCCCTCTCTCCCCACCATGGAGAAAATCTGCTGACAAATCCCTGTCGCAGCCTTCATGCAGCCACTCCAATACGATTTACGAAGTCCAGCTGCAAAAGACAATAGTATTACCAATGCAGCCACAGCACGAAGGAACCTTGACGCAACCATTTACAGGGAGGGAACGATCCTAGACTTGCAAATCACAATGGAATTCCATCAGCAACTCATCCACCAGCACCACTTGCAATCCCATCTACATTGCGGGAACGATCCTACAGTTGCAAATCACAATGGAGTTCTGTCGACCACAAATGCACGAAACACAGGTGACGCCCCATTTACAATGCGGAACCGATCCGAGAATGATCCGAGCATATCCGACCATGATCCGACCACACACGAGACCGTCTCGCAACCGTCGCACCGCAGAGGTAGATCATCGAAGTTCGGGGACGGACTTTGTATGGAAAAACATAGGCTTTCGTGCATCTGCTATCTCTCAAAAACGCATTTCGTGCGAGACTTCCTCCAAAACTCCATCGGCAACTCCTCCACTTGCACCACTTGCAATCCCATTTACAGTGAGGGAACGATCCTAGAGTTGCAAATCACAATGGAATTCCATCAGAAACTCATCCACCAGCACCACTTGCAACCCCATTTACAATGCGGGAACGATCCTACAGTTACAAATCACAATGGAATTCTGTCGACCACACATGCACGAAAAACAGTTGAAACCCCATTTACAATGCGGAACCGATCCGAGACCGATCCGAGAATATCCGAGAATGATCCGACCACACACGAGACCGTCTCGCACCCGTCGCACCGCAGAGGTAGATCATCGACGTTCGGGGACGGACTTTGTATGGAAAAACATAGGGTTTCCTGCATCTGCTATCTCTCAAAAACGCATTTCGTGCGAGACTTCCTCCAAAACTCCATCGGCAACTCCTCCACCAGCACCACTTGCAATCCCATTTACAGTGAGGGAACGATCCTAGAGTTGCAAATCACAATGGAATTCCATCGGCAACTCATCCACCAGCACCACTTGCAACCCCATTTACAATGCGGGAACGATCCTACAGTTGCAAATCACAATGGAATTCTGTCGACCACACGTGCACGAAAAACAATTGAAACCCCATTTACAATGCGGAACCGATCCGACCATGATCCGCCCATGATCCGACCACACACGAGACCGTCTCGCACCCGTCGCACCGCAGAGGTAGATCATCGAGGTTCGGGGACGCACTTTGTATGGAAAAACATAGGGTTTCGTGCATCTGCTATCTCTCAAAAACGCATTTCGTGCGAGACTTCCTTCAAAACTCCATCGGCAACTCATCCACCAGCACCACTTGCAATCCCATTTACAGTGAGGGAACGATCCTAGAGTTGCAAATCACAATGGAATTCCATCAGCAACTCATCCACCAGCACCACTTGCAACCCCATTTACAATGCGGGAACGATCCTACAGTTGCAAATCACAATGGAATTCTGTCGACCACACATGCACGAAAAACAGTTGAAACCCCATTTACAATGCGGAACCGATCCGAGAATGATCCGAGCATGATCCGAGCATGATCCGACCACACACGAGACCGTCTCGCACCCGTCGCACCGCAGAGGTAGATCATCGAGGTTCGGGGACGCACTTTGTATGGAAAAACATAGGGTTTCGTGCATCTGCTATCTCTCAAAAACGCATTTCGTGCGAGACTTCCTTCAAAACTCCATCGGCAACTCATCCACCAGCACCACTTGCAATCCCATTTGCATTGCGGGAACAATCAATGCCCTAACTAACTCTTTCTGTGACTAACCCTTTCCCTGACGAACGCTTTCTTTGCTAACTCTTTCTTTGACTACCTCATATATCCTGACTAACTCTTTCTTTGACTACCTCATATATCCTGACTAACTCTTTCTTTGACTACCTTTTTCCCTGACTAACTGTTTCTTTGACTAACTCTTTCCTTGACTAACTCTTTCTTTGACTACCTCATATATCCTGACTAACTCTTTCTTTGACTACCTTTTTCCCTGACTAACTGTTTCTTTGACTAACTCTTTCCCTGACTCTTTCTTTAACTCTTTCTTTGACTAACTCTTTCTTTGACGAACTCTTTCTTTGACTAACTTTTTCCCTGACTAACTGTTTCTTTGACTAACTCTTTCCCTGACTAACTCTTTCTTTGACTAACTCTTTCCCTGGCTAACTGTTCTTTGACTAACTCTTTCTTTGACTAACTCTTTCTTTGACTAACTCTTTCCCTGACTAACTGTTTCTTTGACTAACTCTTTCCCTGACTAACTGTTTCTTTGACTAACTCTTTCTTTGACTAACTCTTTCCCTGACTAAATGTTTCTTTGACTAACTCTTTCTTTGACTAACTCTTTCTTTGACTAACTCTTTCTTTGACATTCTAAAAGTCCGTAACACGGAAGTTTCTCCCACTAAACTTCCTTTGATTAACAATGTGGAAAAGGTACTCTTGATGCTAAACACAACCTAAACGCAAGATTTATTAACAATATGGAAAAGGTACCCTTGATGCTAAACACAACCTAAACGCAAGATTTATTAACAAAAACTATTCCAAAGACCAAATCCAACAAAACATTGCAATTCCTATGCGTTTTACTAAAAAGGCACGACTTTTCAAATCAAGTGCTCCCCAGCTATTTACGATGATTTCCAAAATTTTAGGCACGACTTTAGCATTCCACTGTATAGATCATCAGCTGTATAATCAATATTCAACCGCCCGTCATACTTCACAGAACACGATAAACACAACTAATTATATGTCATCAGTAGTAACATCTACAATAGACCGCAAGTCATACTTTTATGTTTACATACTTCACAGAACATAGTAAACACAATAATATTTCATAATATTTCATCAACAGTAACATCAATAATAAACCGTAACTCATACTTCACAAAACATAGTAAAAAACAACAATATGTCATCAGCAGGAATAACACTAAACTCATTGAATTGCCATGGTGAAAATTTTCGTTGGCCATGTTCTTTCACTTTAAATTGCTTCTAAAAGGGACAGAACAATATTTATTTCTAACCGACCTGCCCCCCCAAGAAACATATCATTGCCGCTGTTTGCTGATTCTGCTATTTTTTTCAAACAAAAGTAAGGGATTATTATTTCTGTTGATGCACTATAAATAAAACTGCTTTGCCCAGGAAAAAAACACCCAGAAGTTGAGAGGCGGTTTGGGATACCAAGGATGACAGAACAATTGGATAGCTTGATACTAAGGAGTCCTCAGTATCCGAAGCGTAAGTCTACTTGAAGTAAAGGATCTGATAAAAGATCCATATTGGTCACTAGATTGGGGCGAAAAGAACAGTAATTGTTTGATGATACCGTTGCTTTTTCATTTAGCAAATACCCTCTGGTTATTTAACATAGCCATGGAACATGGCCCATGATAGATGATTTTCCCATTAAAACCTCCATTTATAAGGGATTTTCCATGGACTTTCACCATCTCAAAAAGCTCCACCATCCACGGGTCCAACCGGGACCTTGCAGCAGTTCCAGTTCAGTCCCATCCACGTGCATCTTGAGAACCCAGCTAGCACCTGCAAGGAGCTATGGCGCCTCCTTAAACTGATGGCGAATCCGCTAACATGGCGAGCTATGCATCATGCTGTTGCTGGTTTATACATCATTTATACCACCCATTGATGGTAACCTTGGGAATGGTCGGAGAGACTGAGATCCCCCAGCAAGTCGGGGAAACGATGTTCTCTGGGAATGGAAAACGAATGTTCCTCCATCTTTAATATATATATATAATACAATATACTATATCATTATTATAGATATATATATATATACATATAATATATGTATAATATAGAGCAAAACTGCGAACTAAATGCATTTACGAACGAAATGAACATTTACACGGAATATCTTCATCATTGAAGACGTGGAGCCTTTGCCAAAGTGCCAGCTCCACATTGATTTTTGCGGGGCTTTAATTCTGGAACGCTTCCAAAAAGTGAAAATGGGTCAAGATATTGAATGTACCCCAGCAAACTTGTGGGCATCTTTGTTTTCATCCCAAGTTTATAACCCAACTTTGTGGGTCCCATAGATCTGTAACCCATAAATATCAGAGATCATATCCCCAATTATATATATATACAACTATATACGTATGTTATATCCCCAAACTTCTCCAGGATTATTTTTGGTCATTTAATCTTCTATGCTTCTTATTGAATTCCAGCAGTTTTCATCACTATGGCCTCCCAGGTCGCTCATCAGCAAGGCATCCAAGGAATTAGGACCTTCCGGGCGGACAAGCACTTCGCTGATCTGCATCTCCTTCCAGTGGATGACTTCGGACAATTCCGATGGAGATGGGGTTGACATTTTGATCATTGTGTCCCCAAAAAAGCAAAGCTGGGGAGAATGGATAGAGCAAACATGGTAAGGATGAGGTTTCTGGACTATCCACAGTGCCAACGCCATAGTGTAACTATCCGCTGAGGATTTTTCACGAGTTTCTGCATGATCTGGATCTACAATCTAGAATCTAGTTCCCGTACCCCGGGTAGACACAAAAATGCATAGAACTTCACCGGGAAACAACACATACATAATCATACACAATCACATACACATACACATGTGTATATATATATATGTATCTATATTATATTATTATATATATATATATACAAATTATATATAATTATATACACATTCATATATAGCGTCACTTTTCTTACAGAAAAGACATTGTGATTTTTCTCGCTCTCAGACCTTCCGGAAACCATTCAGCTCAGCAGATGTGGTGGCCAATCTCGCCCACAACATATTGGACCTGGGGCAGACGTGGGGCAACCCCTGCTATGTGATGGCCATGTTGCTTTCTAAATCCCATGAATACATATGAATACTATAGTTCTAAGATGTTCTAAGTATCATGAACCATGGTGAAATTGGAGCTATGTTCGCCTATTTCATGCTATTTCGTTTGGGGGCCCACTTTGTGTGTGTTTGTTCAATGTTTGGATATATGATTATACATCATATTCTATGATACAAGCATATGCTTCATGGTTTTTGGCCATGTGTAAATTGCTTGGCCGTCTCAGTCTCCATCCCAGAAATGCTAGTCAGATCCTACTCATGGGGAATCATTGGAATCGAAATGGAACATCAGGCTGTAATGGATGAACAAAAACAGGCAGTAGCTATTTTAAATGGATTGGTTTAAGGGAAAATCTATAGGAAACCATGGTTTTTACCATCAAATATAGGTTTTTATCATCCAATTGTGATATTTGAATCTCTGTGCAAGTCTGGTGTTTTTTGGAACATGTCAGTAACTCGAGACTGACAAAAATACCCCAAACACATGGTGTTTAAACACCATGTAATCATGAGGTAAAAAAAAAAACAAAAAAAAACACCTCATTTTTATGGGTACTTGGAGGGTCTATGGCTTCACTATGGCTTCACAAAAATTGCTTGGCACCTAGGCCGCCCCCCAGATTGCCCCACTGATTGCCCCAGGGATACTGAGCTGCTGACTCGAAGGCTCGACACAGACCCAAAGGCCTCGTCCGTTTTAAGGTCCAAAGGCAACAGTCACCCAGCATGCTCCCAACATCCACGACCTGAAAATGGGCTCCAGATGCTATATAGGGGGTAAGAAAACTTGAATAATACATATATATATATATATTATGATATAATATATATATATATATTATAATATAATATATATATATATGTATTACATATTTATATATATATATACGATGGACCCTCTGTTTGTACCTAAAAATGCTGTTTACCCATGTTTACCCATGTTTACCCCAAAGTACCTATGTACCTTCGTATCTTTATGTCGGGGTATTTGTAGACCAACAGACGAGTACAATTGGAACTGATTCGGCAGGAAAAATATGGATGAACTACCAGAAACCCATGCTTTCTTTCAATTTCTTTCATGTGTTCTAGATATGCCTGCAAGTGCCAAAAAAAGTGAAAGTCAGCTGGAGCATGCTGTAGGAATCAATAATAAGCATCCCCAGTAGAGAAGGAAAAACAAACGACACCCTAGCATAGGAATGTGTGTTTGATGGCACATGGAATGTTCATTGACATTTCGTAAGAATCTCAGGCTTACGAGGCTTATGAGCTCAATGATCTTCTGCGGTCAGTACACCCTGTGCGAACTAAACTATTCTGGAGGAATTGTGATCACCAAACTGAAATAGAAGCGTTTTTGGAAGCTTACCCCAAGCACAAATTCCAGAGTAACTAGCTTCATCACCAACAACTTCCAGTTGTCAAGTGGTGCCCCATGTTAAACACATGACTATAGCTACTGAATATGGGGGTCATTTTTTGAACAACATGTCATGAATAGGACGGATAGGATGGCTTCACAGAAATGGATAGCCTGGTCATTTCTGGTTTCATATGACCATGTCTTGTACTGTACAGTACCAGGCTGCTTTAATTTGTCCCAACGTCGCGACCATGGCTTGGAGGAATCATGTCCAGAAAAATCTCCCACATCACCGGCCTTAGGGAAAAAAACAATTCGGTTTCGCGGATCTTTTTCCAAAAGTTTTTTCCTCCTGGAAATGGTAGTAAACATGTGTTTCCCGGATTTGAAGGAAATGGTATCCCAGATCTTTTTGGATGGTAATAACATATAAACCCATAGGTTTCCCGCACCATTCCTTTGAATCAACCCCAGTGAACATGGGACATAGAAATACCGAAATGGTCACATGTCATATCCAAAGCACACCAACCATAGAAAAAAAAACAAATCTACAATGTCTCAAATCTAGCATGGCACTAATAGAAATATCATCAAACATATCTCCAAACTCCTCCAACATCACAGTTATTAGAGACGTTTTTGCATACCAACCACACCCAGGTGCATTGATCGGCCCGGGAAGGAACTCTTTCAGGACGTCCCAGGCGTTCTGCATGACGTTCGCTTCACTGAACATTTGGGGTCTCACAAATTGTTTAATCCGGCGCGGTTAAAATAAATCCTAACTCGACATTACCCCAAAAATCAGTGGTGTTTGGTTGGTTAGTACATGTTAACTATTGAGATCAAAATAATAGAGAACTAAAGTTACTAAAGTATCTAACCAAGGTCGACTCAGAAGAATGGTAAGTTATGGTAAGTGGATGTTCTATCAGATTGGTGGCTACTACAAGTTGGCCTTGAAAGTGGCTAGAACATGGTAGGAGGTCATAACGCATTCTTTTTTATATGAATGATATGTGGGGGTTTCCATAAACGGGTGATCCCCAATAGCTGGATGGTTTTGTTTGATTTAAAAAAAACTATTAAAATGCATGATTTCGGTGTACCCCCGTGACTTTGGAAACCTCCATGTATTCTTTGGTCAACAGTGGAAAGTGGTTTGGTGGTCTCTGCTGTTGAATAGCAATCCGATTCATTCATATTCATTCGACCTCACCTCACGCAAAGACCATTGAGTTCAATTGTTGCACGAGGATCAAGAGCAATTGGCTGGAACAGATTGGGCCCTCGCTTTTCTGCGCTTGGCGTTGGTGAAACTTTACTTTGTACACGTCTGAATTCTCCAGTCATTCAATGATGAAGAACTTCAGTAGAATTGGAAGTTTATTTTCAATTTTCAGCAAATGTCCAACGAAAAACAGTATCAACTTGAACCATCTTGAACCATTTTGAACCTCATTTTTCAGGTCCCGTGTTTTTCAACCCCCAGAACTCCCAACTCACTCCGAACTCAGCAGAAAAAGCGGCCAAGCCTTGACGCCAAGACTAGCCTCTAAGCGCCTTGTGGGGATCCATTGAATCCAGTGTGGTCCAATAAGACCCTCCAGGATGAGCTGTCATGATGTAGAAAACCTGGAGATCGAATAAAAACATATCATAAACCCATCCAAAAAAAAGGCGGTTGGTGGTTTCAAAGCTACCCCTCTGAAAAATGATGGGTGAAAGTCAGTTGGGATTTATCACATTCCCATGATATGGAAAAATAAAAAATATTCCAAACCAACCAGAAAGGTGGTGGTTTACTCCACAGTGGTCAATTTTTTAGTAAAACATGTGTGAAACATATCGTTGAGGCTAGTGGGATGGTTTTTCATGAGTACATCACGGTACATCCAAAAAAGGTCAAACCCAAAGTCAAAAAGTGGCCCTGCGGAACCATGACTCTCTGGAAAACAGAATTTCAATGGTCTCAACTGTTGTGGTTGATATAGTTGATATCATCTTCTGTCGATTGGGAAAATACCTATGTCAAAGAACAAACCATGACGAATCATCAAGTTGAGAGTAGGAAAACAAAGACGTATCAATTAATGTTAACCACGGAGCAATATAGAATATATAGTATAAACAAATTGTTAGGACTATAGTGATTAAACCTTATCCAGTCCAGTTGTATAAACCCTAGTTGATTGAGAATAGGGTACTGCTGTCATTTGCTACTAGAATGGTGGCCACCAATGATAAACAGCCCAGGGGCGAACTCAAATCCGGGTTGACATTAGGGGTCACTCCCGCAAAAGTGGTGACTAAGTATCAAGATCGGCTGCCACATGCTGACACTCTTTCTGACCCTAAAACTGATTCATCCGGAGTTGAGTGGTTAGTAGCTGCAACCTATCCCCAATACTACTTGGGATTTGAGGGGAATTGATAGTTTTAACAACACAGGGTTAGAAATTATACAACTAGACCATCCAAGTACTCATCAAAATACTGTTTTACCCTATAATTTTAGTAGTTCTCCCATCTTTTTGGGGTCTGAAAGAGTACTCTTTGCAGGCTTCAGGTTACATCAAGTTACATCAAGTTACATCAATCCCAATAGAATCCCCATGGTTCCCTGGCGAATTTGGTGCTCACTGGTGCTCACCGTGGCTTCTTGTGGAACACTTTGGCAATCTCACTACGGTCTTCGGAGGAAAAGACCCAGGAGACCAACTCGTTGAAGCTGATGCAACGGTCGCAGTTCCTGAAGAAGTAAGTAAGTAAGTAAAAGAAAAGGCACGGACTGGTTGGTATACCAATGGGAAAAACCTCGAAAAACCATGAAAAACCATCGAGAAAAAAAAATAGTTGTAAATTTAAAACCATGGAACAAACACTGGAACATCATAAACAATCGGAGAAAAAAACATGGGAAACCAGAGATAAACACATAGGGAAAACATGGGAAAACATGGGAAAGCCATAAATCTGACTTTCTGACCATGACCATTCCGGTTTTGTTGCGGTAGTTCTGCATGCTTTTCCTGAAACCAATGCAGATATTGATCTATCATTTTCAGCTTGAAACCGTCCGTTTTCAGATAAACAACAAAACTGTGGCCATGCAGAACAACACGGAGACAAGGAGATAAGGAGACAGGGGCTGTCATGGTGAGAATTTCCAATCCGAACTACCAACCCCCAAGATATAATTTGCTCCAAGGTAGGTATTGGATATGATATAACATGATATAACCATGATACAACCTGTGTTGGACGAAATTTCAGAGAATCGCTGTACGGAGGGGAGAACAAAAATATCACGTGTCAAGGGATGACCATGGATATATCATGATATATAGAGAAATTGAGGATGTAAACAACACACACACCTGGGAAATATGAGCTCCAAGCTCCGACGGGCGGCTCTGGGCGATGGCTCCGACATCCCTAGAAAAAAACATGGCCCGTGATGCTGTTGTCTTTTTTTGTATCATCTCCCAAACTCATGATGGTTTCGGGAGTGTCTCTGATTCTTTAGTAAATAGCTTGTTGCTGACAATCATCATCAGCCAAGGGTCTTGTCCACTTTCTTGAAGATGGCTTCGATCTCGCGGTCCTTCATACTAGGCTTCCCAGCCTTCAGTAGGACCTTCACTTCGCTGATGTCCAGTTTGCCATCGGAATTCAAGTCAAATTCCTGCGGAATCGCACTGGAGGACGAGGAAGAGAGCTGGGCTTAAGGACTAGAAACATGCCGCGCCATTCGGCCTCCAAACCCAGAAGCTTTCAGCATGCACTTAAATACACCTTTCAAGGTTCAGCTTTGAGCAGCCATGTTTCAAGCCTCCATGTTTTGCAATCGACAATCTTTGTGCGATTCATGTAAATTTAGATCAAGATCAAACATTCTATCAATCTATCAATCTATCTATCTATCCATCTATCCATCCATCCATCCATCTATCTATCTATTGGCTTCTCTACATTTATGACGTTGAAACCGGCAAAAATTCTCCCATTCGGTCGCCTCGAAGCTTCGTCTCAACTGATCTGTACTGGGCTTGCTGAGCGCTGCCGCCAGCCGTTCCCGCCGCTTGCGCAACGCCAGGACCTCGGGTGTTTCGAAGCTGTCGTCCTTGGACGAGTCCTCGCTTGGGGCTTCGGCACGGAGCTGGTGCGTGTCCTTTTCCTGAGGCCAAGACCGCATGGCGGCCATGGGAAATCCCGTGAAAATGAAGGCTTTTTGATGGGAAAAAAAATGGAAAAAACCGGGGACAATCATGGAAATAATGGGAACAATCATCAATAGATGGAGAATTTTATGGAGTCTGTCTGAGAATGGTGGCATTCCCCCAAATAGCCAGAGACGATATAAATCACTATAGATTTGATGGGATATCCAATTTTGAGACAACCCCAAATGAGCGAGGCTTTGAAGTGAACAAGATTCCCCTATAGATTCACTAGGTTTGGGACAATTTTGGTGGGACTCTGTTGGGAAATTGACACCAAAACTACACCAGCCTAGTAGACCCTGTAGATTTTCGGATGCCACGGATTTCTGTGATTTTCCACTGAAAATCCAAAAACATCAAAAACACGCCTGGAACTATAGAGCATTCATTCCCTACCCTTTCTTTGATTTTTGGGATGTTTTCTGCATAACTTTGGCCCAAACACCAGCTATAATTCGGATTGTAATGCTGTATAACAATAGTTATACAGGAGTTATTAAAATCCAATTTATAACTGTTGTTTGGGCCATACCAGTGGGGTTGAGACCAAAATCGATCCCAGCAGCCAGCTTTGTGTGCTCTCCAAACCACCCGAGGACCGGCTCCGGCTTCACTTCTTCGCTATAGTCCATGATCCCCGGAAAGCCAGCCATGCTGGGAGTTTTTTGTTTCCCAGGGAGCAGCAAAAACGAGTTGCAGTTCTTGTGAAATGACTCAGGTAGATATCTGGGCAAATTACAATAATTCACTAACCTGAAATAAGGCCATGTTGGGATGATTCCTCTTATTAACATGATTGCAGTGAGGTCGCAGTGAGGTCGTTATAATTTCCCCAGATATCTGGATGACGTAAAATAATTCACCAACCTGAAGATAGTTACCCCTATATAAACTATTCCAGCGACGTCGGAGGGTTCTGGCAAGTATAGCTTGTACGTATCTACAATATAGCATTATAAACTCAAGTCTTTTGGTCTTGAATATCCCAAAAAACATCACCATTTTTAATCATTTTTAAACCATGGTTTGCAACCATCAAAAATCAGAAAAAATCACCATCAAAACATCATGTCGTCAGTAAATCACCAGTTGATAAAAAAGTGCTCACAGGTCATGGCTGGATCCAGAGAAGTCGGCCAGTTCCGTGGAGCTTTTGAGTGGAAAACTGGAGCCAGGGAGATTGTCGTTCAGAATTTCCAATAGCAAATCTGAAAGATATGCAGAGCCCAGAAATCGAATCCAGATTTTCTTTGGAAGGAAGGAAGCCCGCGATATCCAGATCCAACTGAAGTGATTTTCCATCTTGAAAAGCATCGCCCAAAGCGACAAAGCAACAAGCCTGGAAGATGAGATTACAATGCGGTCGACGCGTGGAACGAATGTTGTCTCCAACGAATCCTCAACTCATGCAGGATTCGATACTGCAGAAACTGTCCATCATCTGGTTGGTGGTATGTTGGTGGTATACCTACCTCTCTGAAAAATATGGAAGTCAGTTGGTATTATGACATTCCCATAATATATATGGAAAGTCCATCCAAATTCCATGGTTCCAGTCACCACCAACCAGTCATGTTTGGATATGAGTAGGTTGCAGTGTTCAAAAACCTCTATCATTCCATGGTAACAGCAGAGATTGCCATACGGATCATCCCCATGTCAGGTCGCAATGTTAAGCTATGTGGGCAAAACAGGTTGCCATTTTTACCACCCAGTGGACTGGGAATGGTAAGTAACCAATATACCACCTTAATCAAAATGCTGATGACTGGGGGATGGTAAACATGGTAAACGTGGCATTGTTTACCCACATGAGTCACCGGCAGATGAACACTGAATGGAACAATGGAACTTGAGGATGACAAAACCACGGATTCCTGGTTCCTACAAGGCTGTGTGTAAAATACGGTGATCTTTCGGTGATCAAATGTGGCTTGGGAAAGGAGTGAAAAGTCATCCAGGCCATGTTTGATTGTCAGAGGGTACACATGATTGTTTTCATATGTTTTCATCCTCCTTTTGGGGTTGTTCTTGAAATCTTCTTGTGGCCCCTGGTGAAACAGCCACCGGCAGAATTATAGAACAGACATGACTTGACAAAGAAATTAGTTATAGAACAGGCCAAAGTTTGGAACACTAACTTGAAAATGAGGATGACAAGAGTATCGGTCTATTTAGCATACTTATTTTGCCAGCCACATTTAGTTCTATAATTTTCATGCGACGGGTTTCTATCCGTACTTTGTGTTTGTATCTCTAGGTCTAGGTTTTGTTGTAGATATTCCCGTCGTTGATGTGCTTCAGTCTAACATGGTCCAAGAACACCACCCAACACAATTGGTTGGTCAAAACAAACACAGAAACCTCACAACATAGTAATTTTCCCAAATTAGCCATGTTGCCATATGTTTCCATATTGCCAACATCTTCACGCAACTACTGGCTCTAAACATTAGTGGATGGTGATTCTTCACTGTGCAAGTCTCTCCACCAGAGGCTCTGTCCTGCCGATTTAATGGGATTGAATGGTATTTAGTACCAAAAATGGGGTTGAACCAAGAAGAAAGGGAATATACTGGGCATCTAATGGGAATATAACGGCAATTGAACCAACTTACACTGGTGAATGAGGTACTATATACTCATCCACGGGTAGCTAAGTTGGTTTATAAGCAGCATGAGTAGGCTTCATGGTAGATGTATCCATGATTCATATTGATTCATGGGGTTTATAAACCAACAAACGTCACTGGGGGGCACCACATTGTACCCCCATGCCTGGGTATACTCCATTTCTGAAGAAACTCATAGACGTTCTTTACGGGGTTTCCCTCTGGTAATTCAACATAGCTATGGAAAATAACCATTTTAATAGGTAAATTATCTATTTCTAATGTTCAATAGTTATGTGAAAAATTACCAGAAGGTAACCATCACCATCAAAAAACACGATGTTTGTTAAATCAGTTAATTTGTTGTGCCAGTTTCCTTAGTAAATCAGCTACCAAACAATGCCTGGAGAAAAAGCGGCATGGTTTTGTGACACGACATCCTCAGGACATCCGCATGACATCCCATTGATATTTGTGGGTCAAAACCAGGGCACCCTTAATGGATGGATTGTTATTCCCCAAATATAGCTGGTTCATGGATGGCTAATGAACGGTTAATGGATGGTGAATTTCCCCAACTATGAGAACATCATGACCATCATAAGTTTTTTTGAGAAACCACTTTTGGACGATGACGCCGACTCATGGCATCATCTGCTTCAAAGGGGCCGTAGGTTCCGGGTCTACGCCCCCGGGGAGCGACCAACTTTCCTGAGTTTCTAGTAGGTGGTGATGGAGAAAAATGGTGACATAGTTGTGCAAAAACATGGAACAACATCATCTGGTTGGTGGTTGAGCCTACCCCTCTGAAAAATATGAAAGTCAGTTGGGATTATTATTCCCAATATATGGAAAAATAAAATTCATGTGCCAAACCACCAACCAGTCATATTTAATGGGTAAATCACCTAGAAGCGGAGGTTTTAATTTCAAGAATTGTCTATAAATGGATGTGTTGATGGGACAATTATCTATAAATGGATGTGGGCCATAAATAGTAGTCTTAATGTCAAAATTATCTCACCGGCGGACATGTATAAAGTGCTATAGCCAAGTTACACTGTACCAGCCATCTAACATAGTGACATAATGATTGTCATAGTTGATTTGTTATGGCTAAATAATAATCATCTGTATATATATATATGTAAATGGGAACTTGTCCATATGGCTATGCAAAACCCTACCCCAAAAAATGGTTTGGATTCATTTTCATCCCGCTGAACAAGAATAGGTAGTGGTTTTGACCCACCACCATATAGCTATTAGATGATTAGATTAGATTAGCTATTAGAAGAATAGCTTTTAAATGGTTTTAAATATAGGTCTTATAAAACTACTATGTTTGATTAGATGATTAGAAGGTAATACTGGAAGCTCGGGAGAAGGTCAGCTATGCGAAGAGGTACACAGTCAGATGTCAGAAGTTCTTTTTCAGCCACGTGTGTTCATGTTTCGGTGATCTGGAGATCTTAGGAAATAGATGTTCTGTAGGCAATTTTGAAGATGAACTGCCTGAAGAATGCAGCTGTAAGAAATGCTAATAGCATGGACAAACTATGACCAAATAGCTACTGTATGACATGTGAGAAATAGCTTCGAACATTAATATCCTTGATCCCCAGAGTAGGAATCAAAACGTGTGATAGTCCCCTGCTGAACAGCTGATAATTGTCGATGCTATTAACCAATGTTATCAGCTATATCAACCACTAATGTTAATAGTATACCGTATACCAATCATTTAAATGTTAATCAACATTGAATGTCATTTGTTTTGACCCTTTGCCAAATAGAATCAATACTATATGATCTTCCAATGGGAAACACAGTGTGCTTCAACTCACAAAAACTGTGCTTGAATATGCTAAGATGTGCCAAACAGTAGCTGCTGCATCGGTTCACCCCATCTCGATGGTCCAAATCAGCAGCCCCAACCACCACCCGGGCCCCAAGTGCCTGTTGTCTCAGGAAGCGGCTTGAACCACCACCAGTGCTGATAAAGCCTTGATGGTAAGATGCGGACTTGCACCTCCGAAAAATCAAGTCCGTGGCTGGACGGGAAATTCCCGAACGAAATGAATGGATGAAATATATGGATGTCTCATTGGGAAAAACATCTATAAATAGGTGATGTTCCATGGCCATGTTTAATTATCGAAGGGTATGATTAGGTACTTGGATGTGCATCCAAGTAGTAAGTGACTAGTAAACATGTCACAATCCAGTTAGATTAGTAGGATATAGCCCAAGTATATATGGGCAAAGAGAACCACTTGCAAACTGGAATGCATACTCAAGTAGTGTATCTTTTTTTTTGCGGTGTCAAATGGTTTCAACCCATGCCTGAAGAGATTGAAGAAACATATAAGTCAGTTGGGATCATCATATCAAATATACCCTCTGGTAAACGTTTACATAACTATGGAAAATAACCATTTTTAATGGGAAAATCCACTATAAATGGTCATGTTCAATAGCTATGTTAAATTACCAGAGGGTAAAAGGTTTGAAGATTCAAATTGAATAAAAGAGACTTCAAACATCTTCAAACCATGAACGCACAAACCAGGCATATCATCCACCCCTGTTATCATATATCTGCTAACTCTCTATCATGCACAAATCCAAAACTATCTGATCCTGAATTTCTACAGCAAGGACCTATGAAGATTCTCGGAAAACAAACATGTAACATCTCAGTATTTACAGTAGAATCTAGAAAAATAAGCCAGAATTGGGAACGCATTCAATGAACCCTTGGATGATTTAGTATGTCCATCTCATGAATCAGTTCTCAAGGGCGTATACTCTGCAAATAGGGTAACGCCAAATCCACCGGCAATGAACTAATCATGTTCCAACATCTTCCGTAGACCCTCTGGTAAACTAACATAACTATGGAAAATCACCATGTTTAATGGGAAAATCAACTATAAATGACCATTTTCAATAGCTATGTTAGTCATTACCAGAGGGTAATTTGCTATCGTTTGGGCAACTTGCTTTTTGTATATTGCCATCCCATTCCATCACCATAAAAAAAATGTGCCGCTGATAAGCTTCCTATTCCCATGATCCGTCAAATCCCAGTCAAAATCATTATAACTATTGGTTTTACCAATGGTACTACCATTAAATTTCAAAATTACAATGACATGCCCATTCAAACGCATTAAAATACCAATAAATGCACATGAAATCACCAATAAATGGCCATTACTTCACATGCATCCCATGAAAAATCCATGAATTCACCATAAAATCAGATGAAAATCCCATGAACTGTCCATCACAGCCTCAGCTGGTGTCTGTAACCAATCCAAGGTCTCAAAGAGGGGCCAAGGCCACTGCAGCAACCTGCAGCTGGCCGTTGAGCATAGCGGGATTGGAGGGATTCTATGGTGATTTTCATGGGATGTTCATGTGATTCCAGTGGATTCAGAAAACATATGGGTGATCCTAATGTGCATTTTTAGTGGTGATCCTAATGGATGTTTTTGGGGCACTTTATGGGATTTAATGAGATTTTAATGAGCATTTCACGGCAAATTTCTCTGGGATTCAACTGGTATATATATATATATATGATATATATATTATATATATATATATAATTAATTGGGATATATGTATAATGATGATTTTGGCTGGGTCTTAATTGGTGATGGGGTTTTAATTGGTGCCCCCGAACTAAAGCCCGGAAAGCTCCATGAAACGAAGCCTGCTTTCGCCTGCTTTCGCCAAGAAACTCCGTGAAACTCTCCATGGGACTTCTGCAACTTCGAACGTCGCTTTGGGCAATTCGAATAAAGTCCTAGCAAAAAACAAATGTCGGGACTGGCGAGATGCAGCGATCGCATCTAGTGATACCAAGTCTCAAACAAAGTTCAAGAACATGTATTTGTAAATATGGCAAACCCTTTATAATAATAAACAATAACTTAATAACACATATTAATAAACCACAATAAACCTACCATTTGGGGATGATTTGTGCCGCCCATTGGTTATATCGGGGTTCTTTTATGGCATTGGCTTTACCCCCATGAGCCAACGACGCCTCCACCGGCAATGGCATCGCCATACTCCTTGCGTTGCGTCCATCTTCACAACCGGAAAAACAAACAACGAAATCCCTTCACTCTGCCAAAAAAAACCTTCAAATCTATCATTCAGCTCACTCCCAAATCGTCAAATCCATGTCAACTTGCTTTCCCCCTGAAAAATCATGGGTTCCCCCTTGAAAATTCACAAATTGTCGTCCTTCTTAAAAGGTCCTGGCACCATCCGCGACCATCAGGGTGCCCAAAATGGTGGGTGCCCAGCAGCCCATGGGCCGTTGCATGGCCAGCTGTAGCCATCGCTTGTACTGCGACATGTCAGGACCCAGGTAGGAGGATACCTGCGGGACTCAGTTGGAATGGGAAATACCGTGGCTGGCAGTGGAAAAAAATATTAAAAAATGGGGGAAACCATACGAAAAACATGGAAAAAAACACTGGTTAGACTCGTTTGTGAACACGAGTTATAAATTGGTATATGGCCAGTTCTAAGATACACCTTAAGTATCATTGTGTATATAGTATTATATAGTTTGGTGGGTTACGAGTTGCTCACCACATGACATATCCAAGTATCGGCCATCTTGTCAGGACTGTCACGATCCATTGATTTTAAGCTTTTCTTTTGGGGGCGGTTGTATACTGAAAATTGCCAGTCAATGGATTGGTTTAAGGGAAAACTTACAGGAAAACCCCATATTTAGTGGGAAAATCTTTGGTTTCCTGTAGATTTTCCCTTAAACCAATCCATTGAGCCAGACATCACTGTTTAAAATACGAAACGACAAAGACATGAGGAAATGAATAGCTAATATGGAATAATATGGATCATGCTCATGCTAAATCATACATTCCAAGCCTGGTTTTCTGTGGGGCAAAGAAACTATTCTCATGTGTGTTCCGGTGTTTTCCCTAATCTAAATCACTAATTATATCAACAGCAAAAATTATCGGGCTTGTTTGTTTGAGGCTGCTATAACTTGTCGGACCTTGGATGAGGTTTATCATCAGGCTGTGATGGAAAGCTGGCCAACCAATGTCAGCTAAGTGCTCTCTCCAATATATGTATATCTAATAATATATTATATAAATTTATATAATGTATAGTTTACCTCGATTATCCGCTTGTACCCACTAAAAAAGTGTTTTACTCAACAACACGCAAGTATACGGTTGCCATTTTTTTGGTTTATAACGAAGAATCAAGCGATAGCCACCCTGGGTCATCAGGGACACCCTGGGCCTCCTCCTCCAGACTTTGGGGCCGCAAGACTTTGGCAAGATCTCTCCTGGACATGAGGCCAGGAGGCTAGCCGCTAGACACTGCTTCTGGCAGAACACTGCAATCTTTGCCATGGTATATACGATAATGATATGATATGATATGATAGGATATGATAGGATACGTGTAAATACATATGTTACATATATATAATATATATATATATATCAATTATATAAACATGATAAACGTGACATTTGCCATAAACATTGAACATTCGCGGCTCAAACACACCAAGAATGCCTCTGCCGTAAAGAAATCCAATTACATTCGTCCAGTGGGAAACCAAGGCCCCAAGGCCCCTAGTGAGTTCCAAAGGGAGGATCCCTTTTTCATCCTTTTTCTGGTCATTCCATCAAGGGGGTAGCCCCAAAATCACCGTCTTTCAATCCCACATCTGGAGATTTCAGGTCACTAATGACCTTAGCAGCTTTCCATGTCCAGATGGTTAGATTATGTTAGATTCATGCGAAACCCAAAGTGTGATGGTCCTGGACCCTCCAAGTACCCATATGTTTTTCGTTGTTTTCCATCATTTCGGCTGTGTCTTTAAGTTTGGGTGATTTTGGATGCCAAAAAAGTCTGGCAGAACCATCCAAAAATCAAAAATCCCTCCTGACTCTCAACTCGTCGTTCTCTGCCAGGAATTTGCTCCCGGTGATCAGCGTCGCCAGGGAGGCCAGAATGGCGAAGATCGGCCAGCCGCTGTTGAGGATGTCCTTCTTCGGCCAGCTTTCGTAGGAGATATGGGTCTGAAAATGGGGCACCTACTTCCAAAGGATTCTCATCATGTTTCACATGTCAATATGCTTGGTGGTTTTAACCATCTTGAAAAATATGAAAGTCAATGGGAAGAATTATCCCATATATATTACTGTATGGAAAATAATAAATGATTGAAACCACCGATCAGTAACATCTAATCATAGATGATCTTATTAATGGTTGGTTAGTTGTCGTCTGTATCTAATGGTCTATAATGATGGTTCTAGTTCTACATACTGGTTATAACCTTTGGCTTCGACATTTCCATATACCAGCTGGGGTTTGCGGCTCAAGAGTCATACCAAGTGATGACATCTTCCACGAAGAGCAAGGAATCGATCTTGCCCTTCAGAACATGCCACCAAACACCAACAAGGATGAAGAGATACCCTCTGGTAATTTAACATAGCTATGGAAAATCACCATTTTTAATGGGTAAATCCACTATAAATGGCAATTTTCAATAGCTTTTTGTATGTTTGCCAGAGGGTACGTCCTCCTGTGTACTAAACAAACCATAACAAACCACCTGTCCACAGAAGTCACAGACGAGTCGATTTTCCAACAGCTCGAGATTTTCCGATTTTCCAGCAGGTTTCTGTGGTCTTCATGGCATTCATCTCAACAGAAAAATGTTCAGATCTCTGTTGGAACAGTCCATGGCTACCCATTTTTCTACCCTGAATGGTCTGTCGCTGGAAACACTGGGGATCCAGAAATTGAAGATACACCTCCTAGCCACTTCGCAGCCCCCAATCCTTGGACCTTCACAGCAAGTGACAAAGTGTCCCACAGACTGTAGGTCACCAGATTTCGGGTTGCCTCTTCAGCATCTGCAGACCCACTGGATGAGCCCCAAAATCTCACCTCGCACCCCAACAACCTTTTTAGTTTTTCAGAACGCTTAAAATCAGGAAGCTTCTAAAAATTACAAAACAGAAGTAACAGAAGTAGGCTGATCCCATTTTTCTTACACTGAATCATAGTCAAAGCAGGCAACGTGTTCATAGTCAGAACAGGATCGGTTGGTGGATGCGTTCCCAAGATCCATCCTCTGGGGATGTTCCCCAGACCAACATGCTTGGCTCAAACATGGAAAACATGGAAAAAAACGTGTGAAAAAACACAAAATCTCGTGACCTTTGCCAGGTTGGATTCCTGTACAGTGATACACAAAATTCTTTAAGGGGTCGCATGTTGGCCTTTGTTCCACCAGCAACATGCCACAGCCAGTCCCCTGGATGATCGGCCAACACGAAACCATCAAATTCATCAAACCATCCAGTTGGATGTCCTGTCCAAGTCTATCCAACCGTTTATGAAGGTTTAATTAATAAGGATAACTTGGATGGTTTACAGGACATCAACTGCATGATGGTTTAATAAGGTATGCAATTCTTTGAAACCCCCAAACTGTATGGCATACAAGGGATTACAAGGGTCAATGGCGCAGCATCTGGGAGTCATACCCAGATGAGACAAGCAACCAAACAAGGGGAGGATGTTCACCATCAATGATGTCTACAGGCAGAATCAACCCAAAATTGAAGAATAGTGAAGATATCATGAAAAAGCATCAAATATCATCAAAGGATGTGGTTGAAATATGTTGAAATCCATCCCTTCGGCTGGCGTTTGACCCCCTTTTTGGGGGATCTTGCTCCTACGATCGCAAATGACAACAAACGGAACCATCAACCAAATATCATTGAACTGTTTTTTGACCATATCCCGCATATCCGCAATTTTAAATATGATTAATTCATGTTAAAACATGCTGAATCACGTGATTCAGCATGTTGAATCATGTTAAATCATCATGCTTCGCAGGTAAAACAACATGGTTTTTCCCATGGTAAAACGTTCCCCCAAAGATTTTCCAGCTCCACCTGGGGTTTCTCCGGGCTCAACAGTGTCTGTAGTATCTCCTTGACCAACGGTTACATCGTGAGAGACCGCTAAATTGGATGAACTCAGGCTGAATTCCTAACGCATAGGATCCATGTATGGTATATATGCTAACATTTGGGGTATATTGATGGTAAATGCTACCAAATATAGCATACATGGATCCTATGGGTAAGTTTTCACTGATGAACCAGGATGGACATATCTCCGGATGAACCAAGAAAAAACAAAATGTGTGTTTTCTGAAAGTAGATATTCAGACAAAACCAGGTCAACTTGTGTATTTTAGTGAAGGATCCATCCAACATGATCTGACCTATGGTCCGATGATATGGAAGGATTTTTACTCCACATCCAGGGTCCGAGACATTTTTGTTGGGACCTAGACCCTCGTTGTTTCTACTCCCAAAAATGAGGTGTTACTAACTGTTACTATGTTTTACATGCTTTTAGTACTTTCACCATTTTTTTCTTAAGTTCTTGGGAGATTGTTTGTTCAAAACCCTTGATAAGATGGTAATAGATCAAGGAGTGGTTCCTGTCATCACCAGATCACCGAACCCTCCAGGTCCTTCGATGCCGTCAACAACACAGCGCTTCGCAATGTTACCTGGAGGAAGGATCATTTGTTTGCTGAGACCATCTACAAGGTGGTGCCCCATAGTTAGCTAAGTTGGTCTATAACTCCAATAACTATGGTTTATGGTAGATATATCTATAGTTAATGGGGTTTATAAACCAACTTATAACTGCGGGGCACCACATTGTAGATGTAATCATTAACATCGGATGGATCTTGGAAAGGGTCAATATCCAACTGCGAAACAATATATGAAACGTCCATTCAAGTAAATTTAGTCATGTTTACCTTCTGATAAACTACCATTGCTATGGATAATCACTGTACATTATCTATAACCCATAGGATCCATGTATGTTATATATGATAACATTTACCATCAATATATCCCCTTTATGTTAGCATATATACCAGCACCATGGATCCTATGGGTAAAGGATCCATTTTCCAGTTCGCAAAGTGTTAGTGAAACCTGGAGAGTAACTCCATGACATCCCGCCTCACCGATGGGACACTGTGCACATCGCAGGCTGTAACAAGGGATTGATCCTTCACCAGAAAAGTAGTTGCTCCTCACGCAGGCGTTGCAAAGGCGAGAAAGTTTTGGGCTAGAAATGTTGTTTTTACCTCAGCTATATGCAACTATATGCAACTGTTATATCCTTTTTTTCCAGAAATGGTGGGTACAAATATGATTCAAACATGTACCAAATACCATCCTCCAATGGGGTAAATCACTTGTGGATTTAGCTCATGGGCTGGAGCAACCCTGCATGCCTTTTGTCTTGTTGCCCAACATATCCTCGAGCTGCTTCGAGCGAAAAATATATATATATATATATATGTTTTTTTTCTGAATCTGCCCGGTTTTTGTTGCTTGAATCACCACCCTACACTGTATACATAATATCCAACAGAATCCATGTTTCTGAATCTGTAACAGATCCCTACACTATACATAATCCAATAATCCCTTCTCAACTCATAGGGTGCACATTTCAGGTTGCTGGTTTTTTACCATCCCTACAGATCCCAGAAATTTGGATCATCCTGTGGACATATTACGGTGGAACTGCACCAAGTATGGCTGTAATGAACTGGTTGGGATTATATAATAATAGTGGTTATAATATGTTATAATCACCAATCATAGTGGTTATATATGGGTTATATGATGGGATAAATGATCATCTGCTTGGTGGTTGAGCCACCCCTCTGAAAAATGATGGGTGAAAGTCAGTTGGGATTTATCACATTCCCAATATTCATGGAAAAATAAAAGCCATGTTCCAAACCACCAACTCGAACTTGGAACCCCCAAACTCCAATCGCTTGCTCGCTCATGCCGAAGGCATGTTATTGATAAGAAAAAAACATCAATCTACCGAGCTGAATCACACGCCCAGGGCGGCACTCCTAAGAAGACCAAGCACTCATGGTTTCAGAACATCATTTTGACATGTTGTTCCATCTGGTTGGTGGTTTCAACCCCTCTGAAAAATATGAAAGTCAGTTGGGATGATTGTCCCATATATTCTGGAAAATAAAAAATGTTTGAAACCACCAACCAGCCATTTATGATCCCATTCAATCCCCATTTTTCTTGGTGCCAGATGTCGCTAATTTTCCCACTCCAAACCTGGTCATGGCTGCATGTTCGGTGAGGGCCCAGCCGGCGCTTAAGGAGGGCCGCAGCAAGGCTTGTCGCGATTCCCGGACATCTAAAGGCCAGGCCTGGCAAAAAGAGGCCGAATTTTCTGTGTCACCAGGATGCTTCGATGATATTTACTACATGTTACTACCACCTACTGTGGATGGGCCAGCGAAATCCTGCACCACTTGAAAAATGTTGAAAACGGTGGTAAGTTTATATAGTTTATCCCATTATTGGGTTGAAAAACCATCCTTTTTGGTGCAGCATTTCACAACCATCCACCGTCTGTTGACCGGTTTCCCGTCGTATCCTCCGAGGCCTTTGGATCGGGAAACCGATCAACGAAAACAATTGTTTGTTTCCAGTAAGAAAAGACAATGAACATGGAAATCAGATTGGGAAAATGATTATATATGCACAACAATAAAATTAAAAAACAAACAATGAAAAAAAAATTGGGTTAGGGTTTGGTATTTCATACATATATATATACAAATGACATGAGAATCTGCACAAGAAACATGGTGAATTTCATCAACACTCAATATGTTGGGTGCATCCGAAAATGACAGGTAGTAATTACCTATGATCATAGTCTAAATCATGATTTTCTCTTATTTTTCCATGCTAAGGGTCATCATTTCATATCTGGTTGGTGGTTGACCTACCCCTCTGATAAATATGAGTCAGTTGGGAAGGATGACATCCCATATATAAAATGGAACATAACATTTCCCATATATCTGGTTGGTGGTTTCAAACATCCCATATATCTGGTTGGCTATGTTTGAAACCCATGTTTGAAACCACCAACCAGCTACCCATAGGATCCATGTATACTATATATGGTAACATTTGCCATCAATATACCCCAAGCCAAATGTTGGCATACCATTTTCCCAAGGATTTGCCTTCCCCTGTGGCCTCATCGGCCAGGATTCGGATGTGTTGCTGCAAATTCTCCCGCAGGTCTTCCCAGCGGCGCATGCGGCTGGTCATGGGGCAATAAAAACCTCCGGGCGGTTGTCATCGGGGGGATCACTGGCCTGGCCCGGCCTGGTGAACATAGAAAAAGCTATTGAAAATGGCCATAGACATTATGACATCGTGAATTTTCCCATGAAAAATGATGATTTTCCATAGTTATGTTAGTTTACCAGAGGGTAGCTATGGTGAAAATGAGGTGAAATATTTGGGGGTTCAATGGAAATGGTCAGCCGCAAATGATGTACCCTCCTTTTTGGAGTTTAGATGTGCAAAACCCAGAGCATGAATGTAATAGGATGGGTACCCAGCATGTGGAAAATCTTGCTTTCTGGTTTCAAATTGTATCATTTTCCGAAGCAGAAACCAAGGTTTTCCACTCATCCCATCCCAAATTTTGGTCAGTTTTCCACCAAATTTTGGTCCCAGAAAATGATGGGATCCGAAAGTGGGGCCCCCAAACGATAGCTCTAAGTTGGTTAATATCTCCAATTTTTCTATTGTTTATGGTATAGCTATAGTTATATAATGGATGTTAATGGATGTTAATGGATGTTAATGGGGTTTATAAACCAACTTATAACTGGGGGGCACCACATTGTAGATGGAATCCAAAAGACTTAAGGAACTGCATTGCAGCCAATCTGTTCGCGTCGCAGGCAGCGACATACATGGCAGCCCTCTGTTCAATGTGGCTATCGGCGAAAGCTGAACGACTTCAGATTTGGATGATTTGGGTATGGCCCATTTTTTTTTGCACCTCCATCTGACAACAATAATTCTCAACTTTGCGCGTCCATCGGAAACCCATTTTTCGAGGCATGATCATTTCAAGTAATTTTGACCCATGCATGTCGTGAAAAGATATGAAAAGCAGAGCCAGATGGCTGATTTGCAGAGATCGTCAGATCCGCCAGAAAAGTTGGGCTTGGTATCCGAATTGTCATCATAGCCAATATAGCCAATATTTCATCAATATCCCAATGCTTGGATTGCATCCCACCTATTGTTGGTTGATTTCCACCTGATATCAAAAACTATAGGTCGTGTATAGTAGAACTGAAGACTATATCACTGTTTCGATGCAAGATGATCACCCGAAGCAAGCCTTTCTTCTGCAGTCGTGCCATGACAATCTTTGGTCATGGGATGCAGCAGTAGGCAGCCGGCCTGTTGATTTCTCAACTTCTTTGAAGTTTCTGGTCGAAAATCCTTGGACCCTGTCAACCTCGAGGGCATGTGGTTTACTGATAGCTGCAAAGTTGCGATGCTTACATAGATATTGTATCGTCATACGCATTGTATCTACTATACCTGTATGTATCTAAATAAGAGAGGGAGAGAGGACAGTTTGAATGTCATTGATGCTGGGTGCATGTTGGCAAGGGCCCACATGGATTTTCCCATGTGTAATCAAACGTGGCTTGCTGGAAAATCCTCCATTTGGCTCGGTGATTTTCCTAGCGATTGAATCTCCATGAAGGGGTTTTCCCAGCTAGCCACTGTTGATTACCGTAGGGTATCAGAACTAGTATGTGTAACTATAGTATAGGCAGAAACCACATGGCACGCCATCAGGACACACCATCGAAGGCGTAGCGTCGATCATAGAACCTTGGAAAATTTCAGCCAAGGTGAACCCATCCTTTACCGGAACTTGCAGGATCAGCCAGTGTGATCCGCCAAATATCAAGCATCGTTAGGTGAGCACAATGGCCATGACGGCCATGACAGCTGGAAAGGTCGGGGGGTCCCCGAAGCCCAAGCTGATCAAACGGGGCAACCTCAACTGGATCTGGCGAAATCGTCGCCATTGAAATAGCTCAAATTGAGTGAGCCCGAAGGCCCGAAGAGTATACTGATGTAATTACCCATAGGATCCATGTATGCTATATATGGTAACATTTACCGCCATCAATATACCCCAACTTTTAGCATATATACCATACATGGATCCTATGGGTTATACTGTATTGACAAGTGATTCCCTCAAATCTTAACATGCCACTCTATTCTTCCCATCATTCACCATGCTTGGCTAGGCCATGTCAGCCATGTCCCTCGGCTGTGTCCCAAAGAATGCCCCAAAATTATGCCGTGGAAAGCCAGGCTGTCTGAACAAACAAAAAACATGTTGAGCTTGAGGGGGAAATTTTGATCTGAGATCTTTGATCGATCCAGATCTTGGTGATGTTTTGAAGGTCCCTGCCGCTGCGAAAAGAAACATCCAACATAGCTCCTGTGCAGAGTCCCTTTCATCAGGGTCGTCGACACCCCATTGCTCGTCGCTCTCTGGGCTCTCTGCATCCGCTCGGCCACCTGAATTCTCGCAACAAATGGCATGCTTTGTTGAAACACAAATGGATTTGTCTGAAAAAAATTGGGGAACACCACAAATCCGATCAAATCCGATGGTTGATGGGCATTTTCCTTCTTAAAGATGCCATTTGGGAGGTATATACAATTTCTAGACACACCAGGAAACCAATGGAGTTTGAATCCAATGGAAATGGGTTGAACTGGTGGATTTAACATGATTTAATGTCAAGTTAGGATTAATAAACCCCGCGGTATTAATCAACCCCCTCTGCCAAAAAAAGAATGTCATTTAAAAACTGGTGGTCCCCCAGGATTAATAAACCGTTTGGCTGGGACATGATTAATCAACACCCTGTGCTGAAATCCTTTTTTTTCCAACAATTTTTATTTCCAATTCTATTAATTTCCAATTGTTTTTCACCTTTTTTTATCATCATTGTTATACTTAAGGTTTAAGTTGATCATTGAAAATTTCAAAAAACAACTATTCCCCAAATGATCGATTTCTAATTAAATTCTTTATAAAAATCATCAGTTTGGATAGCTCCCAAAGGGTACCCCCCATGAGCCCATGTCCCCCATTAATAATACATAATCAAGTTTGCCCCTGATTAATCAACCACCATGTCCCTAATGTTTTTTCTTTGGATTTGCCTATTCATTCCCAATGTCCCCTATAGCTTTCAGCCAATTGACGTAAGCCATATTCATTTTTTTATGGTTCAGGGTCCGTTTATTTAGGGAGGATTCAGGAAAGACCTTCCAAGGTATACCCTGACCTATATGGTGGGGGGGGGTTGATTAATTTGGCATTAACTATCACAACTGGAGGTATTTTTTCTACAAAGGATTTATCTGAGTTTGTGAATCGGGATATCAAGAATGGGGACATGAGGTTTTTAACTATAAGATTTTGAGGTGGCCTATTCAAACGAAATCACAAAAAACGAAAACTCACATGGAGTGCCCCTGCAGTTTCCGGCAGTTCCACTGTAAATTGTCCCTTCAAGATCCTTCAAGTAATAATTTTGGGACTTCATGGTGCAGCAAGAACTGTTCCATATCCTCCCATCACCCAGTATCTGCGATGAAAACCATCAAGAACCGGAAACAGGTGATGTCTAGTCTAGATCTGGCATGGAGATTTCCAATCCATGGGGTACCCCAAATAATCCTCAGAGAAAATCAGACCATGACGACTCGTATTGAAACAAACATGGTGACGACTGGGGGTCCCCCATGACTTAAGAAACCCTCGATATGTTCAACCCAGATGAGTTTGGCGATGTGGATGGAAGTGCGGCTTGGCGCTGGCTGAGGATGATGATGTGATACGATGGTTGATGTTGTTCTTTTCAAATTATATATATTATATAAAAATTGTATATGAGAACGTCAAACTGGAGTGGTGCTGGGGCAGTCTGATCCTTAACTTCGGCTTCTGCCCAATCCTTGCAAATAGATGCCAATAGCCCATTGTCTTTCGCATGAGAGTATGTTCAAACTAATGGGTTATCCATTAAATTTGAGAGACTCAAAAGTCAAGTCAAACTACCATGCGATTGAAGATTCAGGGTGGTTTTTATCCCAATTTCATTTCGTTGAAACTTCTTTCATTCCGACTGCTGATTCGGTTGGGTGATGAGGGTGTCAGTGTCACCGTTTATGTTGGTGATGGTGGTTTTATCCGAGAATCGGAACTCCAGCGGCTTGTTGACTGACACACCCAAATGTGGGCTCCCGGAATGAACAAATTCAATACCGAACCATGGTGTCCTTTTCATTTTCCTTAAATCCAATCCAATTTATTCCAATTTCCATGTTTAAAATCAGATTCCTTGCTTACACTCTAAGACTCTAATCATAGTTTTTACATGTTTTTACGCTCCACTCCTCCATTTTTTCAGGGTCAAACCTCCATTTCCTCGGCTCTAAATCTCCACCAAGTGACCGCAAAAGTAGAGAAGTACTGGCCGCCTGATCCCCATCATATCCAGTGTCTGAGAATATCTGGCAATTTTCCATACTCTGCTGTCCCGGTTGGACCCTCCCTTTGTACCCATCAAACATAGTGTTTTACCATGTTTTACCCTGCAGTTTTCATTTTTTTCGCCATGTGTTGAGGATTTTTGGAGGTATCTGGAAGATCTGAGAATATCTATATATAAAATCTACAAGATCCGAGTGAGAATATCTAAGAACTAATTCTCTGGAAACTCTGAGAAACAGATGTACAAAATGTGTTTTGTTTTCAGCTGCGAAAGGATTATTTCAGGTATGGAACGCTTATATTGTTTATAGATCGGAAATGGGCTCGTTGAATTTAACATGTTTTAAGAAGGGTTCTGCGTCCACTCCAAAGTCTACGTCACTGCGATTAAAAAACCTCGACTAGAAGGGGTGCATTATCCCAGTTTTGATGGGAATGAAGAACTTGAAACCAAGCACCGCAGAGTTATTACTTTATGATATATGATGTAGAATGCTTTGTGGCTATGTTTCCCCATTCTACACTACACTATCTTTAAATCTATGCTGTGCTTGTTGAATTATTCCAAATAAAAAAAAAATAAGAACCATGTTTTTTTTCATAACCAACCTAAGTGAAGCCCAGTGACATGTACAAATGTGGCCACATCACCGCAGCCAAATAGTGATTGTAGATCTGATTCTTCTTCTTCACAGCTTCGCTGTAGAGCTCTCCCAACAGGCCGATGTATGTGTTCATCGCTACCACCTGCCAGGCCCCGGACCTCCAAATACCGCCAACAAAACCCATAGGATCCATGTATGCTATATATGGTAACATTTGCCATCAATATACCCCCAATGTTAGCATATATACCATACATGGATCCTATGGGAAATAGGCTTTTTAGTGTTGTGTAAACGTAGTAAAATTATGTAAAATTCTGTGATAAAACACCATCCTTTATCGATACAAACGGAGGCTCGTTGACGCTATCTGTGTTTCCGATTTCAGGGAGAAAGGAAGCGGCCGATTGCAGAGTTAGAACCAGGCACTGAGAGGCTCAGACTGATGATCACGAAGCCAATTCGAATGCCTTGATGAAACCTCAGCGACTCAGCCATTTTTTTTGCGCTTGAAATGGTAGGGATGCAATCCTCAGCCATTGCATCATGGGATCTGCAGATTCGCAGGAAGTGGCTGCCGCCACCCAAGGGGTGATGGCAATTGAGGACCCGACCGTTGGTTGCCTGAATCTTCAATGCCACCTGGCCATCACACAAAATGCTTGAAGCTAAAAAAAAAGGGAGACTGATTTATAATTTAAACATCGAAATCCACACGGCACCTTGGTTTTTGGCAGTTTTACACATCGTTTTTCACCGGAAGTCTCTCTCCACAGCTGGTCGGCGCACGCCTTCGAACTGCGAACCGCTGAACTTTCCACTGATGTTTTTGTGCATGTTTTGCCTGGCCAAGTCGTTACTGGACATGACGAAATAAGCGGGTCCCCGCTTTCGGTTGTGAAGGTCGACTTACACAAATTGGTTGCTTAAGTCGGTTATATGTTATACCATTCATTGCTTCCCATTGCACAAAAGAATCTCTCTGTGAGCAAATCTGCACCTTTATGAACTAAGGGATCAGCAATGGTTTGAGTCAAATGGGTGCTTCTGAGACTTTGGGGACAAAGAAACAGGGATCACAAGAATGCTATAGAAAAGAAAAGGTACCCGAATCTTGCGAATTGACATTTCCGACATAATGTTGATCCTATAGTCCAAAGGTTTGTTCTACACTATTGCATGATGCCTTCTGTATATAGATCTATAGTCTATAAATATCTGTATATATATATAATATATATATATATATTATATCCTACCCAGCACGTGGAGTGACCGTTCTCCAAGCCCCAACATACTCCAACTCCGAGGTGCAACTCGGCCAAATCAAAATCGGACAACTTTTCCAGGCGGAACATGTCGATGAAGCCCTCCAAAACGGAGTCCAGGTCCGTCTTTCGATACAAGGGAAACACAAAGTAGGCGTGGAAGGTCGCAAAGAGTGACATCGTCCTAATTTTTCGAGTTCACTTGAAACTTTCAGCAGTTTTTCATCTTTTGTTACAGCCAATAGCTAATATTTAATACCTATAATACTAATACCTGGTAATTTTCACCAGCTTGACTGGTGAAAAAAACCATCTTGGGATCACCGAATTGATCCGCTGAGAAGCAGCGCAGGCTTCTACGTAGTTTTTTGAACCAACTGAGCTAACATATAAGTCCACCAAAATAAATCGTTATTAGTCCATTAGTCCATATATAATCCCGATGTTTCTTGGTTATAAGCTTGGGAAGATCGAGATGTGGATTTTTTCGAACCCAAATCGCTCCAATCTTTGAAAGTTTTTGCATTGCAGGGGTAATCATCTGCCTGTCAATTCAAACCAGAATCTGCTGAAAAACTCCAGATTTGCATCCTGTCTTGTACCCATCTCCTATCACAAAAGTCACACTAGTTTCCGGGAGCACTAAGTGATGATCTTCCCAAGATTCAATGGATTGGTATAAGGGAAAATCTACTGGAAACCATGGCTTTTACATATATATTTTTACAGTGAAACATGATAACATGGGGGTGTGTTGTAAATTGTGAAACATGGGGGTTTCATATGTTTCATGTAAATTTTCCCATCATCCAATTCTATATGAAAATGTCCAGAAACCGGTGACATCCCCATGCTACCCGGTTATAACGGTCGTTGGTACCGACCAGCTGGCGGAGGCACAGGAACAACATGAAGACGACCGAGGCCGGTCGCGTCACGGAATGCGCCAGGGGAACCACGTTTCGCCCGATCATGTCGATCAACTGCCTGAGAAGAACCAACGGACATCTTAACCGAGAGTCAGGCCAGGGGAATTGCTGGGGATATGAATGGATATGAATGGATATGAATGAATATGAATGGATATGAATGGATATGAATGGATATGAATGGATATGAATGGATATGAATGGATATGGTAATATAACCCCTATAATATGATACAACCAACAACAAATACTCGCAGTAAAATTTCATGGCACTGGTAAAATCCTTGCTACAGCATGCCACAGAAAATAGCAGAATAATTACATGGAGATCTTGGTCATTTTCCTAAATGTCAACCCCGGATTTTGCTAAACCATGGTTTATGACAATTAGGAGGGGTACTCCCCAAATAGTCATTTCATCTGATACTTTTTTATGGTACGGTATCCCCCCAATTAAACAACCGTGTTTCCGGGTTGATTAATCCAGGGTTGACATTAAGCATGAATCCGTGATGCGCTGAAAACGCAAAAAAAAAAAGGAAAACCCCAAGGCCAAAACATCAAAACATCAAAACATACCCGACAGGCGGACTCTACAAAGTGGGGCCCCATTATTGGCCACGAAATCGTGGCCTTGGTTCGTGAACATACCTCCAATACCTATATGGCCTTATGATGCCTTATGATACTCATAGATTTATAAACCACATCCTTTCACTATATGGAAGTTTCCCAAGTCAGGGGGGTACCCCCAGTTCTCATCCATTTCATTTTCGGATTTCCTTTATAAACCATCCATTTTTGGGTACCTCCAGTTTAGGAAACCCCAATATTGCATATATTATCTTCGAATTGTTCATCTACGACTTCAGTTCTGAAGGCACGTCCACTCGCGTTCGCTGCAGCTGTGCCACAAGCTGCTGATGAACATGGTCCAGCGACAAAGAACTAACCTTGCTGGAATCGGCTACGCACAAGGTTCTGAAAAAAACAACTCCATATTGAGGTTTCCTAAGTCATAGGGGTAGCCCTAAATCATGAATTTTCAAAAAAAAATGTTTTCCATCAACAAAAGCATCCAGCTATTGGGGATCCCCCATTGAATCATGACCAGTTCTTGTTGAGGTTTTTCGAGCTATGAAGATTGCCCAACAGGGATCCGAACAGGTCACCCGGTCACCCATGACTCATGGTGGCTTCATCATCCACAAAAAACCGAGAGGCAGAGCCAGAAAGTTGGGATGAGTTGCAAAATATGAGTCCTGGTGAGGTTCGCATCTTTTTTGGCCGCAAAGCAAACATTTAAAAAAAGTCATAAAGTATGTCAACATACTCCATCATATTCCTATAGCTTCCCCAAATAGTGGACGTACCATGGATCCATGGGGAAATTTTATGGGACATCTTTCAAAACACCTGGATTCACCGGGAAATCACCAGCATCTGTCATCACATCTGTGGCGTCCTCGTGAGTTTTGTGTGGGGTGCACCACATTTCGATGCGCCGTTCCAGGAAGCGTTGCCAACTGTGGAATTGATCGCCGTGCAAATGCCACTCGTTCCAGACAATGCCAAGGATGTAGCAACCAACGAAGATGATGGACATCGTCTGCAGACCGTTTTGATAAAAAGGTGCGTTTGAGGACAGCCAATGCAACTGCTATCCCAATGCTGAAAGCCAAAAAACATCCTACAACATCCTACATCCATCAATTTCCTCATTGATTCTTGAGGTTTCAATCTTGTGTCCAAATGCAATGCCCCCGGCCCCCTGTGTCATCCGCTTCTGTTTGAGGAGTGTACAATTTCCATCATTTCGACAGTGAAATACATATGATCCCTCCTAAAGCACGCAGCAACGCCACAGTACGATAAAATGACGCCTGAATATCTGAATATCCATGAATAAGCATTGCATGGATTGCCGACCCTCGTCAACATTGAGAACTGGTATCGTGGCAACGACATTGGTGTGGTCAAAGTTGAGTACCCAACATGGAATGTTTCAACACAGAAAAATTCAGAAAAAAAAACATGTTCAAACTCAAACCTAAGATATGAAACTTTAGTTTTATATATTGTACGTAAGTATTCCTCACATTTTTTTCTCAAACATGGGTCTAGGAAAAGGATGGAAAAGGACCCAAAATCTCTGGAATAGCTAAATCAGCAATCAAACTGTCCAACCGATCCAATCACCAGCATGGGCCCAAACATCTGTGGTTTCAAGCAACTGGAAGAGGTTCTTCAATTTTTTTTTTCATCTTCACAAACGGACGGTTTGCAGGCCAAACACGTTTGAACCACACAAACAGATGGGGATTTCTGACTAAGACATCCTACAAAAGTGATCATTTTTCATTGGGAAACCCATGGTTGTGGGGGATACAACCATTTTTTTTTCTCCGATCACGGCCGATTGTTCTCCCAACGTCTCCGTTCATGGCCGAAGCCTCAACCACCAACAATGCTAAAGTGGAGAAGGTCGCTTTAGCGATGCTGAGTTTGTACTTGCACCCTGAGCACTTCGTGGATGACTGGATTAAGTAGGTTTTATTGGTCTAACTTGGATGATTTCGGGGCACCCCCATTGTGGGAAACCTCCATATCGATATATAGATATAGTTAATGGGGGTTATAAACTAACAAACATAAGTGGGGAGCCTTATTTTGCAGGGACAAACTGCACGAAAGTAGAGTTTTTGGTTTGTAAAAATATGTAAAAATTATGGGAGGGTAGATGTTCATTGCAAAGTCCCAGAATGGCTAATCCATCCCAGAATGAGAATCCTTGGGCATTTACATGCCTGGTGATCAATGGTGGTATGCTGCCTTCCAACTCTTGGCCGTGCCACAAAGCAACTTGGGGGGTTGGTCATATCCCCATGTTCCAATGCTACGCTGCTACACACCTGCAACCATGGTTTTTTACGGTGCTTAGAAAATCTCAGAAACCCCACAACCCTTTGGAAGATGATTCTATAACATTCTATAACTATATTTGATAGTGGTACTGGATTGGCACTACTCAACTTAGAAACCCCAATAGCCCTCGTCCATATGACTGGCACTGCTTAATTGTCGCTGTTTCTCAGCTTTTCAGACCGAATGAACCAGGCAAGTGGCAGGCATTGCAGTAGAAGCAAACTCTCAGAAACGCTCGAAAGAAGTCCATCAACGTTAAGAAAAAAATCAGTAGAACCACCAGTGTTCCTGGCACATTTTCATTTCGAACATCGTAGCCCACATTTGCCTTAGATGCCGCTGTCATCTGTGCGCACGAACATTCTAATTTTATTTACACATCAAAACTATACACATAAACATGTGATATACACACATCTATATGCATTTAACATAAAACTAAAAACAATTATACTATACCTACTAATTATATATATATATGTATATACATATATATATATATACTTATTGTGAATATCCAGTTGTGGACCCTCCACTTGCTTCAGGTACCACAGTTTGATCCAACGAGTGTCTGCAGACACTTGGCTCGGGCGGGCCTCCACGGAGAGGGTGCGGAGGGATTTCCGTGTCTTGTGCCTTCAGTGACAGGGTCACTCCTTGGTTGATTGGGCGAGGCCGCCCTTGAAAGCTTTTGGAACAAGGCTGATACAGCCTTCTGCTTTTGGACCTCCCCGTGTCCAACTTTGCGACAGAGACATCCTAGGCATCATCGTGTGACAAACAGCTGCTGCGTTTGGGGGGGTTTGAGAAGAAGACTAGTAGCTGAGTGATTTCATCATTTGGGTGGCAGCACAACAGGTTTGGGGAATACAATCAGTTTTGGCAATCTCATCATCCTGATCAAGATCATTAGGGAGTCTCCGGCCATTTACACTGGTAGCGGAGCTCCCTCGCTATCTATCGAGGGGGCATCCGGGGAGAAGCATGTCTAGCACAGCTGCAGAAACATCTCAGTTGGGTGTAAGCAACCAGCTTGCATCCTTGGTGCCGACCTTCGACCCGAGTCGAGATGATCTGGTCGCCTACCAACAGAAAGTTGAGTTGGTGACGGCTGCATGGCCGAAAACAAAACTGGCTGAGTTGCAGACGCGACTCATACTCAACACAACAGGTTCAGCCTTTCAGAAGCTACAGATCCATCAGGCAGAGCTGGTGACTGGGGAAGAGGCTTCCATCAAGAAGCTGGTGGAGCTTTTAGGAGGACAATGGGGCAGGGTTCCGTTGGCCAAGAAGTATGAGGAAGCGGAAATAGCCTTATTCCATACCCAGCAACACAGTGACGAAACAAACGATTCGTACCTAGCTCGAGCAGATGTGAACTGGAGCAAGCTTCTGGCCCAAAAGGTGACATTGGCGGACTTGCAAGCCTTCATCACTCTCAGAGGCTCTTGTTTGACGGCCGAAGACAAGAAACGGATAGTGTTGGAGTCCGAAGCAGCGGGTCAATTGACAACCAAGAGGGTAGCAGAATCAATCAGAATGTTGGGATCGGTGTTCTTCAATGACATCACGGTAACAAGCGAACAGTCAAGTCGAAGGTGTACGATCAAACAGCACTGATAGCAGATGCCTCGCATGATGGGGAAGATTCAGAACCCGTTTTCAATGCCGAAGATGCGATGAACGAGGAGGAGGTTCTAGAGATTCTTCTTCAAGAAGGTGACAGTGATGCTCTACTAGTTCATGACTTCGAGAGTGCCCTTAGTGAGACTGTACAGGAAGATCCCGAACTCGCCAGTGCATATTCAGCCTATCAAGTAGCCCGACATAAGCTGAATGAGAAGGCCAGAAACAGAGGTTTTTTTCCAAGCCGACCGTTCCAGCCTTCCCAATCCAAAGGAAAGGGATTTGGCTCGCGAAACTCGTTCAAGGGCAAGGGCTTTTCCAATTTCAACAGACCAAAACGGTCGCTCCAGGATCGGATTTTGTCAAGCAACTGTAGGGCCTGTGGCCAAAAGGGCCACTGGAAGGCAGAGTGCCCTCTGCGTCAGAACCAGCAGAATGCAGGTTCCGCCAGTTCCCAAGCTCCGACAGGTACCGTAGTGACCGATGCCAGCCTTGAGACGATGGATAGTTTGCCTTTAGAGTTTTTGCAGCTGCCCAGATCCGATGAAGCCACAATCGATGAAGCCACTTTGACCGAGCCCAGTCAAGTTTTTGTTTGCCAAGCAACCTCAAGCAGAACTAGGCTATACTATCGTGGTAGGATTCTTGGGGAATCTAAGGGAATTAGTATTGGCCCACTTGGGGAAAATAATAACTCAATGTCACTCAAAGAACGCCTGCGCACGACCGTGCTCAGGAAGGATGATGAACCAATGTCGACAGTGTTGAGTCCGCATGTGCAAGTGTCGCCCAGTTCTCTCAAAATGGAGAGATCCGACCGTTCCATCAGTGTTCAAGGTCACCCGATGATGCACTCGAAAGTTGAAGTCCCATGTCCCACGCCATCAACCGGGAGCAGTGAAATCAGTGTGAACCCAGTTTGTTTTGCAACTCACACGACGTTTGGTGTGTTGGATTTAGGTGCATCCAAGACGGTGATCGGATCCGATCATGTGAAAAGCCTGATCTGCAGCCTGGATCAATCTCTCAGAGAAAGACTCACCCGATGCAAGTGCCAAATCACCTTCAGGTTTGGAAACCAGGGTACCCTCACAAGCAATCAAGCGATAGTTGTTCCCATAGGAAATCTTTTGCTTAAGATAGCTGTGGTTCCCGGTAGCACTCCGTTCCTCATTAGCAATACGTTGATGAGAGCTCTCCAGGCACAGATCGACTGTCAGGCGTTTTTGCTTCGAAGCCCAAAGCTCCAACAGCCAGTTCGAATGGAACTCACTAGCAAAGGCCTGTTTTTGATCGACCTTAATGAGCTGGCGAGAGCTTCCAATTGCCCAGTGAACAATCAGCCAGCAGCGAAGACTGTAGGTGAGACCTTCACTGCCACTACATGCCAAAATGAAAATCCAGCTGAATCTGACGGCGATTGCAAGGGTACACATGGTAGTCCAGTGACACATCCCATGCAATTCTCTTCAGAATCCCAAGGAGTGGACCAGTCTATCCGAGCATGTTCATTGACAACTGATGTACAGTTTCCAAATCAACATGCAGCGGTTGGTAACAGCCCGGCCCAAGCACGACACACGACCAATTTTTTCAAGACCGAATATCAAGACCCAGGTAGCCATGTCTTTGAGTCAACGCCTGAAGAGTTTGCAGATGAAGACCGAGCCAAATTCAACAGACCTGGCTCACTGGAGCCTTCAGAGCCTCGAGAACGAGACGGTGGATTTCGGGAAGAAGAACTGCGGCCGCAGTTACATGGAGGTGTGGAACACAGACCAAGAGTGGGTAGCATTCATGGTGGGTCGCTACAGCAAGAGTCACAACCTGGCCCACCGGAAGTTTCTCCGGTATGTGGAACTCATGGTCCAGCACCACGAAGAACAACAAATGCCAGTGGTGACCCAGACGGGCCAAGGATCTACAGAGGTTTCTGGCCATGTCGCCAACCTCCCAAGGGCCAAAGCCAATGTCAAGTTCCAGCCCAATGCAAAGGGGGGTGCGGTTCCGAATTCTGGCTTCCAGGAACCAACCCATTTTCCGTTGTTGGACGAAGAGCTGGAAGAGGAGATCGAGATGTACAACTCACTGACTATGGTGCCACCTCCACTGAGCCAGAGCCCGGAATTCAGTGCCATGCAAGATCGCATGCTGAATCTCGAGAATGCGTTGACCAAAGTGGTAAACCATTTGGAGACTCAGGCCATGGAACAGGCGAGCCAGAACCACGGATCGCAGTAGACCCACCAAGAGTAGCACAAGATGATGTATCAGAAACATACACCACTGAACATCAAGACATGAGTCATCTCAAGAGATGGATAAGGATCCTCGAGCATGAATTGAACAACACCCTGAACACAACAAAGCCAATGGGGAAACCTTTCATGCTGGGAGAGATCTTCTGCGATGCCGAGTCAACCCTGACTCATCAGGTCCGACAGTTAGGACACCAAGCGTTCCGTTTTGGCCTAGCGGATGGTGATCTCTCCAAGGTTGAAGGCAGGCAAAAGTTGTTTCATTGGATCATATACAGCACCGGCCTCAACACCTTTGGTATAGTCCAACATGTGGTCCCTGGTCATCATGGAGCAACTTGAACGCCTCCAGATCTTTAGAAAGTCAACTGAAATACCAACAGCTACGTAGCCAGTTAATGTATCAGGTTGCACTGGGAATTGTTCTGTATCGTCATCAATTGGAACATGGCCGACATTTTCACCTCGAACAGCCAAGCCGGTCATTGATGTTGCATGTCCATGGTCTATCAGAGATTCACCAGCATTCGCAAGCATGTCAATTCGACATGTGCACTCTTGGCTTGAAGGATCCTGCAACTGGCGAGCCGATGCGCAAGCCAATGACAGTGCTCACTACCCATCCTGGAGTATATGAGCAACTGCATGGTAGGAAGTGTACCAATCACCCAAGCCATCAGCCAATTGAAGGTAGAACTGTTTTTGAAAATCATTCCATTCTCAGGACCCAATTTTCCGAGGCATACCCGAGAAAGTTTTCCCGATTGATTGCCAAGGTAATGTCACAGTCTCCATTTCAAAGGCCATTCAGATGGGCCGTGGGAGCATGGTGTCATGTTGCGGAAACCTTGCCGGCCATCGGACAGCGTTCAGTCCGATCAGTGTTTCGAAAGCCCAATCAGAACCAAGAAAAGTTTCCAAAATCCAGTCCTGAACCTCTTCAAGATAAGGAGGAAAAACGACGCCGACTCACGGGAAAACAGTCAACTCAACCAGATCTACTTAGATGAACCCTGTGCTTGCTAAGTACTTAGCAAGGTTAACAAGGTTACTAAGTCCTTAGCTAAGTACTTATAACCTCAAAAAATGGAAGTGTTTTTTCAAAAAAAAGTAGCCCATGGCTTTCTTTTTTTGGAAAGTTGCTTCTATTTTTTTGAAAGGACCCTTATAGACCTGGTGTTTTTCATTGTTTTTTGATTTTCCTTTACCAGCTCTTCTTTTTAACAATTGGTAGTGGAGCACAAAGCAGCAAGGCTCAAAGCAAATATTGCCACAGAATGCTTTTGAAAACATGTGGAGTGCAAACCAAAAGAATTTATACATATCTGGTTTGCATATATGAAGCAAAAGCCTTCTTAAAGCTTGCAAATTCAAAGCCATGCAGGCTGGGGAGCCAATGCTACAGAAAGCAAGGCTTGCAAGAGCAAGGATCAGAAGCCAATCAAGCTTGCAGGGTAAAAGCCATGCAGGCTTGCATTGCAACAGCCATCCCAAGCTTAAAGCAAAAGCCATTCAGAGCTGGCTTGCAAACAAATAGCCAATGAGGCTTGGAACAAAACGCAAGCAGCAGCATTTTTTTCCATGGCTTCACTTCTTCAAGACATGTCTCACTTGCCAAGGAATCAATGTCTTGACCTTGTCCTTGTCCTTGTTGTAAATCAATGGGAGTAACATTTCATGGACAGGCACCAAACATTGCTTTTCTGATTGTGTCCAAAAGCATGCTCCAAGATGTTCAGCATCTTCTGCAAATTCGAGAAGCTGCACCAAAGCAAACACATTGCCATTGTAGGAAACAAAGGCCAAAGCTTCCATTGCTTGAAAAGGTTTTGCTAGTACAATGTCCTGCTTGGAGCACATAGATTTTTGCATTTGGCATTTAGAGGCCACTTGCAAGTTGTCTGTGGGAATCACATGGCCAAAAATCTTCTCTATCAGTGAATGGAATTGTTTCTTCGGTTGGTGGGCATCTACTAAATAGATACCATCTGCAAAAACACCTGGCTGCTTCAAGTGAAACAACTCTTCTGCCAAGCATTCTTGAAGCAATGTGTGTTCATACACAGCAGTATTGCAAACATTGGATGCAAATTTGCAAATGAAGCGATGTTTCCTTTCCATTGCAAAGCATGAAGGTAATTTCTGAAACCTTTGAAATGCAGGCCCCAAATGCAAAGCCCAGTGAAACTTTTTGATCATATATTCTTGAAGGTTGGCATCCACCCAAGATTGCAAACACATTTCTGCTGCTTGCTGCAAAGCTCCAGGGTTGCATGCATTCCATATTTGTCCCAAATGGACTAAATCCACTATTTGAGCACATGCCAAAAAGGCTTTGCAAATCCGAGGGCATACCAATTCATTTGGAAGCAAGAAGCTTTTGACCAAATGGACCAGCACTGGCAACATCCCCAATGCTTCACTGGCTTGGCATTGAAATTTTTTGGCAGTATCATATTTCTTGCCATGCTTGGTGTTGAACAGTGTATCAAGGTGCTTGGGCAAGTGATGGGGCCATTGCCACAGCTGCATATAGTCACAAATCGCCTGCCATCCATGTGGCTTCAAATTGGAACCAAGCACATAGATTGCGACTTGAACAATACCTGCACTGACCAGGCAGTGCATCCAGTCATGGAGGTACTGTGAAGCAGGTTGCAATAGATTAGATCGTCTCAGATCCATGTCTAATAGGAGTGCATTCCTGCTGTAAGTCAGCCCACTTGCTTTTTGCCAAATTTCAAACTGGCTTTTTGGCATGGAAAAGTAATTTTGCTGCAGCCTGTCAAAGGACTGCAGAATTTCATTGTCACTGTGCACCAGCAGCTGTGACAATTTCAGTTGGTGGCCCACCACATCTTGGCCTTCTTCACAGTCATCGTCTGCAGCCACCACTGTGCCATGAGCTGAGCACAATAAACATTATTTCCAGCCACTGTCACCTTTGGCATTGTAGGTGTATTTGTGGCCACTTCCATCTTGGAGAATCGCATGCAATTTCACATACAACCTCCATGGAGCTTCATCTTTGCATGGCAGCAATACACCTCCTTCAGCAGGGCACAGTGGATTGAAGAAAATAGATTTCAAAACCAATGCCATCACTTGGCCAATGCCAGCATGCATTTTGGAAACAGTGCTGGACCTGATGCATGCTAGCAAAATCCATGCATATTCAGATCCCAAAGTTTGCAGAGAGAAATTCATGAAGGAACCATAGATTGCCCAGGTGCGCCTTTCACATTTCCCAAGGATGTTCCCTGGGATCACTTCATCAGTGTATAAGCACAACTGAAGTGGATTGTGTTCATTCATGCCATGTATTTGTGCAGTCTTGTGAAGCAATTCCTTGTATGAGCCACCTTCAAAGCAAAGAGCTGCCAAATAAGACCAAAAATTGTTCAACCAGATTTTGCCAGTGGTGCCATCAATGTTCTGAGTTTGCCATTGTTGAAGCAATGGGCCATACCTGGTTCCAGCTTGCAAGGCTGCTTTTGTAGATTCCAATATATGTTTCCTGGAGTGCAAAGAAGGCAGCCCTTTGGTTTCAATGTCTTTCAAAATTGCAGCAAGGGCTGATTTGCTGACATAAGGAACACTTCGCTTCAATTCTTGCAGTCTTGCCAATTTTGCAGGTCTGCTATCAGTCATTTCATTGCTTCAAGGAAGAAATGGTGTTTGCTGCAATTGAAAAATAAATTGTTGCTGGGAAACAAAAGGGTGGTGCTGTCAAAATATTGAAACTTAATTACTGGAAATATATAGATGATGGTGGAACAATAAACATCAAGTTCTGGTGGGCTGACCTTGAGCCATGGCCTGGCAAAAGAAACAGGTGACACATGTGAATCACCTATCAGACCAAAAGTACAACTAGCAAATGGCACTGTAGCAAAAGCCTTTGAAGCTTGAAAGCTTCAGCTTGAAAGCTGCATGAGCTTGAAAGCTGCATGAGCTTGACAATTGGTTAAATTTTGAAAGCCCCATGAGCTTGATCACAAGAAGCCTCAAGGGCTTGCAAACTGGCAGCACAGCAGCACATTTTTTCAAGTGCCAATTTGTCTTAAGCCATTTGAAGTTGAACTTCCCAAGCCCCCTGCAATGCCATTTTAGGCCTTTGCATTCCCCTGCTTAGGATTGCTTTCACTTTTTCTTCTGGCACTTCTTCTTCTTGTTCTGCACAGCCTTCTGTGCCATGAAAGTTGCCCACTCCTTTCTGCTGCTGAAGCGCTTTCCATTGAACATTGGGGACCAACAAGTATCACAGCCATTGATGTTTCCACGGCACCTAAGGCAGCCAAACACTCCACAAGCAGGCTTCCACCCATTTTTGCTTCCCACAGTGGTTGCCTTTTTGCCTTTGGCCTTGGGGGCTGCCTTCTGATTGGGCACAGTGGCACTTGCAGCAGCTGCAGGCCTTTTCATTCCTTTGTTCTTAGCCTTGGCTTTGGCAGCCAATTTCCCAAATGCTTGGAGCTCAAATTCTTCCAAGCTGGTGGGTCCAACATGTTTCTCTTGGCTTTCATCAGTTTTGGCCAAATCTTTCAAGCTAGACCCAGTCACAGAGCCATCCATCAGAGCAGGAACAGACACAGCCAGTGATGACTGGCTAGCTTGCTGCTGGCTGCTTTGTCCATCACCACCATACTTTTCAGTGAACTTGTTCAAGGCACTGAGGAAAGCATCAATTTTGGCAGTTTGTTGTTCCTGACAATGGATTGGCTGAAGCAAAATTGAAATTAAAAAAGCAATGGCCACCATTTTCACAAAATGATATGAAAGTGCAAACACATTTTACAAGAAAGCAAAAAACATGCTCCAAGGAACTGGTTCAGACACTGGGAGCTGAATGCTCTGCTGGGGTGTTGCCACAGCTGCAATCTTGGCATTGGAAGCCTGAGCGACATTTTTGAGAAGATGGCTTGTGGACCTCAGAGGAATCTTGTCAATGTACATGCTCAAAGGAACATCGCGACACAAAGGCACCTCATTTGTCCCATAGGCCTTGCTAATCCATTCCTCACCTAAGTCCATTGGGTTGCCTGGATAGCTTGCCAGGGAGCCAACTTGGCACTGGACCCTCATTCCCATGAACAGCTTGGAAAAATCCCTGCCCAGGTAGTACAGAGGCCATGGATCTGGCAGTGGCATGCCTTTGGATTCCATCCAGTGCAGTGTCAACCCAAGGGCTTGGGCTTTGACATCTTCCTTCATTGACACCATGCCAATCTGCTTGACCCTTTGCACAAGGGTTTGGAAAACATCTCTTGTCAGATTTGTGTTCTGCAGCTTTCCCCAATCACTGGCAGTCAAATACATACCAAGGTTGCCAATGCTTTGCTGTGTTGCAGACAGCCTGACATTGCTGGCAGGTCCTGAGCAACAGTCCAGCACACTGAGCAGCTTGTCCTTGGTTTCAGCAGTCAGTGTGCTGCTGTCTGTAGCATCCATCAGCTTGACCACAGCACTGGGTGCAAGGTTGGGAATGGATTTCAATTTTTCCTCCAAGCTATTCACCATTGTGGCAAAAATGTTCTTGCCTCTTGGTCTTTTCTCCAAAGTCTCCAAATGCTGGATCTCATTCAGCAAGTCTTCCATCTTCCACAAAGCCATTGCAAGGGCACAGGAACAGAGAGTCAGGACAGCAGGTGGGCTAAAGACCAAATGGCTGTAGATGACACAAAGAAGTAAAACTTCAAAACCAATGACAAACTTTGGTGGCATGTGATAGCCCAGCATCAGGCTTGCAATCTAGAATGGCTACATGGCTTGGTAAGGGACAGCCACAAGGGCTTGGAAGTCACAGCCAGCAAAGCTTATAATGAGCAATGCAAAAGGCTTGAAAGACAATAGCTTGCAAGTTTTCATGCAGGCTTGCAAACATTGGAAAGACAGCCAATTAGAGCTTGCAATTCCACAGCCTAGAATGCTTGCAGTGCAAAAGCCACAAGGGCTTGCTGAAGACATAGCCACTGAGGACTTGCAGTTCCATAGCCATAAAGATGCTTGCAATGCAAAAGCCACAAGGGCTTGATGCAAACATAGCCACTGAGGGCTTCCATTTCCACAGCCTAGAAGGCTTGCAGTGCAAAAGCCACAAGGGCTTGAGTATGCAGAAAACAACAGCACTAGCAGCAGCAATCTTTTTTCATATTCCATCCTGGTGCAGTGTCTACTTCTTCAAGTAGTCCCGTTTTGGGTCAACCCCCTCACTCTTCATCAAGCCCTCATGCTGCACCAGACAGTTCTTGAAGTGAGGGCTCTTCTCAAACTTCTTGACCAGTTCTTGTGCTTGCAGCACTTGCCCTTTGAGGACCAGGTGACTCAAGGCCACACATTTGTTCATCCAGCCACCTCCGTGTTTTGCAGCTGGCACTTGTGGCGGTGGCATTGCACCAGGGCTAGCAGCAGTGCTTGAGCTGCTAGGTCCACTTGGTGGAGGGCCAGGAGGAGGTGGCAGTGGCTCCAGCTTGGGCACTTTGCTGCTGGGAGCCAGAGCTGCTGGTGTCACTCTTTTTCTGCTTGGTGCCACTTTCTTTACCTCCATTTCCTTTTTCTCCTCATCCATTTCCTTTTTCTCCTCCTCCATTTCCTTTTTCACCTCCTTCATTAACTTTTTCACCTCCTCCACTACATTTTTCTGCACCTTCTCCTCCTTCACCCACTCCCACTCTTCCTCCACCTCCTGCATCCTTGAGGCGTACCAGTTCTGCTCCATCTCATTGGGGTCCACCACAGTCTCATTTCCAAACATTGTTGGAGCTTCAGTGGCTGCATCATCACCCTCTTCATTATCACCACATTCAGTTGGAGAAGAGGGCCTGAGTTGGCAAGGAATCATACTTAAACAAAAAGGATTTGATTGCAGTAACCCTGTGGGCCACATAGCATTGGAGGATGACCAAACAACAAATGCAATCAAGTCATATGAGATGGTGCAAACATATGGAAACAAAAGAATTTAAAGAAAAACAACTTGATGCAATATCCAAGTTGCTCCATGGGCCTGGCTGGCAGTCCCAGCAGTGGCCAAGGTGACCTTTCCAAGTCACTTGGGTCCAGCTCAGGGTTCACCACCACTGTATCCTTCACATTTTGATCCTGAGCCTCAGTTGGGCTCTGAGCAGGGTTGGTCTGCACCTCTTCATGGGAAGCCATTGCTTCGGCAAAAGGTGTCAGCATTCCTATGCTGACAGCACCTACCAGTAGACTTGTCACTATTGGTACATGTATATAAATATACAGTTGTTTATTTTGCATTATCAATGTTGTGAAAGTATGACACTCAAGTACATATGCTTGGCACTTGAAAGTAACATGTTTCCCCTTTAGGTGGTTTGCATCTCTATATGGCCAGTATGTGGTAGATACATTTTAGTGAGTGGTACAAGCAATTAGGCATTTACTCTTGCCTCTCTTGAGAATCAAAATATAACAACAAGAAAATATTACAGCATTTGTGTAGTATGATGTATGTAAGAGAATGGCAGTGGAGTATAAAACAGCCATGAAGGCTTGAAAGCCCAACTGGGCTTGACATCATATTGCCATTAAGGCTTGCAAGCCCTTTTGGGCTTAAACTCACATAGCCATTGAGGCTTGAAAGCTTTATTGAGCTTGGATTCAAATAGCCATTAAGGCTTGAAAATCATACTGAGCTATATGTGTTTTCTAAATTTGTTTTGTATTAAGGGTTTTAATGAAAATTAAAGCCAACTACTAAGTAAACAAACAAGAAACGTAAATACAGTTAAAAAACATATTTAAACAAAAAAACAAATTTGAATAGCTTTTGCGATGCAAACTTTAGATTCAGAATCTAAATCTAAAATCTTTCCAAAAGATTTTAGATTCAGATTCTGAATCTAAAATCTTTTGGAAAGATTTTAGATTCAGAATCTGAATTTACATACTCTTGGAAATATTTTTAATTTATATTTTGAATGTTTGTTTTAACAAAAAAAATATTAGTTTTATTCATTTTTTACATGTAAACAATAACAAAATTCAGAAAATTGAAGTTTATGAAATAATTACTTTGTAATTTGATTGTGAATAAATATATTTTGAACAATGTTCTTTTAATCAATACAGGCTAACATTTGTGAGTACCAAACCATAAGTTTACACACATTTTTGCTATACATATATATATATAATTTGTTTATATATTGTTTTGTTTTATCTTTGACATTTGGACCAAAATATATATGAAACATTTCCTGTGCCAATTGCTTGGTCAGCAAATATCAGCATACCATGTTACTTTGCAATATAAAAAAATATTTGAAATTACTTTTCACACATAAACAAACATTGACTCTGATTTCAAAGAGCTGCACAAAGCTTGCCTCAAATACACATGTCAAAAAGAGCTTGCAAATTAACACAGCAAACTACATAAACTCACACATACATAGCCACTAGGGTTCCCCATGCAACTGGCAGCAACCAAAAACCTTGCACAGCATTCATATTTTTAAGTTTTTTGGATGCATTTGGTACTTTAAGCATTTGTTTTTGCATAATTGTTAGAATTCAAACAGTACTGCAACTACTTTTTTATGAATTGTTTCACTTGGCCAAATCATTTTTTTTTGAAATCATTCCACATTGAAGATCATCATGATCACTACTAGTCTAGGGTGGCACAGTAATTAATGGATCATATGTTATTTCCTAATGATCATATAGACTGCATTACTTGTCTTTGATGTTTTTGTCTAGTCCAACTTCATGACATCTCCTTCTGTTGCACTTTTTGTTCACCTACAACTTGTAACTTTTCGATTTTTTTACCACTGGATAGAAGAGTATAGTTCAGTGCCAAGCAAACTTTTGAAAGCTATGAGCACTACTGGTTTGACCCTGATAAATAGGTAATGAAACCTTGAAAAAATTAGGACAGCAATTCATGCTTGAGAAACATAAATTTGAAAGCCACTGGAGCTTGAAGGCAAGAATGACTTGAACAAAAAAAACAATGAGGCTGGAAAGCCACAAGAGCCACTGGGGCCTGACAGCCACAAGGGCTTGAATCAAAACAGCAATCAACAGCCATGTAGGCTTGAACACTTTAAAGTAGCCACTGGGGCTTGCAGAAACACTGAGTGCCAATCAGCTGCTGCTTTTTCACACCTCATTCAAAATAAGGTCGTTGTTGGAATCTGTTTGGTGAAAAATGCATTGTCACTATGGGACCTACCCAGTCCTTGGCCAGCAGAGCCACTTCAGTGTCTTCTTTCCTTAGGTGCAGCTAGCTTACATAAAAAAAGTGATGATCCCACAAGCAAACAACAAAAACATTTGTGCCACATTCAAGCATGCAAGCATGGACAATGATATCCAGCATGCAGCCCAGACACCAGGACTGCCAGCCACAGTCAAATTGGCACACTCTCCACCTCTTCCCATTTCTCCACATCCAGCCACTGAACAGCACATTGGTGTAGTAATGGTCACTCCAGATCCTGAGATGCATTGCTGACACAAACATTCAATGCACATGTTCTGATATTTTGTTTCATTTGGATAACCAGAAGCCATGCTATGGGAAAAAAAACTGAACCAATATACAAGTTTCCATTTTTCAGTACCATCATTGAAGAGCAACACAGTGTGATCTCGAAGATGCTGCACATCACTGATGCTCAGTGGTCTTGCCATTGCCTTTTCAATACACTTCAGTCAATACACTTGGTGTTCAGTCAGTCATTTCCTTGAGCCAAAAAAAGCAAAGGTTCTTTCTTTCCAAACCCAGTTTGAAAAAAAAACATATCAAAGTGGACCATTGGACCATGGGATGTCTATGGTGAACTCCTTGGGAAACATATTTCCACACATTGACTCAAAAGAACTTCTGGATTTTGAACAAAAAGAAGTATGCACTAAATTTAATAAACAAACCTAAGCTTGGAAGAAGAAAGCCACTGGGGCTTGAAAGCCACTGGGGCTTGAAGGCCACTAGGGCTTCAAAGCCACTGGGGCTTGAAAACACTGTGGGTTTCAAAGTCATTTGGGTTTTCACCAAAGCCATTTGGCTTGCAGGATATTCAGCTTTCAGAAAAGACAATGAAAGGCTTGAAAGCCATTGAGGCTGTAGAACCAAAGAAAGACAATGTGAAGTGGGAAGCCCAATGAGCTTGGAAGCCTGAAAGGCTTTGAATTTGCAAGCTACAAAGGCTTTGAAGCCCTTTGAGGCTTGGAAGGCAAAGACATGGGTAAATTTGACATGGCTGAGGTACAAGCCAAAGATATGACCAGAAAGTGAAACAATTCAGCAACCAATAAGTGACCACAACAAAACCATTTTGGGATTCAACAGCAGCATGCATCTTTTTTCAGGTGCTCACAGCATGCCATTGGTATGTCATTGCTGTTTCGCCCTGGCCTTATACAGCCTTTTCTCTGCATTGAGGCACTTTTCCACATCCAGTGCAAGCTTGCCAAAAACACAGTCCAATTGGTCAGGCTCCATGCAGACCAAAAGGTCTGATCTTGCAGGTCGTTTCCCTTGCAGAAGCACTTCTATCAATGTATCATCTACATTGATTTCCACTGTGTAGTCTCCAGGTGGAACCTTTCTTTTTTTAGAAGCTGGCTGTGCATTGTCCTCATCAGATCCAGCTCCACTCTCAGCAGCAGCATCATGTTCCTGCTCTGCATCAGCTTGACCATATGCCTTTTTCACAGCAGCTTCATTCCTCATGGCCACCAGCTTGGCCAGTTCAGGGCTAGTTGCAAAGCTAGCATTCTTGCTGGCAGTACCTTTGCTCAGCAATGACACCAAGCTGTAACATGTTGGCCTCAGTCTCAAATAGGATTTGCCTTCAAAGGTTTCAATCATAGAAGCAGGAAAGGAGACCCACTTGTCATCTTTCCATTTCACATCCCAAGTTTGCCTCAGCTCTGCCATTGGTGCCACAGACCTACACTCTGTACCTTTATAGCCAAACTGCAGGCAAAAACTTTTGTGTTCCACATTGCAAGCACACAAGCCAAATTCAGTCACAACTTTGCAACAAAAGCCATGAAAGCCATTACAGCTTGAAAGCCAGTGAAATCTGAAAGCCAATACAGCTTGAAAGCCAGAAAGACTTGAAAGCCAATATATAGCTTGAAAGCCAGGGAGACTTGAAAGCCAATAGAGCTTGAAAGCCTGGAAGGCTTGAAAGCCAAAGAGCTTGGTACCATGCAGCTGGAGAAGAGAAGCAAATAGCATTCAATGCTTGCCATGTAGATAGGTAAAAGCATCAAGAATCAAGAACAGTGCTTAGAAAGCAAAGCATGCAATTCGTTTTCCACTCCAGCAAGGCAAAAGTAGGTGGCTTGAACACAGAAACCTTTCATGCTGGGAGAGATCTTCTGCGATGCCGAGTCAACCCTGACTCATCAGGTCCGACAGTTAGGACACCAAGCGTTCCGTTTTGGCCTAGCGGATGGTGATCTCTCCAAGGTTGAAGGCAGGCAAAAGTTGTTTCATTGGATCATACAGCACCGGCCTCAACACCTTTGGTATAGTCCAACATGTGGTCCCTGGTCATCATGGAGCAACTTGAACGCCTCCAGATCTTTAGAAAGTCAACTGAAATACCAACAGCTACGTAGCCAGTTAATGTATCAGGTTGCACTGGGAATTGTTCTGTATCGTCATCAATTGGAACATGGCCGACATTTTCACCTCGAACAGCCAAGCCGGTCATTGATGTTGCATGTCCATGGTCTATCAGAGATTCACCAGCATTCGCAAGCATGTCAATTCGACATGTGCACTCTTGGCTTGAAGGATCCTGCAACTGGCGAGCCGATGCGCAAGCCAATGACAGTGCTCACTACCCATCCTGGAGTATATGAGCAACTGCATGGTAGGAAGTGTACCAATCACCCAAGCCATCAGCCAATTGAAGGTAGAACTGTTTTTGAAAATCATTCCATTCTCAGGACCCAATTTTCCGAGGCATACCCGAGAAAGTTTTCCCGATTGATTGCCAAGGTAATGTCACAGTCTCCATTTCAAAGGCCGTTCAGATGGGCCGTGGGAGCATGGTGTCATGTTGCGGAAACCTTGCCGGCCATCGGACAGCGTTCAGTCCGATCAGTGTTTCGAAAGCCCAATCAGAACCAAGAAAAGTTTCCAAAATCCAGTCCTGAACCTCTTCAAGATAAGGAGGAAAAACGACGCCGACTCACGGGAAAACAGTCAACTCAACCAGATCTACTTAGATGAACCCTGTGCTTGCTAAGTACTTAGCAAGGTTAACAAGGTTACTAAGTCCTTAGCTAAGTACTTATAACCTCAAAAAATGGAAGTGTTTTTTCAAAAAAAAAGTAGCCCATGGCTTTCTTTTTTGGAAAGTTGCTTCTATTTTTTTGAAAGGACCCTTATAGACCTGGTGTTTTCATTGTTTTTTGATTTTCCTTTACCAGCTCTTCTTTTTAACAATTGGTAGTGGAGCACAAAGCAGCAAGGCTCAAAGCAAATATTGCCACAGAATGCTTTTGAAAACATGTGGAGTGCAAACCAAAAGAATTTATACATATCTGGTTTGCATATATGAAGCAAAAGCCTTCTTAAAGCTTGCAAATTCAAAGCCATGCAGGCTGGGGAGCCAATGCTACAGAAAGCAAGGCTTGCAAGAGCAAGGATCAGAAGCCAATCAAGCTTGCAGGGTAAAAGCCATGCAGGCTTGCATTGCAACAGCCATCCCAAGCTTAAAGCAAAAGCCATTCAGAGCTGGCTTGCAAACAAATAGCCAATGAGGCTTGGAACAAAACGCAAGCAGCAGCATTTTTTTCCATGGCTTCACTTCTTCAAGACATGTCTCACTTGCCAAGGAATCAATGTCTTGACCTTGTCCTTGTCCTTGTTGTAAATCAATGGGAGTAACATTTCATGGACAGGCACCAAACATTGCTTTTCTGATTGTGTCCAAAAGCATGCTCCAAGATGTTCAGCATCTTCTGCAAATTCGAGAAGCTGCACCAAAGCAAACACATTGCCATTGTAGGAAACAAAGGCCAAAGCTTCCATTGCTTGAAAAGGTTTTGCTAGTACAATGTCCTGCTTGGAGCACATAGATTTTTGCATTTGGCATTTAGAGGCCACTTGCAAGTTGTCTGTGGGAATCACATGGCCAAAAATCTTCTCTATCAGTGAATGGAATTGTTTCTTCGGTTGGTGGGCATCTACTAAATAGATACCATCTGCAAAAACACCTGGCTGCTTCAAGTGAAACAACTCTTCTGCCAAGCATTCTTGAAGCAATGTGTGTTCATACACAGCAGTATTGCAAACATTGGATGCAAATTTGCAAATGAAGCGATGTTTCCTTTCCATTGCAAAGCATGAAGGTAATTTCTGAAACCTTTGAAATGCAGGCCCCAAATGCAAAGCCCAGTGAAACTTTTTGATCATATATTCTTGAAGGTTGGCATCCACCCAAGATTGCAAACACATTTCTGCTGCTTGCTGCAAAGCTCCAGGGTTGCATGCATTCCATATTTGTCCCAAATGGACTAAATCCACTATGTGAGCACATGCCAAAAAGGCTTTGCAAATCCGAGGGCATACCAATTCATTTGGAAGCAAGAAGCTTTTGACCAAATGGACCAGCACTGGCAACATCCCCAATGCTTCACTGGCTTGGCATTGAAATTTTTTGGCAGTATCATATTTCTTGCCATGCTTGGTGTTGAACAGTGTATCAAGGTGCTTGGGCAAGTGATGGGGCCATTGCCACAGCTGCATATAGTCACAAATCACCTGCCATCCATGTGGCTTCAAATTGGAACCAAGCACATAGATTGCGACTTGAACAATACCTGCACTGACCAGGCAGTGCATCCAGTCATGGAGGTACTGTGAAGCAGGTTGCAATAGATTAGATCGTCTCAGATCCATGTCTAATAGGAGTGCATTCCTGCTGTAAGTCAGCCCACTTGCTTTTTGCCAAATTTCAAACTGGCTTTTTGGCATGGAAAAGTAATTTTGCTGCAGCCTGTCAAAGGACTGCAGAATTTCATTGTCACTGTGCACCAGCAGCTGTGACAATTTCAGTTGGTGGCCCACCACATCTTGGCCTTCTTCACAGTCATCGTCTGCAGCCACCACTGTGCCATGAGCTGAGCACAATAAACAGTATTTCCAGCCACTGTCACCTTTGGCATTGTAGGTGTATTTGTGGCCACTTCCATCTTGGAGAATCGCATGCAATTTCACATACAACCTCCATGGAGCTTCATCTTTGCATGGCAGCAATACACCTCCTTCAGCAGGGCACAGTGGATTGAAGAAAATAGATTTCAAAACCAATGCCATCACTTGGCCAATGCCAGCATGCATTTTGGAAACAGTGCTGGACCTGATGCATGCTAGCAAAATCCATGCATATTCAGATCCCAAAGTTTGCAGAGAGAAATTCATGAAGGAACCATAGATTGCCCAGGTGCGCCTTTCACATTTCCCAAGGATGTTCCCTGGGATCACTTCATCAGTGTATAAGCACAACTGAAGTGGATTGTGTTCATTCATGCCATGTATTTGTGTAGTCTTGTGAAGCAATTCCCTGTATGAGCCACCTTCAAAGCAAAGAGCTGCCAAATAAGACCAAAAATTGTTCAACCAGATTTTGCCAGTGGTGCCATCAATGTTCTGAGTTTGCCATTGTTGAAGCAATGGGCCATACCTGGTTCCAGCTTGCAAGGCTGCTTTTGCAGATTCCAATATATGTTTCCTGGAGTGCAAAGAAGGCAGCCCTTTGGTTTCAATGTCTTTCAAAATTGCAGCAAGGGCTGATTTGCTGACATAAGGAACACTTCGCTTCAATTCTTGCAGTCTTGCCAATTTTGCAGGTCTGCTATCAGTCATTTCATTGCTTCAAGGAAGAAATGGTGTTTGCTGCAATTGAAAAATAAATTGTTGCTGGGAAACAAAAGGGTGGTGCTGTCAAAATATTGAAACTTAATTACTGGAAATATATAGATGATGGTGGAACAATAAACATCAAGTTCTGGTGGGCTGACCTTGAGCCATGGCCTGGCAAAAGAAACAGGTGACACATGTGAATCACCTATCAGACCAAAAGTACAACTAGCAAATGGCACTGTAGCAAAAGCCTTTGAAGCTTGAAAGCTTCATGAGCTTGAAAGCTGCATGAGCTTGACAATTGGTTAAATTTTGAAAGCCCCATGAGCTTGATCACAAGAAGCCTCAAGGGCTTGCAAACTGGCAGCACAGCAGCACATTTTTTCAAGTGCCAATTTGTCTTAAGCCATTTGAAGTTGAACTTCCCAAGCCCCCTGCAATGCCATTTTAGGCCTTTGCATTCCCCTGCTTAGGATTGCTTTCACTTTTTCTTCTGGCACTTCTTCTTCTTGTTCTGCACAGCCTTCTGTGCCATGAAAGTTGCCCACTCCTTTCTGCTGCTGAAGCGCTTTCCATTGAACATTGGGGACCAACAAGTATCACAGCCATTGATGTTTCCACGGCACCTAAGGCAGCCAAACACTCCACAAGCAGGCTTCCACCCATTTTTGCTTCCCACAGTGGTTGCCTTTTTGCCTTTGGCCTTGGGGGCTGCCTTCTGATTGGGCACAGTGGCACTTGCAGCAGCTGCAGGCCTTTTCATTCCTTTGTTCTTAGCCTTGGCTTTGGCAGCCAATTTCCCAAATGCTTGGAGCTCAAATTCTTCCAAGCTGGTGGGTCCAACATGTTTCTCTTGGCTTTCATCAGTTTTGGCCAAATCTTTCAAGCTAGACCCAGTCACAGAGCCATCCATCAGAGCAGGAACAGACACAGCCAGTGATGACTGGCTAGCTTGCTGCTGGCTGCTTTGTCCATCACCACCATACTTTTCAGTGAACTTGTTCAAGGCACTGAGGAAAGCATCAATTTTGGCAGTTTGTTGTTCCTGACAATGGATTGGCTGAAGCAAAATTGAAATTAAAAAAGCAATGGCCACCATTTTCACAAAATGATATGAAAGTGCAAACACATTTGTAAGCAAAAAACATGCTCCAAGGAACTGGTTCAGACACTGGGAGCTGAATGCTCTGCTGGGGTGTTGCCACAGCTGCAATCTTGGCATTGGAAGCCTGAGCGACATTTTTGAGAAGATGGCTTGTGGACCTCAAAGGAATCTTGTCAATGTACATGCTCAAAGGAACATCGCGACACAAAGGCACCTCATTTGTCCCATAGGCCTTGCTAATCCATTCCTCACCTAAGTCCATTGGGTTGCCTGGATAGCTTGCCAGGGAGCCAACTTGGCACTGGACCCTCATTCCCATGAACAGCTTGGAAAAATCCCTGCCCAGGTAGTACAGAGGCCATGGATCTGGCAGTGGCATGCCTTTGGATTCCATCCAGTGCAGTGTCAACCCAAGGGCTTGGGCTTTGACATCTTCCTTCATTGACACCATGCCAATCTGCTTGACCCTTTGCACAAGGGTTTGGAAAACATCTCTTGTCAGATTTGTGTTCTGCAGCTTTCCCCAATCACTGGCAGTCAAATACATACCAAGGTTGCCAATGCTTTGCTGTGTTGCAGACAGCCTGACATTGCTGGCAGGTCCTGAGCAACAGTCCAGCACACTGAGCAGCTTGTCCTTGGTTTCAGCAGTCAGTGTGCTGCTGTCTGTAGCATCCATCAGCTTGACCACAGCACTGGGTGCAAGGTTGGGAATGGATTTCAATTTTTCCTCCAAGCTATTCACCATTGTGGCAAAAATGTTCTTGCCTCTTGGTCTTTTCTCCAAAGTCTCCAAATGCTGGATCTCATTCAGCAAGTCTTCCATCTTCCACAAAGCCATTGCAAGGGCACAGGAACAGAGAGTCAGGACAGCAGGTGGGCTAAAGACCAAATGGCTGTAGATGGCACAAAGAAGTAAAACTTCAAAACCAATGACAAACTTTGGTGGCATGTGATAGCCCAGCATCAGGCTTGCAATCTAGAATGGCTACATGGCTTGGTAAGGGACAGCCACAAGGGCTTGGAAGTCACAGCCAGCAAAGCTTATAATGAGCAATGCAAAAGGCTTGAAAGACAATAGCTTGCAAGTTTTCATGCAGGCTTGCAAACATTGGAAAGACAGCCAATTAGAGCTTGCAATTCCACAGCCTAGAATGCTTGCAGTGCAAAAGCCACAAGGGCTTGCTGAAGACATAGCCACTGAGGACTTGCAGTTCCATAGCCAAAAAGATGCTTGCAATGCAAAAGCCACAAGGGCTTGATGCAAACATAGCCACTGAGGGCTTGCATTTCCACAGCCTAGAAGGCTTGCAGTGCAAAAGCCACAAGGGCTTGAGTATGCAGAAAACAACAGCACTAGCAGCAGCAATCTTTTTTCATATTCCATCCTGGTGCAGTGTCTACTTCTTCAAGTAGTCCCGTTTTGGGTCAACCCCCTCACTCTTCATCAAGCCCTCATGCTGCACCAGACAGTTCTTGAAGTGAGGGCTCTTCTCAAACTTCTTGACCAGTTCTTGTGCTTGCAGCACTTGCCCTTTGAGGACCAGGTGACTCAAGGCCACACATTTGTTCATCCAGCCACCTCCTTGTTTTGCAGCTGGCACTTGTGGCGGTGGCATTGCACCAGGGCTAGCAGCAGTGCTTGAGCTGCTAGGTCCACTTGGTGGAGGGCCAGGAGGAGGTGGCAGTGGCTCCAGCTTGGGCACTTTGCTGCTGGGAGCCAGAGCTGCTGGTGTCACTCTTTTTCTGCTTGGTGCCACTTTCTTTACATCCATTTCCTTTTTCTCCTCATCCATTTCCTTTTTCTCCTCCTCCATTTCCTTTTTCACCTCCTTCATTAACTTTTTCACCTCCTCCACTACATTTTTCTGCACCTTCTCCTCCTTCACCCACTCCCACTCTTCCTCCACCTCCTGCATCCTTGAGGCGTACCAGTTCTGCTCCATCTCATTGGGGTCCACCACAATCTCATTTCCAAACATTGTTGGAGCTTCAGTGGCTGCATCATCACCCTCTTCATTATCACCACATTCAGTTGGAGAAGAGGGCCTGAGTTGGCAAAGAATCATACTTAAACAAAAAGGATTTGATTGCAGTAACCCTGTGGGCCACATAGCATTGGAGGATGACCAAACAACAAATGCAATCAAGTCATATGAGATGGTGCAAACATATGGAAACAAAAGAATTTAAAGAAAAACAACTTGATGCAATATCCAAGTTGCTCCATGGGCCTGGCTGGCAGTCCCAGCAGTGGCCAAGGTGACCTTTCCAAGTCACTTGGGTCCAGCTCAGGGTTCACCACCACTGTATCCTTCACATTTTGATCCTGAGCCTCAGTTGGGCTCTGAGCAGGGTTGGTCTGCACCTCTTCATGGGAAGCCATTGCTTCGGCAAAAGGTGTCAGCATTCCTATGCTGACAGCACCTACCAGTAGACTTTGTCACTATTGGTACATGTATATAAATATACAGTTGTTTATTTTGCATTATCAATGTTGTGAAAGTATGACACTCAAGTACATATGCTTGGCACTTGAAAGTAACATGTTTCCCCTTTAGGTGGTTTGCATCTCTATATGGCCAGTATGTGGTAGATACATTTTAGTGAGTGGTACAAGCAATTAGGCATTTACTCTTGCCTCTCTTGAGAATCAAAATATAACAACAAGAAAATATTACAGCATTTGTGTAGTATGATGTATGTAAGAGAATGGCAGTGGAGTATAAAACAGCCATGAAGGCTTGAAAGCCCAACTGGGCTTGACATCATATTGCCATTAAGGCTTGCAAGCCCTTTTGGGCTTAAACTCACATAGCCATTGAGGCTTGAAAGCTTTATTGAGCTTGGATTCAAATAGCCATTAAGGCTTGAAAATCATACTGAGCTATATGTGTTTTCTAAATTTGTTTTGTATTAAGGGTTTTAATGAAAATTAAAGCCAACTACTAAGTAAACAAACAAGAAACGTAAATACAGTTAAAAAAACATATTTAAAAAAAACAAATTTGAATAGTTTTTGCGATGCAAACTTTAGATTCAGAATCTGAATCTAAAATCTTTTGGAAAGATTTTAGATTCAGAATCTGAATCTAAAATCTTTTGGAAAGATTTTAGATTCAGAATCTGAATTTACATACTCTTGGAAATATTTTTAATTTATATTTTGAATGTTTGTTTTAACAAAAAAAATATTAGTTTTATTCATTTTTTACATGTAAACAATAACAAAATTCAGAAAATTGAAGTTTATGAAATAATTACTTTGTAATTTGATTGTGAATAAATATATTTTGAACAATGTTCTTTTAATCAATACAGGCTAACATTTGTGAGTACCAAACCATAAGTTTACACACATTTTTGCTATACATATATATATATATATAATTTGTTTATATATTGTTTTGTTTTATCTTTGACATTTGGACCAATATATATATGAAACATTTCCTGTGCCAATTGCTTGGTCAGCAAATATCAGCATACCATGTTACTTTGCAATATAAAAAAAATATTTGAAATTACTTTTCACACATAAACAAACATTGACTCTGATTTCAAAGAGCTGCACAAAGCTTGCCTCAAATACACATGTCAAAAAGAGCTTGCAAATTAACACAGCAAACTACATAAACTCACACATACATAGCCACTAGGGTTCCCCATGCAACTGGCAGCAACCAAAAACCTTGCACAGCATTCATATTTTTAAGTTTTTTGGATGCATTTGGTACTTTAAGCATTTGTTTTTGCATAATTGTTAGAATTCAAACAGTACTGCAACTACTTTTTTATGAATTGTTTCACTTGGCCAAATCATTTTTTTTGAAATCATTCCACATTGAAGATCATCATGATCACTACTAGTCTAGGGTGGCACAGTAATTAATGGATCATATGTTATTTCCTAATGATCATATACTGCATTACTTGTCTTTGATGTTTTTGTCTAGTCCAACTTCATGACATTTCCTTCTGTTGCACTTTTTGTTCACCTACAACTTGTAACTTTTCGATTTTTTTACCACTGGATAGAAGAGTATAGTTCAGTGCCAAGCAAACTTTTGAAAGCTATGAGCACTACTGGTTTGACCCTGATAAATAGGTAATGAAACCTTGAAAAAATTAGGACAGCAATTCATGCTTGAGAAACATAAATTTGAAAGCCACTGGAGCTTGAAGGCAAGAATGACTTGAACAAAAAAAACAATGAGGCTGGAAAGCCACAAGAGCCACTGGGGCCTGACAGCCACAAGGGCTTGAATCAAAACAGCAATCAACAGCCATGTAGGCTTGAACACTTTAAAGTAGCCACTGGGGCTTGCAGAAACACTGAGTGCCAATCAGCTGCTGCTTTTTCACACCTCATTCAAAATAAGGTCGTTGTTGGAATCTGTTTGGTGAAAAATGCATTGTCACTATGGGACCTACCCAGTCCTTGGCCAGCAGAGCCACTTCAGTGTCTTCTTTCCTTAGGTGCAGCTAGCTTACATAAAAAACAGTGATGATCCCACAAGCAAACAACAAAAACATTTGTGCCACATTCAAGCATGCAAGCATGGACAATGATATCCAGCATGCAGCCCAGACACCAGGACTGCCAGCCACAGTCAAATTGGCACACTCTCCACCTCTTCCCATTTCTCCACATCCAGCCACTGAACAGCACATTGGTGTAGTAATGGTCACTCCAGATCCTGAGATGCATTGCTGACACAAACATTCAATGCACATGTTCTGATATTTTGTTTCATTTGGATAACCAGAAGCCATGCTATGGGAAAAAAAACTGAACCAATATACAAGTTTCCATTTTTCAGTACCATCATTGAAGAGCAACACAGTGTGATCTCGAAGATGCTGCACATCACTGATGCTCAGTGGTCTTGCCATTGCCTTTTCAATACACTTCAGTCAATACACTTGGTGTTCAGTCAGTCATTTCCTTGAGCAAAAAAAAGCAAAGGTTCTTTCTTTCCAAACCCAGTTTGAAAAAAAAAACATATCAAAGTGGACCATTGGACCATGGGATGTCTATGGTGAACTCCTTGGGAAACATATTTCCACACATTGACTCAAAAGAACTTCTGGATTTTGAACAAAAAGAAGTATGCACTAAATTTAATAAACAAACCTAAGCTTGGAAGAAGAAAGCCACTGGGGCTTGAAAGCCACTGGGGCTTGAAGGCCACTAGGGCTTCAAAGCCACTGGGGCTTGAAAACACTGTGGGTTTCAAAGTCATTTGGATTTTCACCAAAGCCATTTGGCTTGCAGGATATTCAGCTTTCAGAAAAGACAATGAAAGGCTTGAAAGCCATTGAGGCTGTAGAACCATAGAAAGACAATGTGAAGTGGGAAGCCCAATGAGCTTGGAAGCCTGAAAGGCTTTGAATTTGCAAGCTACAAAGGCTTTGAAGCCCTTGGAAGGCAAAGACATGGGTAAATTTGACATGGCTGAGGTACAAGCCAAAGATATGACCAGAAAGTGAAACAATTCAGCAACCAATAAGTGACCACAACAAAACCATTTTGGGATTCAACAGCAGCATGCATCTTTTTTCAGGTGCTCACAGCATGCCATTGGTATGTCATTGCTGTTTCGCCCTGGCCTTATACAGCCTTTTCTCTGCATTGAGGCACTTTTCCACATCCAGTGCAAGCTTGCCAAAAACACAGTCCAATTGGTCAGGCTCCATGCAGACCAAAAGGTCTGATCTTGCAGGTCGTTTCCCTTGCAGAAGCACTTCTATCAATGTATCATCTACATTGATTTCCACTGTGTAGTCTCCAGGTGGAACCTTTCTTTTTTTAGAAGCTGGCTGTGCATTGTCCTCATCAGATCCAGCTCCACTCTCAGCAGCAGCATCATGTTCCTGCTCTGCATCAGCTTGACCATATGCCTTTTTCACAGCAGCTTCATTCCTCATGGCCACCAGCTTGGCCAGTTCAGGGCTAGTTGCAAAGCTAGCATTCTTGCTGGCAGTACCTTTGCTCAGCAATGACACCAAGCTGTAACATGTTGGCCTCAGTCTCAAATAGGATTTGCCTTCAAAGGTTTCAATCATAGAAGCAGGAAAGGAGACCCACTTGTCATCTTTCCATTTCACATCCCAAGTTTGCCTCAGCTCTGCCATTGGTGCCACAGACCTACACTCTGTACCTTTATAGCCAAACTGCAGGCAAAAACTTTTGTGTTCCACATTGCAAGCACACAAGCCAAATTCAGTCACAACTTTGCAACAAAAGCCATGAAAGCCATTACAGCTTGAAAGCCAGTGAAATCTGAAAGCCAATACAGCTTGAAAGCCAGAAAGACTTGAAAGCCAATATATAGCTTGAAAGCCAGGGAGACTTGAAAGCCAATAGAGCTTGAAAGCCTGGAAGGCTTGAAAGCCAAAGAGCTTGGTACCATGCAGCTGGAGAAGAGAAGCAAATAGCATTCAATGCTTGCCATGTAGATAGGTATAAGCATCAAGAATCAAGAACAGTGCTTGGAAAGCAAAGCATTCAATTCGTTTTCCACTCCAGCAAGGCAAAAGTAGGTGGCTTGAACACAGAAACCCAATTCACTCACTTGGTGGTCTTCCTTTTCTTGGCTTGGGGTGCAGAGCCAGAGGCAGCAGCTTCCTGATTTTCTTCAGATGGCTTCAGAACCACCAATTGCTCACCAGCCTTCAATGCTTTGGCATTGGTCAAGAGAGGCAATTGAACCTTGTCAATGACCTGGGTGCTTGCAACCATAGTGACTTCATCAGGATCACTGCTGCTCTTCACCCAGAAAAAAGGATCCATCACTCCTTTCTCCTCATCAAAATCATTGGCCCTGGCAAAGGAGGCAATGGCAAAGTGCTGACCATTGTACAAGGCAGTCAGCTTTCCTTTAGGACTTTGCTTCAATTTGCTGACAGTGCCTGCTGGATACAACTTCAATTCTCCCTTTTTCAAATTCTTTGCAGCCCAAGCACCAGTTGGATTTTGGGTGAACAGCAAAGTCTGATTGTCCATTGTATGTTGTTGGCATGTTTCCAGCAGCACTTTCTGCACTGTGCACTTGGCCATTTCATCTTGCAAGGCCACACTGTTATGCACAAGCAACTTCTGCAGCATGTCTTTGGAGCAAGCAGTTGGGGCTCCACCTTTGTGTTTCTTCCATTTGCTCAACTCTTCGAAAGCAACTTTCAACTCCTCCTTGGGGCCAAAAAAAGGGGAATGGACAAAGGTGAAGCCATCATCTTCACATTTCACCAGCTCAAACACTTTGGAGGATCCCACCTTCATGTTGGAGTACCTCAGCAGGCAAATGTGAAAGCCAAGCAACATCCAAAACCTTGCACAAACATTTGGAAATGTTGGTGAACCATTTTTGACCAAGTGGAACAAAAGTTGCTTCAGCTTCAAGACAAGACCAAGATGCAGCTTGCCAATTTGCAGGTGGTCATGCTGCAGCAAAGCCACTTCAAAAGGCTTAGCACCCACCAAATTCTCTAATTTCAAGATCTCTTCCTTCTTGCCTTGACCACTTTCAGCGGATGCAGTCTTTTTTTGCAAATCATCTGCAAAAGCATCAGCTATTTCATTGAAGCCACCCTTGAAAGCAGCTTCCCTACCATATTTTCTTTCCCCAAGAGATGCAAAATGCATCTCACACAAAGCTTGCCAAAACTGGCAACTTTGACATGTTCAGTGGCTGCAGATTTTGTTGCCAAGTTCCAGCTGTCTTGCAAAAGTTGCCTGACACATGTCAAAGACACAAAGAAATGCATGGCCCTATGTGCAGCACTAAACAAAACAAGAAAATGCTCAATGAAAACCAAAGTGCTCACAGTGGTCCACATTCTTTCTCTTCTGCAAATTTTTGAGCTTGTCACAATCAGCTTTGTTCAATATCTTGGAGTACCCATCCTGGCTCTTTGAAGAACTCATCATTGTAGCCCACCTGTGATAAAGGCATTTCCAAAAATATCACTGCCTTGTACCAGTCTTGATTGAATCAAACCAAACCAAATCAAATCAAATTAGCTATAAGCCATTTAAGGCAAGGAACATTGCAGTCCTCAGAAAAGGGTACATGCAGATGGAATCCTTCATGTCCATGTAGGCAATGGTGGTCATCATTTCAAGACCCAGTTGCAAGCTGCCATATGTCTTACCTCAATGTGCATGGCCCCATGATGAAAAGCTTTTCCATAGCCCATGAACAGGCTTGCAAGAAAAAAAGCACAACAGGCTTGCATATGCACAACAAAGCAAAAATGCTTGCAAGAAACAGCTACTGAAGCTTGCAAAAGCAGCCACTTGGGCTTGCAAAGCTATGTTTTGGCCAATGTACTGAACTGGCTCAGAAATTTCAGTAGACTTTGTTGGTCACCTCCACCATACCTGCTGACATAGTAGGCAATGGCATGCAATTGAGGCTTGCACAGAGGATCAGTCTTCTCCACTTGGGCCAGGGCTTCATTCAAGGTCTTCCCATGTTTGATGAATTCAGCCATCAAAGCAGCAGCCTCAATTTCATTGACCTGCTTGAAGCCCATGTTCACTGAATTCATGGCCATTTGCAACCAAGCAGGCAAAGAAGGAATGCTCCTTTCCACCATTTCATTGATCACAAACATAGGCCAACCTTCAGTGATTATCTTGTGCAAACCATCATCTGATTTCATCTCCACTGACATTCCATCAGCACTCTTGCAACCTTGCTCCACTGCTTTGCAGAAAGCAGCAGTGTGGGAAGTGGCCACAGTGAGGTACCGCTCCTCCATTGACACTTTTGCAAGGGCACCATTGGAGCCAGCTACCACTTCCTCATTGGCTTTCAGCTGACTCTGCTTGGTAGTCTGGTCAGTGCTGATTTCAAAAGCCACTCCTCCTTCTTGCAGCATGGAAGGTTGGATTCCAATTCCAGCCATTCTCATTCCCTTGTCCCAGACATCAGTTGCATTCAGAAGGCTGCCACCTCTGTTACTGGGATGGGTCAGTGTTTCTCTGGGCTTCACCATAGCTTTGTGCCCAAACCCATTCTTTTGAAGGCATTCAAAAACTTGCTGCACCCTTTTCAAAACTGGCACATCCTCATTGCTTACCAATTTGTTCAACTTGTCCACCAAGTCTTCGGGCATAGAGCTCATAGCTGCAAAGCTCACAATTTGAAGACTTTGTAGGCCAATGCAGCAATGCTTGTATGTTTTGCTTGGCTTTAGCAAAATGCTATAGTTTGTTTGGGCTGTCAAAGATTGCCTTATCAAACCATTATGCCAACAGTGAGCCATAACATTCTAGATGTAAAGGATGATGAATTCACCCCACATATTCAAATGCCATTGTTTTGAAGGTTGGTTCAAATAAAAACGCAAAAGGCTTGCAACATCTAAAAGCCAACTATAGGCTTGCACAAAAAAGCCAGCCAGGGCTTGCATCACAAAGCCTGCCAAGGCTTGCATCAAAAAAAGCCAAAGGCTAGTATTAAGAAAAGCCAAGAAAGGCTTGCACGCAAGGTATGCTGCCATGATGTATACATCATTACTTTCTGTTTTTTTGGCAAGCCATGTGCAACCATGCATGTTTAGCAATGGGCTTGGCTTTGGTTTGCCATCAATAAACTCAAATAAAGAACCAAGCCCAGGCATGTTTTTATTTTCAGCAGCTCAGCAAATATTTAAATCCCCAAGCAAGGAAAAATCATCAAGCTTTTCTCTTTGTTTTAAAAAAAGTAGGTATGCCAAACAGCCAAAATTTGTTTTTGTGTTTTGAATTTGCTACCAAGAAGCATGTGAATCACTGGCTTGCATCATTTTTCCCAGCACAGGCACAAGAAAAAAAAACTTTGGCAATTAAACGAAAAACCATATAGCCCTTCAAAAAAAAAGTTAACCCCTTAGCCTTGGAAAGCTAAGTGCCTGTGTTTTCTTAGCTAACTACTTAGCTTTGGCTGATGGAATTTAACATAGTTAGCTAACTTTTTTGCTCCTCTACCTAACCTTGCTAAATGCCTCAGGCCTTTAGCACATATTTAACATATTTCTAACATAGCTTTAGCATATATCTATTAGTAACTTATTAACCTTGATAACCTTGTTAAGTACCTAGCAGGCACAGGGTTCATCTAAGTAGAGGAATACCAAAGTTGCCTTCAGAAAATCCATCAAATCACGCCCAGAGTTGGAAAGTATCACATCACAGAAGCCCACATTTTGACAGACTTGCAAAGATTATTTCCAGACAAGCAAATTGTGACTGCCGTAGCTTGTCGTGGCACTGATCGCACTCTGGCACCACCAACCGGTACGATGCCCAGTATGGCTCCATATCGAAAATCACTGATGATCATTCGATCCACTGCTGCGGTAAAGTTTGAGACTCATTGGGAGAAATGGCCTGAACTTTCAAACCGTCAGCTGATTCGCCCTGCCCATAGTTGTCGTTTAAATGTGACCATGTTTGCCAAAGACCCAGAGCCAACAAGAACCGAAGAGTCTCAGAGCTCAGACAGCGTCTCGCCGAGCATCACTGTAGATAGCCAACCTCAATCTATGAGCACCACGAAGGATGACGAAGTTCGTCCTGCAGAACCAACTGTCTCAGCAGCTCCAGACTTGATCCCAAACCACCAACCGGAACAAGTCAGCCAAAGTGCCAGCGTTTTGAAGCTGCCGAAATGGGAACGCCAAAAGTTAATGCAGATCCATAAGAACTTAGGCCATCCTTCCAATGAAAGGCTTGCGAAAGCTCTTCGAAATGCTGGACAACGGCCAGAGATGGTTCAGGCGGCTTTTGACTTAGTGTGCCCTAGCTGTTTGATGCATACCCCGCCAAAGCACCAAAGACCAGGGTCCCTTAAACCGATGATGGATTTCAACCATAAGATCTACATTGACGGGATATCATGGAGCAACAGTGCCAAAGGGAATTTCTTTTTCTATCATGTGCTGGATGCAGGGTCAAATTTTCATGTAGCCTTTTGCGCGCCATCCCACACGACAAAGGATGTAATTCAGTTGCTGTCGCAGCATTGGATTTCCTGGGCAGGCTACCCATCAGAGATCGTTCATGACTCCGGCACCGAGTTTCTCAGTGAAGAATTTTCCCAATTTTGTCAACAATATGGAATCAAGACGCATGTCACCAATCCCGAAGCCCATGGGCAGAATGGTAAAATTGAAAGGCATGGTAGATTCATCCAGGAAATGTTGCAGCGTGTTGACACTGAAATGCCCATAACCACGTATCCGGAACTACAGGCTGCATTAAACCAATGCACTCAGGCCAAAAACAGCATGGTGGTTCGTCATGGATACAGTCCAGAAATCATTGTGTTTGGAAAGAGCAGCCGGTTGCCTGGTTCCATAATGAGTGATGAATCTATACCATCACACCTGTCAGCAGTACAGGAGCCTGACCAACTGCAACCAAAAGGGTTTCGACACCTTTTACAGCTTCGCGAGACAGCAAGAAAGGCATTTCACACCGCCGACAACAGCGACTCGATCCGAAGAGCCATGTTAAGAAGACCATGTCCAGAAAGAGGTCCCTTTAATCCTAATACATGGGTTATGATATGGAGAACCACACCCTCGAAGACCCAAGAATGGATAGGTCCCCAAAGGGTTATCCTTCAAGATTCCAGTCATACAGTGTGGACCACTCAGGCAGGAAAAATATATCGCAGTGCCCCAGAAAATGTTCGGATAGCACATCCCAGTGAAGGCAATGCAGAAGATGGAATACTACCTGAAGACATCACCAATCTGCAACAACAAATCTCACGCATGAATCAAGATTTACCCACCATACCCGAAGAAGAAGGGATCAATATTCCTAATGAACCGGATAGTCCCTACAGCCCCTCAATAGCCAGTGATCGCCGTGAAAGTGACCCAAGCCTCTCAAGTCCCGTGGGACAGCCTGACCAGGAGCCAGAGATCGAGAGTCGCCAGGTGTCACATGCCATGGAAGAACCAAATGCCAATAATGATCCGGAGGATCAAGATTTCCAACTTCTCTGCGTGGAAGAGGCAGATGCACTTGGCACCACCGAATCTCAGGATCTTGCTTGGAGATGCGAGTTTGATGTACACTTCCAGAAAACACCAATGTAGAAAATTTGTCATCTACAGAAGCTTGCATTCTACTGGCGACCAACGCCAAGAAGCAGAGAACGGAAGTAAGACTGCATGAGCTCAACAAGCAAGAGAGAGACCAATTCGAACAAGCCAAGGCAGCAGAGGTAGCCAATTGGATCCAGACCAAGACCCTGACCAAGGTTCTCCGACATCAGATTCCAGAATCTCAAATCTTAAGATGTCGATGGATACTCACCTGGAAACCAATCGATAATGCGGGATCAAACAACGGTAACCAACAGGGGAATAACTATAAGGCTAAAGCTAGGCTGGTCGTATTAGGATACCTTGACCCAAAAATTGAAGAAATCCCAAGAGACAGCCCCACCTTGAACAGAACCTCCCGAATGCTTATCCTTCAAACCATCGCCAGTCACAACTGGACTCTGAAGTCCTTCGACATCAAAGCAGCCTTTTTGCAGGGCCAACCACAGGCCGACCGAATCATGGCTGTGGAGCCAGTTCCTGAAATCCGCAAGGCAATGCAGATGGCTCCAGACGAAGTAGGCCAGCTGAATAAGGGAGCTTATGGTTTGATTGATGCACCATACTTATGGTATAAAGCACTGGTTGGAGAGCTCACCAGACTAGGCCTGGAGACCAGTCCCTTCGACCCCTGTGTATTTATCCTCAGAGGAACCAAGGGTACCCCTCAAGAGGGACAACTACTTGGAGTCGTGGGAATCCATGTCGATGACGGGATTTATGGGGGGACACCAGAATTTCAAAGGGTCATGGATAAACTAGAACAAAAGTATGCTTTTGGTTCAAAAAGTTCAACGGCCTTTACCTTTACCGGGATTGAACTCACACAAAAATATGATCATTAGCATCGTTTTGAGTCAATCGGCATATGTGCGAAAGATCCCATCGATCCCAATTGAAGTTCATCGCAAAACACAACCCAATTTGCCAGTCACAGAAGCAGAAAGAGGCCACCTTCGGGGCCTTATTGGCTCACTTCAGTATGCAGCAACAAATACCCGACCTGATCTTTCAAGCAGACTCTCACTACTTCAATCAGAAATTAATCAAGCCAACATTGAAACATTGCAATCAGCCAATCGACTACTTCACGAAGCCAAGCGATACCACGATGTAACTATCACCATAAAACCCATTCCACATCAGAATTTCAGGTTCATGGCTTTCTCAGATGCGTCCTTTGCTTCGACCAAGAAACCTGACTCCCATGCTGGTTCAATTATTGTAGGAACTCATGAAGATATCAACAATAATTCCCAGTGTCCAATAAGTCCTTTAACTTGGGGGAGCAAGAAAATCCAAAAGGTCGTGACAAGCACATTGTCAGCAGAGACCACTTCCTTGGCATCCGCCTTGGATCAGATGGCTTGGATCCGGCTGCATTGGCGATGGCTGCACGATCCCAAAGTGCAATGGCGAGACCCGGACAATGCCCTACTTCGACTTGAACCTGCCATTTCCGTTTCCACAGTGCATGAAAATCAAGATGTTGCAATAACAGATTGTAAATCGTTATTTGACCTGATAACACGAACCGCACCACCATCATGTTCGGAATTCAGAGTTCAACTCATGGCTAGATCGATAAAGGAATCATTAAAGGAGGGCATCCAACTCAGATGGGTACACACAGGAGCTCAACTAGCAGATGCTTTGACAAAGGCCATGCAGGCACACTTTCTCAGAGAAACCTTAAGATTAGGACAATATAGACTGGTGGACGAAAACACGACACTCAAAGCCAGAGCACAGTCCAGAGATCGTGTTCGCTGGCTGCGCGAGAACACAGGCACTGAGTTGGATCAAAATATAAAAAAGGACGAGTGTGAATATCCAGTTGTGGACCCTCCACTTGCTTCAGGTACCACAGTTTGATCCAACGAGTGTCTGCAGACACTTGGCTCAGGCGGCCTCCACGGAGAGGGTGCGGAGGGATTTCCGTGTCTTGTGCCTTCAGTGACAGGGTCACTCCTTGGTTGATTGGGCGAGGCCGCCCTTGAAAGCTTTTGGAACAAGGCTGATACAGCCTTCTGCTTTTGGACCTCCCCGTGTCCAACCTGCGACAGAGACATCCTAGGCATCATCGTGTGACAAACAGCTGCTGCGTTTGGGGGGGGTTTGAGAAGAAGACTAGTAGCTGAGTGATTTCATCATTTGGGTGGCAGCACAACAGGTTTGGGGAATACAATCAGTTTTGGCAATCTCATCATCCTGATCAAGATCATTAGGGAGTCTCCGGCCATTTACAACTTATGTATATATATATATTATATATATTATGTATAGTATAGTTATATTATATAAGTAACGGTAACGGCAACAGCATCTAGCGCCGAGTGCGGCAGTTGACCAGTCGCCACATGGATCATTCCACATGGAGCATTTCTGAGATTGTAAGCATTTCATATATATTACCAAAGCACATGACAATTAGCTGACGGTTTTGCTTACCTTTTTGCCTGTTCAATCGTTCAAGATACAAGGAGCACGATGAAGAGCGCGTCCTTAAAGATCACCTGGGCCATCGAGGTTGCACCCATCACCAAACAGCTACGGGTCAAATTTGCTAATGACTGGTGCTGTTAACTAATTAACTATTAACCTAAGATTACCAAGATGTCAGCTAATTATTAATCATCCATAAATTTGGGGTAAGATTACTAAAACCAATCAAACATTTGGTTAATCATAGACTGAGCATGACTAAGCCATCTCCAGTGGTTCCCCAGGACTTTAATTTTGACCCATACCCAAACCTCCGTCCTGCGAAGTGGCAAACTTGAACATAGGTCTCACCCGCATTTCTGCTGCCAGGACCAGGTTGCAGGCAAAAACCGTGGTGAAAACGTCACTGTCAGAGCCCAGATCTGTGAGCTCCTATAGCAGGGCTGGAGGAGTGTTCGTAGCTTGCAATTGGTGTCCTGAAAACCAAACATACGGATGTTTCCTAAAATAAGGGTACCCCAAAATGGATGGTCTATTAGGGAAAATCACAAAAAAATGGTGATAACTGGGGGTACCACCATTTCAGGAAACCTCCATACATAGGAAACAAAAATTGGACTGCAACCCTACTTTCGTAATCACGACTAATAAAACATGTCATTACTCTAAAATCTCTAAACAAAGGCTATCAGCAATGGCTATAAAGGCTACCAATCTCACATTCCAGAGGTGTTTTGCAGTATATGGAAGCAACATGTTGACTCTACCAAAGACCCGAATGTTCCAATGAATCGAGGGTCAGCAGTTTGGATACTCCCGCCACTCCTGGGCTCCTATCCTCCAACTCCTGGATTCTTTGTTTTGAAAATATTATACCTGTATTCACAGTTTGCATCTTCAGTTTCACTGGTAGTATCACCATGTTCATATGTTCATGTTCACGCATTGAAACTATATGCTCTTCGCAATATGTGCAAAATTTCCGCTGGATATATCCGCTATCTTCGCAGAAGAGCACGGATTGTCTCAAAATTTGACCAGAACTAATGTTGCCTGACCAATAGTGATATCTTGTCAATAGTAGAAACATTTTTCCGCAACTCCAGTTTTACCTCCAATACTAAAAGTCAATTAGCTCTATTTACTTTTAGTATTGCCAAAAGAGTCATGTTCGGACCTTGCCCAGAGGGCATGGCCAATAGTGGACCCAACATGGCAATAGTAGAAACTTTTTTCCCAACTCCAATTTTTTCTCCAATACTAAAAGTCAATTAGCTCTATTTACTTTTAGTATTGCCAAAAGAGTCAAGTAAAGCAAATCCTTTTCAAAGCAGCCTTCACTTTTGATTAGCAAAAGCTTAGATTCCAGAAATCTGATCCAATGACCAAACAGCTGATTTCCTTATAAAACCCTTATTAAAAAAAGCAAAAAAACAGGTCCACAAAGGGTACCCCCTTTGCAAGCCCCAGAATAGCAATAACAAACCTGCACCAGGCATGGCAATAGTGGAAACTTTTTCCGCAACTCCAATTTTGTTGTCCTCCTTCTCCTTCTCCTTCTTCTCCTTCTTCTCCTCCTCCTCGTCCTCCTCCTTCGCCTCCACCAAATCCATTCAGAATCTTTCAGAAACCCAACAAAACCATGGAGAATCTATCAGATACAGTAATTACATATCATGATCCCAGCTATAGATTCCCACAAATTATTATAGGAAGGTTGACCCCCCCACCTAAAATATTTTTCAAAAAAATAAAATTTAGAGGGGTGGTAATTACTATTAGGCAGCCAACATTACCAACAAAAAAACAGTTATCAAACTGGGTCCCAAACCCATCCAATCCATGATTCATTCGTTGAATCACTAGCATTGACGGCTAATTTTTTCCAGATCCGTGATCTTCCACAACTAAGATACCAGTTGTTGATGTTTAGTATCTATGATGTTTGATGGTTAAGTCCAAATTTTTCATGGGTTAAATCCCACAAAAAAGAACGGCGAACTTCCACCGTTCATACATCCGGAACTGTTCATTAATTCGTTTCAATGCCCAATTTTCAAATAGTCAGCTGAAACCACCCTGCATTCTCTGATAGCGTAATTTCCTTGGTCAAATCTCTCCCCACGCCATTCATGCCCATTCCATTCCCGGTCTCCCGTAGCAGCACAGCCATCTCGCGATCCGAGCACATCAACAACTTCTTGGCCGGGCTGATGCTGAAGCCGCAGTCGAAGGTCACATAGCGCATTCCGAAGCACTGCGCGAAACACCTTTGATTTTGTTTTTTTTGGCGATTTCACCAACGAAAAGGGTGACATAATGGGATAATGATAACATGTATATACATGTATATTATATATTTGTACGTATATACCCTCCCAATAAACATCTGGATTGAAAGCCAAGAAAAAGTCAAGGTTGACTACCACGGTACCAATACCTTCAACAAAATGGAAAAAGTACTAATATGATCCTTGATGATGGCCCTCAGTCAATGTGTTTTGGAGAAATGTGGATCGTACATTTGATGAAATAGTCCCCGCCAGTTATAAGCTGGTTTCCACACCTCATAAACTACAGTTATATCATGTTATATTCCCGATAAACCCTTAACCAAATGTAAACCTACTTAGATATCTGGTCCCACCTTGTAATCGAATATCTGTTTGTCGAGTGCTTGTCGCGTCAGACAAACCCGCTCCTCGAGAATGACGCAAAAACCACAATGAAACCAGATTTAAGGCCATCAAATGGAATGTTATTTACTTTGAATATATGTTAAACATATTATATATATATATTATTTATATTTTATCTATGTATATGTATACTCATTTTCATGTTTGTATCAAAAAAACAAAAGACAAGTTCGCGATACTATACATGCCTATACTATTAATAGTGAAATAATGGGCTGAAAAGAAATCATCCCATGGCCGCCCCGCCTCCAAAGAGCTGATAGGCATTCATAGGCACCGTCGATGCAACCACAATACTTGAAGCTTTCGTGGAAACCTCAGGGTTGCATCCGGCCACTGGTTGTTTTGAAAAGTGTGGACATTTTTTGTACAAAAAAAGTGGCCTTTTGTTTGGTCCAACAGAAATATGCCCATGTTTTGTCAGTGGTGTTTTTGTTTTAATCATTTTAGAGAGTTAAAATGTTTAAAACATTATTTGCTACAATATACTTTGGGACATTTAAATGACATTTATGATAAACTGAATTATAAGTCATTTTTGTTGGCAACATCAATCAACTTGGCCATGAAGAGAATTTCTCAGAGGCGATCCACAAAAAAAGCTACGGTACCTATAGGTAGCAAAAAAAATAGCTATGGTATAGCTGGATGGTCATTCCAAGTTATGTTAGGCCCCAAGTCATATGGTAATACTCTCTGGTCAACGTTTACGTAACTATGGAAAAACAACATGTTGTAGCTGGGTAAATCCACTATAAATGGCCATGTTCAATAGCTATGTTAATTTACCAGAGGGTAATATGTAATTTCATAGGCTTTGATCCCCATGATGAGAATGGAAGATCATGTAAGGCTAAGCCTCCAGCTGGATGTTTTTTTTACCACCAATCGAGACTTTCAGACTTTCGATTACTGAGATATGTACTAACATATTTTCTGACATTCTATCCCATAGGATCCATGTATGGTATATATGCTAACATTGGGGATATATTGATGGTAAATGTTATTATATATACCATACATGGATCCTATGGGTATCTGACATTGTATCTGACATGATCTGACATTGTATCTGACATCTACTCTGGAATTTCATCGTATATTGTGGCAAAATAGCCCAGCTTTGCATCCCACCAGCGAAAGGTTCCAGCAATGTTCCAGGACTGTTCCGGTTTTTCGGGGCGTAAAACAAAAATGTGTCACCAGTCCCCGGCCCCAGAGATTGAAACCCAACAGATTCGCTGTTGGGAATTTTCTGACATCTATTCTGACATTATTTATGATACGTGACCTGGCATTCTACCTGGCATTCTACCTGGCATCCTATATGACCTAGGCCAATCAATATTCTGGCATGTATTCTGGCCATCTTTTCTGAAATCTATCTAACAAATACGTCTGACATTTATTCTACATTCTATCTGACATTGTACCTGGCATTCTATCTTGCACCCTATCTGACATGTATTCTGACAAATATTCTGGCGCATAATTCTGACATATACTCTGACATTCTTCCCGGCATTCTATCTATAACAAGCATTCTGACAATGTATGTTCTGGCAATTTCTCTAAGATTCTATCGGACGTTCAATCTGACAGTTTACCTGGGTTTCTATCTAACATCATATATTCACATATTCTAAAACCTTGCATTCAGATATTAATACCTGATATGTTCCGAGAAAATATTCCAACTCTGGCATTCTGTTCTCTGGCAGCCAGGTGTTCGGGTCCCAGTGAACGCAGTGAACGGGCGATGACGTGATGACGTGATGACGGCGACAAATCTCCCATTATCGGATGGTTACAGCCATATATCAATGGATTGGTTTAAGGGAAAATCTTAACCGGAAACCATAGGTTTTTACCATCAAATATAGGGCTTAAACCAGTAAAATTTCCCATCATCCAATTCTATGAATATAATGAGGATCTGCTAAAGTGGTGACGAGTAGCCTCCGATTTTTTACAGCCCAAACAATGATTTAGTCCAGGGTTGACATTATCCAATTGTATGATTATCCCATGAATATTATCCTATTACTATCTCACTATTGTATACTATTGTCCCATTGTTACCCACTACAATGTGGGACCCCCTACTGATGTTGGTTGGTTTTGAAGTCCCATGAATACTATAATTATAAGTATCATAAACCATGTATAGTGATATTGGATGGAGGTATGTTCACCATTGTTCACCAACTTAGCTATCAATCAGCTAAATCTAAATCCTCATTTTTGTTGGTATGAAGTCACCAGCAAATCCTATGGTGTGCTGACGATGAAGACACCAAGCACACGGCCCATGGTCGATGACTGCTGAGGGATGGCAGTGGCAGTGGCAGGCCAAACCAAATACTTGCGCCTTTGCAAACAATGTTTGAATCTACCCTCTGGTAATTTAACATAGCTATTGAAAATTGCCATTTGTAATGGATTTTCCCATTAAAAACAGTGATTTTCCATAGCTATGTTAGTTTTTCCAGAGGGTATAAGGTCATCAAATTCATGGTGATTGAAAGATTGTATTACTGGTTGGTGGTTGAGCCTACCCCATCTACCCCTCTGAACATATGAAAGTCACTTGGGATGAATATTCCCTATAGATGGAAAAATAAAAAGTGTTCCAAACCACCAACCAGGTATAATATACGGTTCATCATATTTCATGATGGCATATTAAAATGGAGGATTTCAGGGTACCCATTTCAGAAGAAACCTCCATGATTCATGATGCGTAACTAACCACTGAGGTCGAACCTCGCCCAAGAAACAAATGTTGAATCTCAGGAAGTTCCTTCGTTCAGCACGATTCTTCCTGATGTGACACAACTCCGTTACGTTGGTTCGGCATGCCGGGTGTCAGATTTCAGTTGCGAAAAATGTGAAAATCCAAGAAATTGATTAGTAGACTGCCAACTTCAATTCCAGTGTGTTTATCTCAAATGCCTTTGAATAGTTCTGCTTGCGGCCTTCGGATAGAGCCATTGATCCGTGTAATGAAGAAAAGCAGACCGTCGCAACCCAATGAGCAGCTTCGAAAGCGGCAAGCTCCCTTTACCATCCACAAAAATCATCAAATCTGATCATACACAACAACCCTCAAACAGATGGAAAAGTAAAATTATACCAAAATAAACAAAATAAAAACAATTAAAAACAGATTTACTTTACTATTTTTGTTGGTGGTTACTAACTATAATTTAATGGCACATTGTATTTCATGATACTTCAGTGTCAAGCAACAGGGGGGTAAGTCGCCTTCCTGAATGTTTTCCCCCACATGGCTCTTGGTCAAAACTTGAGGCCGGGGGTGGATGACGAAAGCTAGCGGGGTAGGAGAAAGAAGGAAGGGAAGAGGTGAGTTGCGGAGGGACTGTCATCATCGTGTCGCGGCATTGTTCGTCCCAACGAGGATGCAACAATGATATATGATATATGATATATGATATATAACAATGATATATATGGGGAAGGCGGCAGGGGGGGGGCCTTACGCGTGAAAAATCACGTGATGTCCTTGGGGAGCCCCGGAATACTTGCTAAAGCAAGAAGACTCTAGCGAGCTGACGCTAGCTTTCGTGATAATGCCAATAATTGCCAATAATGATAAATTGTAATTAATTGAATAACGATGATGATGATGATAATGATGATGATGATGATGAATGATGAATGGTGAATGATGAATGATGAATGATGAATGATGAATGATGAATGATGAATGATGGATGATGATGATGATGATGATGATGATGATGATGATGATGATGATGAGGATGACGATGACGATGACGAGGATGAGGACGATGATGATGATGATGACGATGACGATGACGATGACGAGGACGATGATGATGATGATGATGATGATGAAGATGATGATGACGAGGACGATGGCGAGGACGAGGACGATGACGATGACGATGACGATGATGATGATGATGACGATGGTGATGATGATGATGATGATGGTGGTGGTGGTGGTGGTGGTGGTGGTGGTGGGGGGGTCCCCGTACGTTCGACACTTGGAGGCTATATCGCAAGCCAAGAGGCTATGGATCAATACTAAAATCAAAAGGCAGCGAAGCAAACCATAGGTGCAAAATGGACGCAACTGATTCCGCCTGCTTCGGGCCGTAATAAGCTTTCCAGAAGGAAATGCCGATGAAGCCGCTGGAACCGCTGGCGCCGATCAGGCCAATTGAGCCGATGAGGCCGATGGAGCCGCTGAGGCCGATGGAGCCGATGAGGCCGATGAGGCCGATGGAGCCGATGAGGCCGCTTGAGCCGATGAGGCCGATGGAGCTGCTGGAGCCGATGGAGCCGCTGAAGCCGATGACGCCGATGAGGCCGATGAGGCCCACATGAGACCCATGGAGACGCTGGAGCCGCTGGAGCCGCTGGAGCCGCTGGAGCCGATGATGAGGCCGATGGAGCCGCTGGAGCCGATGGAGCCGATGAGGCCGATGAGGCCGATGAGGCCGATGGAGCTGCTAGAGCCGATGAGGCCGATGGAGCCGATGAGGCCGATGGAGCCCCGGAGCTGATGAGGCCGATGGAGCCGCTGCATCGAGCCGATGAGGCCGATGAGGCTGATGAGGCCGATGGAGCCGATGAGGCCGATGAGGCCAATCGCTCGAGCCGATGGATGGAGCCGATGAGGCCGATGGAGCCGATGAGGCCGATGGAGCCGCTGGAGCCGATGGAGCCGATGAGGCCGATGGAGCCGATGGAGCCGATGAGGCCGATGAGGCCGATGGAGCCGATGGAGCCGATGAGGCCGATGGAGCCGATGAGGCCGCTCAAGCCGTTGGAGCCGATGAGGCCGACGGAGCCGCTGGAGCCGATGAGGCCGATGGAGCTGCTGGAGCCGATGAGGCCGCTGGAGCCGATGAGGCCGATGGAGCTGCTGGAGCCGATGAGGCCGATGGAGCCGATGAGGCCGATGAGGCCGCTGGAGCCGCTGCATGGAGCCGATGGAGCGGATGAGGCCGATGAGGCCGATGGAACCGATGAGGCCGCTCGAGCCGCTGGAGCCGATCAGGCCGATCAGGCCGATGGAGCCGCTGAGGCCGATGGAGCCGATGACACCGATGGAGCCGATGCAGGAGCCGATGAGGCCGATGAGGCCGATGAGGCCGATGGACAGGCCGATGGACCAGGTGCGCCACAATGCAAAGCACCCATGCTCTGAAAGTGGCGCTTGGCGCCGGAGATAAATCCTATGCAGCATTGCCAGTATAAAGAGAGTTGCAGGTTACAGCTACATGTATCGAGACACCTTAACCCATTCCACCCTGCCTACATGCACAAGAAGTGGTGCCGCAAAATCGACGCCAACCGTCAATGGCACGGGGGGTCCCCCCCTTTCACGTGAAAAATCACGTGATGTCCTTGAGCAGCCCCCGGAATACTTGCTAAAGCAAGAAGACTCCAGCTAGCTGACGCCAGCTTTCGTGATTTGCACTGGATTGGATGGCTGATAGCCATGGACAAGAGCTAAAAATGGGTGGAACCCGGCAATTTATCACCTGCAGAGTACTTTGTTTAATCAGTGGATATTGATTTTCTATGGGAATCTGTGTTGGCGGATACACTAATTTGTGATATGTGTGACCGGCAACATTTGGGTTTCCTATGGTTTCCTCACCAATTCCCAAAGAGTTCATAGGTCAATGGGGTGCCCAGCCCCATGGCTTGACGATGAGGCACGGTAGTCGCATCACCAGGGTTGAAGCTGGTCCTTCCAGTATTCGCCTGGGGTGCGTGCCCTGGGGGCTTGGCACCCCACAAAAAGGCTTTGAGCAACGGAAAACGGGCTTGAAATGGGAGAATTCACCCAGAAATGGGGATCTCGGCGAGCAAAGGTCTAGATCTTTAAGATGATTTTAAGGAAGGAATGCAGGTTTCACCCAGAAGAACTATGGGAATTTGTAAAAATGTGGATAATGTTTGAAGCTGGATCGTTTGAAGCTTAGTCACAGAGGCGACAATTTCTGTAGCTGCCGGCCATCAACCCCTAATTATTCGAGATCCGTTTGACCCTCTGTGTGTACCCATAAACATGATGTTCTGCCCCATAACTTTAGTAGTTTTACATAGTTTTAATATTTTTTTTGAGGGTATATATCTAGAGGGTCTAGGATCCTTCAAATGTTGGCTAAGTGAAAGTCTCTTTTCCCAGGGATTTGCGAAAAGCCCCCTATTTTTAGAGGATCCAAAATCATGGTACAAAGTCCATCATTCTTGGAAGTTGATGACGACTGTTAGGATACCTTTGAAGGAAATCACTTCAAACACGTTCAGGCCATAACTGTGTGACTGGATGATAGCCAGATTGACGTGCTCCTATGGTATCAAGTGGCTGCGCCCTTTATCTGACCCAATCCTGTAGATGTAGTGAGTTGGTCTCCCGTTCTGGTGTTTTTTCTGGAAATACCACTGGTGTTTTTTTGAAATACCCTCCATCCACTGGTCATGCTTCCCCATCGAAGCACCCCAGGGCCAGAAACCCAGTGAACCCAGTGCCCAGCCACAGAGGCCACTCCGCGTTCCCTGAGTCCAAAGATGTTGGTCAGTCATTGAGGATGATAGTGTACAAGACTAGACCACTAAAAACCTAAACCCACATGATGGTTTATGGAGGGTCTAGGTATTTGATGTATGTAATCCAAAGATGTTGGTCAAATACCTAGACCCTCCAAAAAACCCAGCCAAAATAGTGTACAAGTACTAAACTTATGGGATGAGACGCCATTGAATCATGGGTACACACAGAGGGTCTAGCTGTGGTGTAAAAAGATGTTAAGCGATTCTAAACCATTTGCAAAGGTGTTAAAAGATGTTAAAACTGTTAAAAGCTAAACATTTGAAAGCACCGACCAAAGAAAACCCAAAAGACCCGACCTATTTAGGAAAAAGGCGACTTTACCTGGTATCAAAAGGCTCCTTCTAGTTGTTCCTCGCCTTTTCGAACCGGCGTGGACAATTCTGGTTTGAAGCTTGCCTGCAAATCTGGTCAAATTCTACTTCCAAATGCAACACACATTTGCCTCCAGCGGATGTTTTTTTTCCAACAGATGTTTTAGGATGTTTTAAGGTATGTGTCAAAATTGGGGTACCAGTTCGATCTTATAGAACCCCGACAGACACATGCACACACACATACATCATCGGGACATATCGGTGGATGCTGCTGCCAATGGAAGATTGGAAATCATACAAGCAACAAAATCATCAACATCATCGTGATTAGTTGGTTTTCAACATGTTTCAACCATGTTTCAAGCATCCTGTACCCTATGTACCCTCTGGTAAAGCAGCAGTTTGCTATTGAACATGGCCATAGACTGAGTTGATTTACCATGATTTACCCATTAAAATGGTGATTTTCCATAGTTTCTGATTAAACATATTTATTTGAAACATGGTGATTTTCCGTAGTTTGTTACAAATTAAATGATGATTTTCCATATATGTTTTTTTAATGTTTACCATATATGGAAACAGTGATTTATACCAGTTTCCATATGTTTTTACCATTTTTACTATGGTGATGTTCCATATGTTTTACCATTTTTACGTTTTTTTCCATGGATGTGGGTCAAAATGGAAGACCATTCATGGGACTACAGATGTGAATGTCTAGTTTAGTATTCACCATCCAATTATTGGGGTACCTAATCTTAACCCATACCCAAATGGCTATGAATCAATACCTATTAATACCATTTTTAGAGGGATGAACATCCATTTACCAGCTATTTTGATGTTCACCAGGGGGATAGGGTTTGACCCATCCCCAAATGGTGATTTACCATCGCTGTACCACAACAACTCCTCCCCGTCACGGCCGTTTTACGAGCGCTGGAGCCTCCGTACTTCATCTTGTGGAAGTGGCACTGGAGTCGATGACTGTCCACTTCCTGGAGCCGGGTAGATTTTTGGGCTCCTGGGTTACCATCCTGTAATGGATTAATGGACAGATACCTGGAACCATCTGGAACCATACAATAATATAAAATAGTCATAATAACATATAATAACTATGAAATCCATAGTAGAAATCAATGAAATGACTATTGAAATCTATGAAAAGAACAACTACAAAGTTTGGTGCTTCATCCGATGATTTTTTCTGCTTGACAAGTCTCAGCATGGATCGGTGTTTTTGGGAAAGTCTCAACCGGAAAGCCATGGGGTTTTTGCCAGGAAAGATGGGGGGTTCCGGTTGAAAAACAAAACACCATCCAATTCTATGGCTGGAACATGACGATAAAAAAATATATGAAGAAGATATTAAATACATTTAAATACAATATAATAATCATTGTTGAATACTATGGCCAAATGAAATATGAATTAAGACTATTAAAATATGGCTATTATGATAGAATGATACTGTTGAATAGACTCATAGACTTCCCCAGAGAAAATGAAGCTGACGACTGGTAAATGGATGTAATTAATTGGCAATGACTATGAACAGATAGTCATGAAACATTAAACATATAATTTTCATTGTTCTTGAACACATTTGAATACTATGACCACATAAAATCTGAAGCTGACGATTGGTGGCTTCAAACAGCTTACCGCTAGCACAATGTCTTGGAAGTTGAGAACAAGGAAGAAGTCTCAAGGCCCAGCGCCAAGTGTCAACCGTCAGGCTCTTCAGGTAGGAAATCAACCCCTCTTGGCTCCACTCATCCTGTTGAGCTTGGACTGGTCAACAAGATGGGCGGAGTCAACCGTCTTTGAACCCATGATAATTATTCTGGAACCCTCCAAAAAATGACACATAGAATGGTTAGCACCTTAGCTTTGATGGTCAAAATTAATCAAGTCCCATTTCTTTCATGGAAAATTGGTCAACAATCCCCCCCTACCATATTAGAACTTCAGACTTTTGAAATTTTTGGGAAAAATTAACCGAATTCCCATTTTTGAGTTTCTGAAGAGGTGATTGGTCAACAACATAGTGAATCTTAGCTACTGGCCAACACAATACTATTTTTGACTAGTGAATGTACATTTTTCATCATGTTACATCATGTTACATTATTTTACATCATTTTTACACCATTTTTACATCATTTTACATCATTTGACATCATTTTACCATTGCAAAATATTGATTTTTCAGCTAAGTGACCAACAACCATCGTAACTCACCGCGACTCGTCGCTTTAGACCCAACAACCCTCGCCTGAAGTCGCGTGAGGTTGTCCACAAACTGTTGCACCGTCAGGTCATTAAGACGCTGAATCCACACCTCTGCTTTGGAATAACCACGTCTTCGGGATCAACAAAGGGTGGTTCATATTAGGGGAAAACATGCCAAAATAAAAAGGACAAAAGAACTTCGGTGGTAAAATAATATTTTCCGGTAAGACATGATATTAGTATAGTTACTGTTGATATTCTTTGATTTCTCCCATCTGCCCGTAAAAATCAAACAGATCACCAACGCCACCGCATGAACCCTGCATTTGCTGAAGAACGCCCCCCAAAAACATTCCTTTCATCCATTCCCCAGGTCTAGGTGATTTCCCAGAAAATCCGCCAAAATCACCCAACTCAACAAATCCAGGATACACCTATATATAATATAATATATTATATTATATTATATTGTATTGAATTGCATTATATTTATTATATTATATTATATTATACTATATTATAATATATTATATTATTATTATATATGTTATATAATAATATATATTAAATTAAATGATATAATATAATATAATGTTAAATTATATATTAGATGATATTATGTTATAAATGAAATCTTATGATATTATATTAAGTGTAATATATTATTTATTATATATATTATACATATTATATTATATTATATTATATTTTATTATATTATAATATATTATAATATATTATATTATATTATTATTATATTATATTATTATTATATATGTTATATAATAATATATATTAAATTAAATGATATAATATAATATAATGTTAAATTATATATTAGATGATATTATGTTATATATGAAATCATATGATATTATATTAAGTGTAATATATTATTTATTATATTATATTATATTATATTATAATATACTATATTATATTATTATTCTATATGTTATATAATAATATATATTAAATTAAATGATATAATATAATATAATGTTAAATTATATATTAGATGATATTATGTTATATATGAAATCATATGATATTATACTAGGTGTAATTTATTATTTATTATATATATTATATTGTATTGTATTATAATATATTATATTATATTATTATATATGTTATATAATAATATATATTAAATTAAATGATATAATATAATATAATGTTAAATTATATATTAGATGATATTATGTTGTATATGAAATCATATGATATTATATTAAGTGTAATATATTATTTATTATATATATTATATTATATATATTATATATTTTATATAATATATATATATATATTATATGAAATAATAACAATATATAGATAATATAATTTATTATATATATATTATTATATATTAATCATAATATATTATATTTTATATATTTAAAAAATATTTTCTTACATATATTGTATATCATTAGGTATTATATATGATTATATATTATATTATACTTTATGTGTATGTAATAATATATTACATTATGTTATATTATATGTACCTCCACCATCCTCCACCGATGTATAACTCCACCCCGTGATGACTCAACAAATCTAGGAGAACTCTCCATTCCATGATACCCATGATATCCATGATGCTGTGGCATGTGGCCCAACAGCCCCAGGGCCCACCTTGGCACATCGATCATCCGCTTTATCCAACGAATGCTGATCCATCCAACGAATGTGGTCCGGGTGGTCCACATCCCAGATAATGTGCGCCTTTGGATCAACCCACTCCTTCTGCACGTCCAAGTCGATTAAGTCCCTCGGGGCGAAGTTGCGAAGTTTCACAAGTCGAGATGTACACCATGCGTTCCCCTCAACTAAATGGTAAAGGAGCTAACAATCATGGGGTAAAATTGCATATTTGTTTAGCAAAAACTGGAGGGTCGAGATACTATCACACTTGTATGCTGCATAAAAATAGTATGAACATAGGACAACAATTCGCAGAAAAAATAGAAATGTTTAGCCGTTTAACATGTTTAACATCCTGAAGACCTGAACCACAGCGAGCAACTTGTAGCGATTGTAAAGCGCTTGGTGCAGCTTTCGGTGCTCCTGGAGTGCCAACATGACTCATGCCCTGGGTCAAAATTGAAGACCAATGCAGACCACAGGTTTCATGTTTTTTTTGGGTCAATTTTGACTATCCAATTTTAACCAATCCTAAGATTCTTGGGATACCCAATCTTAAGATTCAAGACCAATTCTTAAGATGTCTTAAGCATCCAAGGGTGCCCAATTTTAACTACCCATCTGGTATTAGACATTGATCTAAATCAAGGTCCAGCAGTCGACTCATCTGGGCTTGAATCACCATACAAGTATCTGTCAAACATATATATATATATGTATATGTATATGATATTATATTATTTTATTTTATATTAATTAATTAACTATATATATATATATATTAATTATAATATATATATATACACATTCAAACCCACATAGAATCCCAAGAGAACCCATACATGTTGATGTTTTACCCCATCAGTGAATATCTACTGTCCGATCAGAAACAAAACCATCTACAAAAAATGCTGTTACCCCACCATTCTACTGCTTTTACCATGACAAGTGGGGTGTTTGAAAACCCCATCTCGATAGGGGCTTTCCATTTCGTCATGTACCCCAAGTGCTCCATGACATCCATGACATCCATGACGTTCAACTGCGAATCTCCTCGGCGTCACCAACATCTTCAGTCCAAACTCGGCCAGATGTTTCAGCTTCCTTCTGGCGTTGACCTGGCTTTTCCAAAAAACTCGAAACGGATCTGACCCCTTTTTTGGACTACCATTTTTTTTCACCCCAAAAAAATAGAGGAGATCCAGATACATTAAAAGATACCCAATTTTGACCCATACCCATGCACCTGGCGTGGCGTTGTGGTGCAGTTTCCACGATGACATGGGTGATCTTGGGGTTCATGTAGGCAAACATGAAATGTATGGCAAATACGCCCCGCTGGAAATTAACTTTTTTAGAGGTATATAAATTCAAATCATCATAAATCATCTATCAATGGGCCACTTTCCATAACAATGTTAAATAACCAGAGGGGAGATCCTTCCTTCAGCTTTCCAAAGGATGGAAACCCATGGGATTTGCCCACCGCCCTCGATAGCCCAAGTGACGCAGGCTATGTTTCCTCTCAGCACTTTCTTGCACGCGCGACAGAGCATAGAGATAACTTGCCACTCGCACACTCCTGAGCTGTGTACATTGCCATGGGTTTAAGAGAAATTCTGTGGGTAACAATGGTTTTTGCCAAATAAAGAGTCTTCTGCAGATTTTCCCATCATCAATTTCTGGGATACTTGTTGGTGCGTGGTACAAGGTCAAAATCTTCGTCCCAGTCTTTAAGAGCACCGAAGAATCGCATAAATGTTGCGTCAGTTTTTCAAGTAATCCACAATCGTGGGGATCAAGTCAGTCATATCCTTTTCGGATAGCATGTAAAGGATTGTAAATGCCAATAGCATGGTGAGTTTGTTACTCCCCAGTCATACTGGAACTGAATGGGATTGGATATGATTGGATTTCTTGGATCCCGGCATCGGTCGACCAATTCACTGTGGAAGTATCAGGCGTGTAAACAATCATCATGGATCACCATGGACCATTGATGTTCTTGGCTACTAAACTGAAGAGCCTATACTGTTCATACATGTTAAACTGACAAACTGTTAAACACAAGCCGTTTCTGTTCGCCAGTAGCCGTTTCTATACTTCAAGTTGCTGGTTTCACCATGTGCCATCAAGAAACACTCTTCTTTTTCCAAGTTTTCGCGGCAAAAATACAAGCACAAGCGTAAAGCCTTATCGGATCATATAATCACAATCGAAAAAAATATGGGCACCACATGGCACCACACACCGCGATAAACAGAACATCACATGACTTTACTGTGGTGAACAACTACAACTGCTTGGTGGTTGACTTACCCCTCTGAAAAATATAACTTCGTCATTCTGATGATGACATTCCCAATATATTGAAAACTAAAACATGTTCCAAACCACCAACCAGATAACAAATCCGGCGCATGATCTCCCGGACTAGTAATAGGACGATCGGTCAAATTCTTGGACGATTGGATTCGGTTTGGACGATGACAGTGACCATCTGTGTCCGACAGATCGCTTGTCCAAGTTTCTTGTTGACTTTGCAAACTTCCTTGTTGTCTCCATCGCTATCACTGCTATCTTCACTTTCTTGTTCACTGTCTGTTTCCTGCGACATGTGAAGGATGGAGTGGCCGGTCTGGTTCGATCTTTGGAGGTTTCCAAAAGAAATGATTGGTGCCATAGCCGCAAAACTTTCTCAATCTGCTTCTCACTTCTCACAGTGATCAGTGAATATAATGTGACATCTATTTTGACCCGGGTCAGAAATATTTTGTTCATAACCCGCTGGAAGCCCAGTTTCACTGGCTTACCTGTAAGGATCGACTTTGGCCCATGGACATTCTTCAGCTTCCAATCCATTTGTTTTTTAAAGTCCCACACCTTCCTCTTTGGTCGGAACAACAACACGGACTAAAATCACAATCATGCAACCATATTGAAATACGTTTACACATGTATAGACTGTATAGAGTATATAAGGTGTTTATCTCTAGACACGCACCCTCGAACTTTACCGCTTTTCCCAAAGGCAATGTCCAATGGGAAGGTCCTGTCCTCCTTTTTGGGGGATTTGATCTTTAATTTCATGGGCATGCAGGCACACTTTGATGATGCATTTGAGACAACAACTGCTTAGTCATGATCCCTTCGCAGCAATAATAATCATGACTCTGACAATAAAGAAATACAACATCTGAACTATACTAAATTTATAAGAGTGAACCACAGTAGACAACCTGCTTGCCATAGGGCTCCAAAATTAGCGGACTCAGGGCTATACCAGGGTTTCCGGGGGCTGTCACTAACCATACAGGGGGATCTGTCCAGCCATTGAGCACCTCGAAAACACTCTGTGAAATGATCAGTTTGTCTGCGGTGTCATTGAATCATGACCCAACCCTGCTGAACAAAGAAGCCCCAGTGCCACACCATTCTCAATTTCACCATGTTGTTTCTTTTCGAACAACCTTTTTTTGACTCCCCGCCAACGTCAGCTTGCTGAGGAAGTTCGCAGCGAAGCTTCATCTATCAACACAACGTAACATTGCGTTGCTGCTGGCTTGTTGCCTTGAAACTGACCATTGCGTTTTGGTTGGGTTGTGCTCAGTAATTTATAGCTACCATGCCCTGAGCATGACCCTCTTACTCCAAACACCTGCAAACTGCGCATGTGTTTTTCTTTCTTTTTATTTAAACGGATCAAAGCATACCAAAATACTGTATGTATACTGAATGTGGTCTACAAAACCAACTGGCATTGTTCTATCGGTCACACGGCTATCAATGTCTCAGTTGCACAGCCTTCGAAAACCATTGCATTGCACCCATATTGACACCTCAACATATGTTGCTACAAAATTCACTTCCCACTATTCTAACAAGCCCTCCTTTGACCATCCTTAAGTCACATAAGAGCTTCGAACAGGAAGGGTTACGTGACCTGTTCTTACAAAATGTAAACCAACATCACTGAGTTTGGACCTGGAGAGACCATAGGTTGAAGTTGTAGCATGCGTTCACCATGTTTGTAGGCTTGAAATGCGAACGGGGATGCCAATAACATACAACACATTGTTTTGGAGGAGGATTTTTACAGCTTTATTTGTGAAGAATTGTTATTGGGGAGTAATCCCATTCCCATAATAATCCAAACACCTCCTAAATGAGTCCCAATATCAATCCCAATGTAAAACCATGGTTTCCGGGTTTTTGAAAGGGATTAACATGGATTAACATGGATTAACATGGATTAACCAGTTTCAGAACTCGAACCAGGTTCCACCCCTTGTTCATCACGAGCCGCGCCTTCAAGATCGGATGAAACTGCCGTGAGCTGACCTTCATGCTGGAGCTCCATGGCGGTCCGGCTTCGGTGTCCAAAATCCCATCGGTCTCTCTTAAGGCTTAAGGTCTTGCTTCATGGTTTTTGCAGATATGGCCTTCAACAGTCTCAACAGTAGTTGTAAACTATTTTATGATTTATGATATCCCCATATATATATATATAACAATTTCATGATAACCCCATATATATATATTATACATACATACATACATATATATATATATGTATATATAACAATTTATAATTTATAACCAGTGATAGTGATAACTAGTAAATTCACGAACATGTAGAAAACCATGAAAACTGATATGGAACCAGGAAAACGTGGAGTCTCTGTCAGCTTTCACGTTGAATTTCAAAGATCTTTGTTTCTCGAAAATTTTAATGTTTACTAAGCACTCTTAGTAAGGTAGAGTTGGTGTTAAACTGCTGGAAGTGAACCAAACATTTGCATCTAAGATATTTCAAGGTTGTTTCAGCTCACTCCAACCTTTAGAGCACATGAATATTCACACAATCATGTGGCGTATAAGTATAAGTCTGAAAGTCCAGCAGCGCACCTGTTGCGACGATTGCGACACACGTGCATTTCCACGATGTTTGCCACAAACCGGTCCATTTAAATCCATTTAACCAAAACGTCTGGAAGTGTCGGAAAAAAATGCATGGCATAATAAAACAAGAAACCGTCAAACCCTTTAACGTTTAAAGTCGTTTTGTTGCGAACCCAGCACCATCGCCACCCAGCTCTGTTTTTCTCGCCACAACTGACAACTGGGTCAGCCGGCTCCAACGTCGTTGCCCAGACCGTTCCGGTGGCAACGGTGCCTGGTTGATCTCATTTGGAGGTTTCTCAATCGTCATGGGGGTAGCCCCGGAGAATAACTCATCGGCATGATGTCATATCATATAAATCATATACATTCATATACCCACTTATAGTGAAGAGTAACCTTAGTGGATATCACCGAAGAATACCGAAGATATGTGCATAGGTCCAGTTCTCATCATGTTCTCATCATGTTCTCATCATGTTCTCATCATGTTCTCATCCAGTCGTCATGGACCATCACAAATGTATTGAAATGCCCCATTCATCCCATTTCAAGAAACCCCCGATGTGTGAGATGTCTGTACAACTGGTGGCCATCGCCCGCTCAACAGATGGGATTTCACCATGTTCAAAGCCACAGATTTGTGTACCAAATGTCTCAAAAAAAAGAAAGTCTCTCGAAAGCAACTCCCATCTCAAGATATCTCAAGATATCTCAAGTCTAGATTCGCCACATCAATGGCACTGGATGGCACTGGATCTCAGATTTGATCTCACACCAGATACAATCCCTGCCCAAGCAGCTGTTTGTCCCCACTTCCAGAAGGTGGTCAGATTGATCATCTGCAGTGGTGGAAGATAAACCAACCAAGGTTGGGCTCAACAGCTGGCAGCCACCTTGAGGATGCTTTCGCAATATTTCACTCAACTTCTCAATCGAAAAAAATCAGCCAACGTACGCTGGATCTGCTGAAATTTGATGAAATCTGATGAAGATGTGATGACTTTTTATGGCTTTTGATGGATGTGTTTCTGAATTTTGGCCAACTGATCAAGAAAAAACACCGGCTCATCCCCAAGAGATATCTTGCATCACCACCTCCCAGGATCCCCACTGCCTCAAGGGATTGAATTCAGGTGGGTCACAAGGTCGCCCAATCTCTTCCTGTCTCCAGGAGTTGGTGACGTGACTGGGCTACCATTGATATACCATTGAGAATCAACCAATGGGGGTATCTTAAGCATGGTTGATTAACATCTGGTTGTTAAGATCCATTGATTAACCAATGGTTGATCAACCAATGGTAAATCATGTACCATCTGGTTATGACTAACATAGCCATGGTATAGATGGCCCATAGAAATAGATGGTTTTCCCAGCGACATCAACCTCCATTTATTTTCGGGATTTTCCATGGCTATGTTAAATAATCAGATGGTAACCATCAAACAGAATCAAACATTGATACCCGGTGTCATCAGCCACTTGGCCGGAAAAGCCACCATAGTTCCATATGATTTTCCTATAGAAAGCACCATTTCTGCTGGATTTTCCAAATGTTGGATGATTCTTGAGAGATTCTGCTGCTCGTTGGCTTACGCTGACTGTGGCAGAAATTGATCTTGAAAAATAGATGGCTATACTTCCGACAGGTAAGCAAGGAATGTATACGGCAGATTTTGGGATAGTGATTTCAATTATAACATATTATAACATATCATAACATATTATAACTATACTTCCAATAGAATGGATGAGTATACTTAGTATACTTCCATTATTTTATATGGGAGACGGGAGAGTGAATTTCTCATGTTGAAACATGGTGGTTCTTCTAACACTGCAGCAAAAAACTACGGTAGATCATGTTTCATGTGGATGATCCAGAAAAAACCCTCTGGTAAACATACAAAGTTAGCTATTGAAAATTGCCGTTTAGCTCGTTGATTTACCCGTTGATACCATGGTAAGTTTCCATAGTTTTTTGTCAACGTTTCCCAGAGGTGATGCCACCACAATACCAGTGATGCCACCATGGTTACCCAGGAATGTAGCTTTGACAAAATAGTTTGGATAGATGTCGGTAAATATCCTAAGGGTGGTTGGTATATATATATATATTACCCTATGGTAAATTAACATAGACCCTGCCAAATAGGGGTTGGAAGACTAGTTTCCATTAAAAATGGGTGATTTTCAGGGTCTATGTCAATTTACTGGAGGGTATGTCCGGCTTTTCCAACATGACTTCTACATAATTCGTGTTTCAATCATCAAATTCCCAGCGGTTCGCGGGTAGAATGGACATGGTTGACTACATGGAAAAGGTCCATGGCCAACCCCTGTCCTGACACTGTCCACGATGCCCTCTTCGAGAACTTCCGGTTCCTACAAATTTGGTGATGGGGTTGGATGTGCCAACAACAGTTTGGGGTAGTTGGAAAATGAGGATATAACTTTGATAGAACCGCAACATTTGGGATTATCACCACTCGAAATGGGAGTGTAACCAGTGAACATGAGGATAGAATCTCTGAACAAGTGGGTTTATGACCACTCCAGAAATTCCTCATGACTTATGACCAGTGGAAAAAGAATGGATGTGAAAACCGAAGAATGTGTGCACCCATTTGTTCATGCTGGAAACTAGCTTTACAACTACAATTTGAGTGGCTCTTGTACTACTTAAACCACACAGCTAAAGTTTATCACAAGAAAAACATCAATATGGGTTTGTCTGAGAATAGTGTACCCCTCAATCCATTGGATTATCATCATTGTCCTCAAACAAATGCCATTTGGGGGTATACCATGGTATACCTCATTTTCAGACACAGCCATATCAATATCTGTCAATCTCCAAGCCCCCAAGACATCTTCCTGAACCCCAATTCGGGTGTTAGCTCCTCAGGGTGTCAAAATCAAAACTTGGGAGCCCCAGTCTGTCCCATTCTTTATTTAACATTACTAGTTCGTGCTGATCCAGGATTGATGAATCCTCAATTATTAATTGGTTGACTTCACTGTCACTTTCACTGGCGGCTCTCTGAAGTGAAACCTTTATGGCCGAGCGGGAGGTTACATCAGACCATTGCTATCATTGCTTAATCTATAGTATTCATAGTGAATAGTATAAATTTAAAAAACAACTATCCAAGTTCACATACTGCCAAAGTTCACAGCAAAGTCTCAGTCGAAAATAATACCACGTCTGGCCTCACGAAGATACTTGACCAGAATGATTCATGGCGGAATTGTTGGAATATGTTATCACTATTTTGGATAACCTTATATATATGAACTAATTTATAATTATAAACGATGCATGGATACTTTGTCACGGTTTATCAATAGTTATCAACATTTGACAATGATCAACTACTAACTACTAGTAATTACAATAAGTACGATATCAAACTATATAGTTCAGTACATTTGACAATAACTATCCAATCCAAGTATCCAAGATTATCCAAGTATATCCAAATTCAATAATCACTTTTTCACTATCAATTGATAAACCATAACTGTTATAACTATCAATAATCCAAGTAGTCAAGTTCAATTATCAATATTCTGGAGCTAACCATCCAATTGATTTTGCAGTGATCAATCCACGGTGTGTTTTGACACCTCTCCTGTGGCACTTCCGCCCACGGCGCCCAAAACGACACGTGCGCCTAGCACGTGGAGCGGTGCGGTGCGGTGAAAATGCTGATAAAATGAATTGGAACATCCTCAAGGTTCTTTCCGAAAGAAGAAATTCATTGAATTAATCATAGATTCATAGATACCATGGTTTATCATGTTCACCATATTTCATTAAGACATCACCATCAAATCATCGCCATAGAAATCCATAGAATGAATCGGAGATCCATCCTTGCTGGACAAACATGACCGAATTTTGTGGCAGGTTTACAACCAAGACTAGGAGTGAAGGTCATGAGTCATGATATTGAATCGAACCGTGAGAAGGGTGTTCGTTGCAAATTCCCGGAGAAAAACATCGAAAAACACGGCCCCCCTGGTTTTGGGTGCGGACTTGTCAACCCATCGTCAGGTTGGAAAGTTGGGGAAAAAGAAACAGACTGTGGATGGTTGCGAATTCCTGCACCAGTTGAAAACGGTGGTTTATCCATGTTTATCCCATTATTTACAGGGTTTCAACCATCCTTTTGATTGTTTATCGGATTTCGCAACCACCCAGCGGATCAAAGCACCAAGTTTGATCCACCCTAGACGTCATAGACGTCATATCAGTTGTCCTATTGAAATCATCATCATCCAAGTCAGACCTAGTCTTGAAACCAAAAAATGGTCTTGGGGATCTCCCATTTTAAGGGGAAAAAAAGGTCCCCAGTTATAAGTTGGTTTATAATTTTTTATAAACTCTAGGAGTTAATTATAATGTTCACCAACTTCGCGATTTCGTAAATCAGCGATAAAACATATCAAATCCCAAACTGTTGTTGGTGAAATCACCATTTTGCTATGGGTTTCTATCGTCAACAAGGTACTTTCTATTGAAAAATCCCCATTTCACATTCGGTGACTTGGTGACTCAACATGGTCCGTTTTTGTGGGGGAAACCAACAAAAAATCGAAAAGAAACAGTGAAACTATACCATGAATTTGGAAACTATAGATATGGATATATATGATATATAGATATATAGATATATAGATATATAGATATATAGATCAATAGTGAAACAGTGAAACTATATCTTACCAATAACCAAGATGTTGATAAATTAATTGACGTTAAACGTTACTTTCTTGAAACTCTCTTGAAATCTACTACCTTCTGATGTTCAATATGGAAAAACCGTGAAAAAACATGTATTTCTATTATCTGGTTGGGAACAAAACCGCTACACTTATGGCCTACCTAACAGTTATAACTTAGTTATAACATAAAGTTATAACTGGGATTATTTCATGATGTATCCCATTGATAACATGTTATAATTATTTATAACTGAGATATATAATGATAATGATTCATGATGTATATCATTTAGTGCTGTTATCATTTAATCTCTATCCCATTTTAATTACGGTTTTTGGGGCCATGCCATGTGGGGAACAGACCCAACACAGACCCGCCTCACACTGGATCCAGTCCCCAGAATCTCGGCCGCTGACCGTGGAGCCCCAGGGAGCCACCAGGCTCGGATCCTGGGAGACTTGCGCTGCCGAAAGTGGGGATTTATGGCTGGTAGATCTATGCTTGGTGAAGCAAAACATGATGGGGATTTAAACATGATGTGACTGCTCAAAAATAGTAAAAACATGCATGATTTACCCTCTGGTAATTTAACATAGCTATTGAAAATGGCCATAGACATAGTGAAATTTCCCATTAATAGCATGGTGATTTTCCATAGTTTTTTGTTAACGTTTACCAGAGGGTAATCATCCATTTCATCAATACTCATGTTCATCGGTGGAATGGTTTCAATGGAAAATTTTACTGGAAGGAAGCAAGCCGCATCGTTTTCCCGGAATTTATGTACTGGGTTGGCCAAGGTTTCTTGAAATGGCAATCCTATGCAATCCTCATGTTCAGGACAGGACAAGGTTCATTCTTGGGGACAATTTTGAGCCATGGCCACATATATCACGTCACCTCTTGATGTCTCTTGATGGGGTTACTGCAATCACTGCTTAACAATCAAACCATGATTCGTGGAGGTTTCCATAAATGGGGGTACCCCTAAATCATCCATGTTAGATTGGGGTTTTCCATGAAATAAACCATCCAGCTCTTGGGGTCGCCGCAGTGTTGGAAACCTCCAAATTTGACCCCCAGTTTGACGGTGGAATCTGTTCATGTAGCGGACCCAGATCATGATAGATCTGATAAATTATCTGGGTTAAACTTAGCGTGTTGTATGAATATCAAATACCATTAAGGCATTGAAACTTAAAATCATATCATTGCGTGAACAGATGAATCATAAAAAATGCCCATTGTCATAATCATCCTCATCATCATCATCATCATGGATGTGTCTAGTACCATCCCGTTCTAATTCAGGCACTATCCTGATTCAATGCTCATCAGAAATTAGGCTGGATCAATGATAGTACATCACTAACCTGAAATAAGGCTATGTCACAGTCATATTGGGGATAGCCCTACTCAACATCTACTAACCATCTTTCCTTCGTTTTTGGTTCACGAAAAATCGCGCATCCGAATCCGAGTCCAAGAGAACTCGGTCAAATTCGGTCAAGGGTCAAGCACGGTCAACAAATTCACAAACTGTAATCAATGATAAATAGCGTCAATGATTACATTTACCATCTGGTTATGACTAACATAGCCATGGAAAAATCACCATGTTTAATGGGACAATTCACTATAAATGGCAATTTTCAATATCTATGTCTGTTAAATTACCAGAGAGTATTGATAATGTTTACCTTCTGGTAATTTAACATAGCGAACTGGACCATCACCATGTTTGATTAAATCACATAAATGAATATACATGAGCCATTTGTCATGGCCATGTTAAAGAACCAGCGGGGATGTTAAACGTGTATTTTCATGATTAGGGCAAATGCTTGCAGCTACTGTATAGCATGTTATCATTTAATAGGCTTGTCAACTATTATCATTAGCGCAATGATTTCTTGGCTACTCACTACCATCGAAAAAAATCCCAGTCAGTTTGGGGCCCAGGCCCAGTTTCACCTCAAACTTAGGGATGGTGACAATATCATCAGTTTTAAGATTAAATCAGCAGTTCACTCACTATCCACCACTGAATCACCAATCCACTTCATCACCACCACTCATAATCACTAGCAATCATTAGTATTACTACCCTCTGGTAAATTAATATAGCTATCAAAATCACCTAGTATGTCTATGGCCATTTTCAATAGCAACCTGTCCAGAGGGTACTAGCATCACATCATATCACTAGCATCACAACATGACAAAAATATGGAGGTTTTCTAAACTAGGGGTACCCCAAATGGATGATTTACCCTCTGGTAAACGTTTACATAACTATGGAAAATCACCATGCTATCGATAGCTAAATCCACTATTTCTATGGTCATGTTCAATAGCAAACTGTTACAAATTACCAGAGGGTATCATTTAAATTCATTTCATATGTAGTTCCATGATTGATTACCAATGGCTTAATATTTAGAAGCCATGATGATTAATTAATCCTCCATCAATGGAAAATCTCATCATCAATGGAAAATCCCTACGAAATTTAGGAAACCAACTTGCAGTCGAAGTCACCACATCCGTGGGACACTTACTCCGGCGGTACGCTAAGCCCCGCGTGGCCGCGTGCAAGCGATTCTCCACCTACGACCGCCGGAGTTGCTGGTGAGTTCACCAAAAGTTGGGGATTTCACTGGATTGGTTTAAGGGAAAATTTACAGGAAACCATAGTTTTTACCATCAAATATAGGGCTTAAACTGGTTCCAATTTTCCCATCATCCAATTCTATGAGGATTTCATGGGACATGGGAAAAAATATGGCCCTTTTTTACGAAATCCTGATTTTGTTGGTGAACAGAACTCCAATTTCGCGTTGATGATACGTGTATTTTTTGAGTTCTATGATGAGATTTATAAACCGACATATATCTGGAGGGCCCAACGTTGAAGGGAGATCATGTGGAAATGTTAAATTTCCAGATGGTATTTCAAACATTATAAATTCAAATTCCACTAACATTTCATTATATCCCTGTTAGTGTTCGTAAAGTAAGCAAGAATAAGCCACCCATATTTTGATGGTTTCAATCCAACCCAGTTATGATAAAATTGGGTATGGTTTGCTGTGTTTGCTGTTGCTTTACTGACACTAAACCCCATTATTCAATGCCCATAGACCTGTCATTTGAGGCTTACTTTTATAAACCATTCTATTAATTTTATGGTTTATGAACTAAGAAACATGTTATCCAATTCATTTATAAACCATTTATCCAATTCATTTTATGATATCGACATCAATGGGATGGTCTATGAACTCGGATTCACCGCGTGACTCATGTCGAAGTATTGCTGGAGCTTTCCAGCGCCATGGAGCTGATGGTTACCCTCTGGTAATTTCTAAGACTTTGCTATTGAAAATGACCATAGAAATACTGGATTTAGCTATTGAAAATGATGATTTTCCATAGTTATAATTTAGTTATGTTAGTTTACCAGAGGGTCCATGTTGATACCGGAATTGTTTGATGATCATTTGCTGGAATTTCATGGTCTTCTATAATGTGTTTTTCTTGGGATACTGTAATCATGGGATACTTTTATGGGATATCCCCAAAAACTCGTCAACCAAGTATCTGATGTATCTGGGCAAATCATGATAATTCTGGGTAAATTCGGTAAATTATCATATTTCATCATATTTCATCATATTTCACTAACCTGAAAATTTGACCATATTGGGATAATTCCCCGAATCCTACAAAGTGGGGCCCCCTAGTTATAAGTTGGTTTATAACCCAATCCAACTATAGTTATAACTACCATAAACCCTAGTGAAATTGTAGTTATTTGGCCCAACTGAACGCTATCGAACGGGGGCCCCACTTTGTAACCATGAGATCCAATGAGAACAGTGAGACCTTGCAGCCTCAACTGGATTTCCCATCATCCAAACTAATAAAAGATCTGGGAAGCCGCGCCCGGTAAACCTCCGGCGCCAGCTGCGTCAACCTTGGTGTCACCCCAAGAACTATGGGGGATTTTTTTGATGGGTATAATGGATATATGGTCTTATGATACTTATAGACTTATAAACCACATCCGGAGGGATATATATATATATACTTATAGATTTATAAACCACATATATGGTCTTATACTTACATACTTATAGATATATGGTCTTATCATACTTTCACTATCTGGAGGTTTCCTAAGTCATGGGGGTACCCCCAGTTCTCACCATCCATTAATTCACAGGTGGTATCCCCATGGCCGATATGGCTGTGAGACATGAGATATTGATATCATTAATTACGTATAATGGGAAAATTAAATACCATCTGGTGGTAAATTTTACAACATATCTGTTCACGTAATGGGAAAATGATATGATATGTAATGGTGAAATCAAATATCATAATTAGTTGTTGTAAAATCCAAAACATATGCAGTAATGGGACAATTTTAATACCATCTGGTGATTTAACATAGCCATGGAAAATCCCGAAAATAAATGAAGGTTTTAATGGGAAATTCATCTATAAATGGGCCATTATCCATGGCTATGTTAACCAGTAGGTAATAGTAATAATCATGGTTCCTAACTGATGGTTAGTAAGGGGTACTATTTGGGTCACAGTGGAGTTGTTTTTTCCAAAATGGCCTAACGTCAATGGGGGATCAGAATCAAGAAAAACCATTGGAATTGGAGTGTTCCCCAAAATTTGCTTCAAAAAAAACATGACATTTCCAAGAATGGTAGGATATATTGAAATATATAAAAGCATGTTTGTAAATCTACAGCTATAGCTAAATCATTAAATCTACATCTATCATTATTCATTGTTATAAAATCATCATCAGCATCCTGGAGTAGACATGTCCACATCCATCCACTGCGGGCAGGGAACTCATTTGAAAGTCGATCGGGAACAAAGAAGAACAAAAACGCAAGGTTGATCTGAAAATATCGGTAAACATCTAAGTGATTGTTTTGATATATGTTGATATATATATATATATATGTGTAGACATATTATAATATTATTATATATATATTATTTTATATTGTGTATATTATATGATATACAAAAGTCCTGGAACCAGATCATTTCCAGTGACTGTCCAGACCCTCTGAAACTGACTCCTACAGGTCCGAGATCTAGCAAACCCATCTTAACTCGTAATCAGCTCACGATGTATTGTGAATATGTTCTACTATGTTCATCTATGTTCTACTGATCAGTCGAGAGGCTTTATATCATGGTTTGAAATAGATTGCTAAATACTGTCTATTCCTGTCTATTCAATAACATAGTTTCTGTGTAACTTTAACAAATTAGCCAACACGCATAGAGCTCGTGGCCGAAGTTCAAGGATATTACAAGAAATGGGGATGTTCGATCATCCACAAATGCGGGGAATACCTGAATTACCTTACAAAAAAGGAGGTCTATTCACTAAGTGCTAACATTCGCTAACTACGAAAGTCAACTGAAGTTTAACAGTCGTGATCTGCAATTCACACAGGGGGGTTTTCTCAAGCGAGCCACACAGCAGCGCCATGCAGACGTTTGGGCAGAAACCTCGGCGACTCCGGCGCCGGAACCCCGAGAGGTTCCGGCGGCGACCGTTTCGACCGTTTCGCTTGGGCTGGATCCTGCCAAGGACCGGAAGCTGGTTGGAAGTTCATCATGTCAACCTCCTTCCAAATACCCCATTTTTATGGTAAAAGCACGAAAATGATGGTGTAAAACACCATGGCTTTATGGGTACTTAAACGGTCTAGGAACTTATATTTATTGGCGATTGGGATTTCAATTAATATGTTGCTTCTGCATTGGATCATGAAAAATTCTCATTTTCGCTGGTAATGGAACACGCCCCTCGTTGAATATCAAGATCTCTGTTGTCACAGTTTTCAAAGGTCATGAGTTATTTCCAGAAAGAATATAGAACCATGTGTTACCATGTTATTACCATGTTATACCATGTTATTACCATGTTATTACCATGTTATTACCATGTTATTTTCATTACCATTATCTGGGTGTTTCTATTACCATGTTATTACCATGTTATTAGATGTTATTAGCACACGAGGACCTTCGGTCAATCAAACATGGTAATAGAAACACCCAGAAACACAGGAACCAGTTGATGGATTTCCATCATGGCAACTCTGCCACACACTGGCCACAACTGCCGGGCCACTGCCGGCAGGGCCACAAGGCACGGCCGCAGTTGAATGGCTTTCTCTGTAAATGGCTTTTCTATTGGGGAAAATGGTGGTAAAAGATGGTAAAAGTCTGGTAAACTAACATAACTATGGAAAATCACTATGTTTAATGGGAAAACTCACTATGTCTATGGCCATGTTCAATAGCAAACTGTTAGTTTACCAGAGGGTAAATGGTATAGGGATACTTTTTGGGGTGTTCCACGTTGCGACTAACCCGGTCCTCCATCGACGGAGTTGGGACCGGACTCTCCCCCGATTTCGGGCCTTCAGGGGCCTCCTGACGCAACGAAGACATACTGTAGTCATCCCAGTCATCCCCAAAAAGAAAAACAAAGCCTTCCTGATGTGATGATTTACTCAGTTTCACTATGTTTCACTTTTCATTGGAATATGGGGAAATCAATAGATTCAATGGATGTCTTGAGTTTTTTTTGCATTTGAAAGATCCCCATGATAATCATGATAATCATGATAATCATAAGATAATCATGATATCTCCGCTGTTTCTTGCTGCACAAAGCCATCAAAAAAGCCATCAAAAACTGCACCAAACCCACATCAGGGCGCCTTCAGACGAGCAATGGCCAAGGCCTCAGTGGCAAGAAAAAACTGGGGCTGCCGTTGGGGGTAGCCGGTAGATCACCATGGTGATACATAATCTCCATAGTTGGGATATGGGGCCCAAGAACTTTGGGTGCAACAAGATCGCCCACAAGAGATACTGTATGGGTCTGTCTAAAAAAAAGTTGCAAGCCCATGCTATCCATTGGTCCATCATGTTTTCCCTAAAAAAAAACATGGCTATAGAGAGATATCTTCTGGGCCTACGAATTTCTGGATCCCTCTGGGGTCTCCCACGCAGCTCTTCTGCAGCTCTTCCAATTCTCGGAGGCCACAGCTGGGCCGTGCAGCTTCTGGCGAAAGGATGCAGCTTCGATATGGTCAATATACTCTGTATCCATCCATAAAAGTCTAAAAAAGCAATACGAATCTAATTAGCAAAATTATAATCTATATTAATCTATTCTATTGTTATTAATAAGTTTGTATTTTTACACTCTTAGTACAGTCAGAATTTTATTGTTGACCCCCCAGCTGGCAGCTGTACGATGCCCAACTGCCCGGGCTCCTGGTGCTGTCTCTGGCGATCCCTCGTGAGCCAAGTCCCGGCACAAGCGGTCAGCATCCAGCAACGCGCCTTGATCTTTGGGATTTCATGGGATTTCAACTAGTCATTGGCTTGTATTAAAAGCTACAATCTACAGGAAACCCTGTGTTTACCAATTTCAAGTGTGGATAGAATGGGCAACTGGAGATATGTTTATGGATTATGGGGTATATATAACAGATTATAACAGTATATAACCAACTTAATATGATTTTGGGGGGTTGAACATGTGGTATATTACCCAGATGAACATGCAAAAATTTGGGAAACATAGTGATAAACCATGGGATTTTGGGGCTTTCCCCCACATGTTCAAACATGTTTGACCCAACCCCCAGTTGTCCTGTGGGACAGGAAACCCTGGTCTCTGCTAGATAAAAATGCTGATGTAAGCAATATATGACCAGACAATTTATTGGTTTCGACAGAAATCGGCTTCGAATTTCGATCAGAAAATATCCACATTTCGACAAAATTGTCGTTTCATCATTTCTTCATTTCTTTCCCTGTTGAACTCCTTGGGTTGCGGACCCATTTTCTGGGCCTGGAATGGTGGAGGGCGTACTGGAATGGGTGTGTAGCTGTGTAGCTGTTGTTGACAAGAAGTGGGCAGCAAAAGTCCACGACCATCGAGAGACTTCATTTTTATTGATACAAATTGCGGAGATTCCCAAGAATTGGATAGAATTGGGCCATCCATTCATAGAGGGCTCAAGTCAACCCAAAGATCCAGAAATCCCAAGCAACCAGTTGCAGATGTTTTTTATTTCAAACCAAGAACATAGTTCATGTAAGGAACCTTCACTAGCGATAGTGAAACAGCGTGCAAACTTGGTTGTTTGGGTTCCAGGTTAAAGATTATGTGGATGATATTGTCCGCAGCATTGAAACGCGTTGCTCGTGCAACATCTCCTACCCACCATCGGGGATATTCCCATGTTGAACAACATTGGGCGTGGATTTCAGTGTTTCACATTGGGCCCCTGAAAAATTGGGCAAAGAGTTGAAGAAACCTTTGTTTTGCAGCAGCTACTCTTCGAGGCCAGCTCTTCAGTTTTTTTATTCGGATGAAGCGCCATCCAGGAATGCACAAAAACACGTGACAGCAAACCGAACAGGTATCAGAAACACATGTTGACGGATGTTGACGGATTTTATATACCATCTGGTTATTTAACATAGCCATGGAAAATCACCATTTTTAATAGGTAAACCATCTATATATTTCTATGGGCCATCTATACCATGGCAAACTGTTAGTCATAACCAGAGGCTAATTGACATTTCTGTTTGGTGAAGGCGTCCCCGGGATATCCTACCAACCAGGAATCATTATTCAAAATCATTATTATCAAGGCAAAATTGAAATTCACATGGGGTATACCATGGTATAACCCCCCATAGCTGGGTGAAATCCTTAAGTTCTTTGGTTGCAAAATTCACGTCCCAAAATCCCAGCTTCGCACGTCAAGCTCCAAGCCTCCAAGGCTTCGCAACGTTGTCGAAGGTTCAACACCTCATCTTGCGCTGCCTTAGCGATGCCATGTCAATTGATACAGCCCGGCTGATTTTACGCACAACAATAGGCTCCTTAATAATCCTTATAATGGTTTTCTTGACTGTTTGACGTCCAGCGTCACAAAGCGTTTTGTTCAAGATGGGACGATACTTACTGGTGCGTTTTACGTAGGGAATGGATGGGTTGCTGGGGGTTGCTGGGATTATTATTGATAGTTAGCCAGTGGATCATTCCCTCATTCCCTACTAAGATCTACGAAGCACAAGTAAGGATAGCGTGTGGATCATGATCCGATTATGGAAAATTGTTGAGAAAATCCCAAGAGCCTGAAGTAAATAAGCCAATCATATCCAATATGACCTTCTGGTAAACTAATAAAACTATATGGAACATCACAATTTTTAATAGGGAAATCAACTATAAATGACCATTTGCAATAGCTATGGCTATGGCCAATATGAGCTTAGCCCAAGTTCTTGATCATCTCGACCATTTGGGCAAGGGCAGTATGGAAATCCTACTGAAAGTCCTGAAAGTTTGATTCAAACCTGTGTTTCTACCTGGTGATCTGCCAATAACATCCAATACCCATCCTTGGAAAGCCATCCTCGCACATGGGCTGCCTGCTGGTCACTGATTCTTTTCCACTTCGAGATTGCATCAAATGAGTCAAGTGGGATATTTTACATCAAGCTGAACCTCCAAAGACTAGTCGTGCTCCAATCCCCCAAGGTGCCACTAGCCTCCTTTGGCTACAGCGCCATGGCCTAAAGAACCATGGCCTCAGATCATGGACTTCAGAGCCGCAACGGGGCTTGCCTTCACGACAGTCTTGGCAGGCTGGGCCTTCACCATCACCTCCTTGCCGAACATCAACTTCTTGCCAGCCTTGGTTGCTGGCTTCTGGCGAGTCTTGATCATGCACAGTCCTGGAAGAATGAACTTGCCAGACTTCTTCACCTCCTCGGTACCAATCTCTGTCAGACTGTTCAAGATCTTGGCGATGTCGGATTTCTTCATCTCCGTGGCATCAGCCAACGAACCCATGAGGCCTCCCTTGGTCATGGCCTTCTGACCCTTCATCGCTTTCATGGCAACCTTCTTTGCCTTCATTGCCTTCATTGCAGGGGCCATGATGTCGGAAGAATGGGAGAGAACTGTCGGAATCGAATGCAACTTGAGCCCAGATCAACTGCATCAACTGCGACACTCAAATTCTAGCCACCTGCCAGCCTCTGACGCTCGCAAGATTCTGAGCAGCCATCTTGATCGCAAGCAAGATGGACATATATTGTTCTACAATAATTTGCAAAAGAATCCTTGCAATGACATTCTTGTCGACAAGATTGACGTCTATGGAATCACAGAAAAAATCCATAACTCCGACTTGCACACCTGCTTCTTGAATCTGCATAATGGCATAGGCTCATGCATGATAGTAAATTACGATATCAATTTCTAGATTGAAAATGAAAAGATGTCGAACAAGACAAACTGCAAGGTCTGCAGGGCAATGATGCTTTTCCACTTCGAGATTGCATCAAATGAGTCAAGTGGGATATTTTACATCAAGCTGAACCTCCAAAGACTAGTCGTGCTCCAATCCCCCAAGGTGCCACTAGCCTCCTTTGGCTACAGCGCCATGGCCTAAAGAACCATGGCCTCAGATCATGGACTTCAGGGCCGCAACGGGGCTTGCCTTCACGACAGTCTTGGCAGGCTGGGCCTTCACCATCACCTCCTTGCCGAACATCAACTTCTTGCCAGCCTTGGTTGCTGGCTTCTGGCGAGTCTTGATCATGCACAGTCCTGGAAGAATGAACTTGCCAGACTTCTTCACCTCCTCGGTGCCAATCTCTGTCAGACTGTTCAAGATCTTGGCGATGTCGGATTTCTTCATCTCCGTGGCATCAGCCAACGAACCCATGAGGCCTCCCTTGGTCATGGCTTTCTGACCCTTCATCGCTTTCATGGCAACCTTCTTTGCCTTCATTGCCTTCATTGCAGGGGCCATGATGTCGGAAGAATGGGAGAGAACTGTCGGAATCGAATGCAACTTGAGCCCAGATCAACTGCATCAACTGCGACACTCAAATTCTAGCCACCTGCCAGCCTCTGACGCTCGCAAGATTCTGAGCAGCCATCTTGATCGCAAGCAAGATGGACATATATTGTTCTACAATAATTTGCAAAAGAATCCTTGCAATGACATTCTTGTCGACAAGATTGACGTCTATGGAATCACAGAAAAAATCCATAACTCCGACTTGCACACCTGCTTCTTGAATCTGCATAATGGCATAGGCTCATGCATGATAGTAAATCACGATATCAATTTCTAGATTGAAAATAAAAAGATGTCGAACAAGACAAACTGCAAGGTCTGCAGGGCAATGATTCTTTTCCTCTTCGAGATTGCATCAAATGAGTCAAGTGGGATATTTTACATCAAGCTGAACCTCCAAAGACTAGTCGTGCTCCAATCCCCCGAGGTGCCACTAGCCTCCTTTGGCTACAGCGCCATGGCCTAAAGAACCATGGCCTCAGATCATGGACTTCAGGGCCGCAACGGGGCTTGCCTTCACGACAGTCTTGGCAGGCTGGGCCTTCACCATCACCTCCTTGCCGAACATCAACTTCTTGCCAGCCTTGGTTGCTGGCTTCTGGCGAGTCTTGATCATGCACAGTCCTGGAAGAATGAACTTGCCAGACTTCTTCACCTCCTCGGTGCCAATCTCTGTCAGACTGTTCAAGATCTTGGCGATGTCGGATTTCTTCATCTCCGTGGCATCAGCCAACGAACCCATGAGGCCTCCCTTGGTCATGGCTTTCTGACCCTTCATCGCTTTCATGGCAACCTTCTTTGCCTTCATTGCCTTCATTGCAGGGGCCATGATGTCGGAAGAATGGGAGAGAACTGTCGGAATCGAATGCAACTTGAGCCCAGATCAACTGCATCAACTGCGACACTCAAATTCTAGCCACCTGCCAGCCTCTGACGCTCGCAAGATTCTGAGCAGCCATCTTGATCGCAAGCAAGATGGACATATATTGTTCTACAATAATTTGCAAAAGAATCCTTGCAATGACATTCTTGTCGACAAGATTGACGTCTATGGAATCACAGAGAAAAAATTGTCCATAACTCCGACTTGCACATCTGCTTCTTGAATCTGCATAATGGCATAGGCTCATGCATGATAGTAAATCACGATATCAATTTCTGGTTTGAAAATGAAAAGATGTCGAACAAGACAAACTGCAAGGTCTGCAGGGCAATGATTCTTTTCCACTTCGAGATTGCATCAAATGAGTCAAGTGGGATATTTTACATCAAGCTGAACCTCCAAAGACTAGTCGTGCTCCAATCCCCCAAGGTGCCACTAGCCTCCTTTGGCTACAGCGCCATGGCCTAAAGAACCATGGCCTCAGATCATGGACTTCAGAGCCGCAACGGGGCTTGCCTTCACGACAGTCTTGGCAGGCTGGGCCTTCACCATCACCTCCTTGCCGAACATCAACTTCTTGCCAGCCTTGGTTGCTGGCTTCTGGCGAGTCTTGATCATGCACAGTCCTGGAAGAATGAACTTGCCAGACTTCTTCACCTCCTCGGTACCAATCTCTGTCAGACTGTTCAAGATCTTGGCGATGTCGGATTTCTTCATCTCCGTGGCATCAGCCAACGAACCCATGAGGCCTCCCTTGGTCATGGCTTTCTGACCCTTCATCGCTTTCATGGCAACCTTCTTTGCCTTCATTGCCTTCATTGCAGGGGCCATGATGTCGGAAGAATGGGAGAGAACTGTCGGAATCGAATGCAACTTGAGCCCAGATCAACTGCATCAACTGCGACACTCAAATTCTAGCCACCTGCCAGCCTCTGACGCTCGCAAGATTCTGAGCAGCCATCTTGATCGCAAGCAAGATGGACATATATTGTTCTACAATAATTTGCAAAAGAATCCTTGCAATGACATTCTTGTCGACAAGATTGACGTCTATGGAATCACAGAAAAAATCCATAACTCCGACTTGCACACCTGCTTCTTGAATCTGCATAGACTTATACATGACGATATCTTTCGACTCTGAAATCAATTTCTGGTTGAATAATGAAAAGATGTCGAACGGGACAAACTGCAGGGGCGTATCTATATATATATGCTATATATGTATAATTGTATATTATATATATATATATGGGTACCCTAATATCTGTAATCGGGGTCATACTACTTCCTCAAAACTAGTATGGATTACTGTGGCTGGTCAACTCTACACGTGTGGGCATCACCGGGGTGTCCATATGGGTGTCTTGGCAAGTCGGCATCCATACCGATCCCATCCGATCCCTGCTACCCTAGATGTGGCTTTCTGTGAAACTCGTGTGTCCCTAATACCCTAAGCCTACCATCATGTTCAATCATTTTTTCCTCATATCATTGGCCATTTTCTGGCCGTGCCCATTTTCGGACACAGCCATGTGTTATACCATGTACCCTGTTATACCCAAAAAGGTGGAACAAGGCCCTGAAGAGCTGGTGACGTGCCTGCAGGGCCTGTCTCAAATCCTCCTCGCAAAGCCTGCGCAGCAAGGCGTCACCAAATGGACACTGGGACACTGTGGAAATCAAAGTTCAACCCTGGCAACGGACAAATCCCAATATTGCCAATATATCAGACTGTTCAGACAACATATCTCTGATTCTCTGGTTCAGCTTGTTCCATTGTCAGGCTGGAGTACCATCACTGCGATGAATCATCGGCTGGATGATATATCAGAAACAATCCTTAAAACCACCAATAAACTGTACATTTGTAGACCCGACTTGCCATGAAAACATATGAAAAACACCTGCAATTTGCACCATAAGAATCACCTTGCTGGGCGACCACCAGGACATACCACTCAGGTCATGAAAAAAAGACTCCAAAAATGACGTGGTTAGCCTCCAATACAAAAAGACGTGGAACACCTACACATTCCTAAATTTCCTAGGGAAACCATATTGGGTTTTCCAGAACTGTTAGTTTACCCCGGGGGAATTCCCTTCTTATGAACTATGAATCAACAGGGGTCACGCTGAGTTCCTCGGCAAACTTCCGCCTATCGCCCGACTGCGCCCGGTTCGGGACATTGCACTCCTTGCACTGCCGATGGAATGAACAGGTCTGGAAATCTCACAAGCATCACGTTGAGAAAATCGGAAATACAAGGTGGGTCCCCATAGCTAGGTAAATAAGTTGGTTTACAACTAGTTTAAGTGTGGTTCATAAATATATCATAATCTATAGGTACTTATAAACGAAAATATACCGGGGACATGCACCTTTTAGGATTCCAGACTTCTTTCAACTCGGCCATGGCAACTTGAGGAAGTCTCAACCGAGTCACCTTGAAGTCGATGAAACTGTAGACTTTGGTCGTTCCGGGAATTTCCCGTGAACCTCACAGTGTGATTTTTGTTGTTTTGAAGCTGATGTATCAAACGGAGAAGGCTCGCAAGGTTGCCAGCAACACATGACTATTGTGATGAAAAAACATGTTTATAGTGATTTTTTTAAAATCCACAGTGATCATACACACCACTATTCTTACACAGTTCTTAACTCTTCTTCATCTCTAGCCGCTAAAAACGTGTGTGAAACAACGACATCCTGTACACATCACAACCCATAACGACCTGCCCAAATGCCCATGAATTTTGATGCCCCCATTGGCTGGATGATCATCATTTTCACCATTAAAGTAGCCAAGCCCAAGTGAACAATCTCGGAAATTGTTCACCAAAAGGACATCAACATTGGCAAGGTCCCACCGCTTACCACACGTTTGTACAACAATGTTCTACAGCCAAGTTGAAGGGTATTGCTTAAAGGACAGTGATGTGCACAGGTATAACATAACCTTCAAAGGAGTTATCGCTATTTGTGAAGGTCCCATCGCTTGCCTGATGTTCGCACAATTTCTGGAAACCAATAACTCTCCTTGCACGTTTCCTAATTGCCCAAGTTTGATGGAAGAAGTGGGCTTGAGTCAAGATGAGGTACCCAACAAAATGGGATGGTAAGTGGTGGTAATACAAAAACAAAATTCCTCGACATCTTTTTAGCTGTCCAATCTTAAAGTCCAATCCTTAAGAGGTATACCCAAAATTCATCCGTACGTGGACATCATGACCAGTTGGTATTTCTTCACTTAACCTGTCAGTCATGGACCGTTTTTATGGTGCTCCAATTGGATCCAGCCAGTTCAGTGTCAAATCCCATCGATCCCGGATCCAGATGGATCCAGCGCATCGCCTTGACATTCTGCATTGACTTTTTCCAACGAGTTCGGTGACATCATCTGGAACAAATCATCGTCACCTACGGCAGTTTTTCGACCATGTTTTGGGAAACCTGGAGCCTCCAAAAACCACCCAACATATGCTAAAATCTAATAGAATTATGAGGTCAAAATGGGTAGAACACCATTTTTTTGGGCTACAAAAGGAGGGTCGAACGGTAGAATAAACTAAGAAACCATCATTTTTTCTGCACCTCAATCTCGAACCATACATTGCGTGCTGCGTGTGGCTGCGATATTAATATGATATATATATAGCGTGTATATATATATAATTATATACATAAGGCTTCATGTACAAGGCGTAGATGCGTGTGTTTATCCCCTATGAAAGCTATCCCTTTGTATATTATATATATATAGCTCTTCACATTTTCTTTACCACATAGGATGAGAATTTTCGATTTTTCGATGTCGGGAATTCCCCCGTAAAGCATGGAGGATTTTTTTCCCCGACTGCACAAAATGCTAAACAAATCGGGGAAAAAAAAACACATATTCTATTGAGCAACTTTTAGCAAACCAATAAGTGTCAAAACACAATGGCTGTCAGCACCAGCTGCAAACCTGAAGAGGTGTGGCCCTTTGTTTCTTCGCCATCAAGCAACCATTCCTGCAAGGAACGATGCGGCATCGTGAAGAATCTGGGATGCTACGTCTTGCTGCCTTCACTGCAGCATTTTCCTTATGTGGTGGAATTACCATAATTGTGTCAGAAGCTTGCTCGCACTTCGTTATCATTATCTACTTGGTGTTCAATCTGAAGATGGCCGAACTGCCAAAATCGCTGGCAGACTCAGCTCAGGAATGCGGGATATGACATCCCGCACCACGTCAATTTCAATAGATAAGTTGGTCTGTACGACAGAATTGAAATGTTCTATCGTCATGCTGCCGGCTCGAAATTGCCATAAATTAGGGGCCCATCCCCATTTACAAGTACCAACATGTACCAAACCCAAATACTGTAACAACATTTCATAACCAGTTCATTCGAACTGGGAGGTCAAAGAATCAGTTCGAACTACAACATGGAGGTTTCCAATCCATGGTACCCCAGTCGTGATTCCATGAAATTCCAATACTTAAAGCCATGGTCATTGACGACTGGATGATTGTGGTTATACCCCATGGATTGACCTTGGTTTATCCATGTTCATCCATTATATTCTCAGCCCAAGGCTTCAGATTTTAGTGCCATCATAGGCCATCGCCCCTATTCATCACAAAAAAAACTGATAGAAATTACCCTCCAGTAAATTAACATAGCCTGCCAGATAGGGGTTGGAAGATTAGTTTCCATTAAAAATTGGTGATTTTCAGGGTCTATGTTTACTTACCAGAGGGTAGATCATCCCATTATTACACCACTATATAGGTATGAAATGCCCATGATCTCCCCCTAATGGGTCCGATGCCCCTATGATCAAACCACCACTGTGCAACCAGGTTTCTCCACTTTTGGAGCCTCTCTGCAACAAATCTGAAGCCTCCAAGGGCCCCTTTGGACTGTTTTGGGCATCAGAAACAGAGTCTTCACAAAAAAAACATAGAAACTGGAAGACTCACCGTATAAAGTACACAAAAACACATGTCTTTGTTGGTGTTCATTACCTGGCAGAGAAGCACGAATCATAGCTCTAAAATCTTCCTGGTTCACCCTGGTCGCTTGGTCGCTGCGGATCATCCTCGAAAATGAACCGTTGCTCTTTCTGAAGCAACGATCATTCGCGGTTCGTTTGAATCACCGGGCATGCAACTGTTTGAATCTGATGGTTTATAAACATGTGAGAAAGCAGTGTTTAAACCCCCCTGAGCAAACCGAAGCGTCATCTCATAAGAGAGAAGGAAATCAAAAATGAAGCGCCTTGCGAAAGACTTGCAGATTTCCTTCAAAAACATCCTCAGCACTGACCTTGGTAAAGTGAGACCAGGACATTCCGATCTGAAAAGAATGGATTTCAACGAAAAGTCATCAAAGGAACTGCTATACTGTATGTTGATGTACTTTGATGTATTTTGGTCCCAAACCAAACAATGGAAACAATTGGAAACGACCACATGTTTTCGCTCAATCCCCTCAAATTCACTTGAAACAGTGTAGGCTGAAGGGTTAATATGTCTGGCGACTACCCAACCTCAGCCAACCAGAAACTTTGGCAACGGGTCATCCTTGGGGTATCTGGGTACCCCAAAAAATATTTGAAAAAATGATGAGTTATCAACATGTCCGCGTTCTACCAGAATGATCCACCGCAAAAAAAATCGATGAGTTCTCATCCCAAATGGCAACTGATGGCAACATATCCCACAGTTTCATGGTCATCATCTTCCCCTTGCTCGACGCTCGACTTGCCAGGAACCGAGGAGGCGACTCTTTCGTGATCCGTCCAGAGCCGGCCGCAGTGAATGCAGCTCTCCTTCTGAAACGAGATCGCAATCCTGCGAGTGTCGTGTCGGGTGACCGTTATTGGAAAGAGTTATTGGAAAAATCACGTGTTAATGTCTCATGTTTATAGCATTTTCATGTAGTTTGCAATACATGTTGTATGATTATACAGGTAGTTTAAACAATTTAAATATGTTTGTCAATGACAAAATATGATCATAAGACATAGGATTTATCATAGGATTCATAGAAATAATTTCGCAACAAGAAGTAGTTGGTGCAAAAAAAATGTGTGCGCAGCGCAGCCGGCATCTGCTGCTGAATAAAGCCAAACCGCTGAGATCTAGAGGTGATACACCAACCATCAACAACCACTATACGGACTATACACTCACTGCTTGACTCATCCGTGACAATCCTTCGGTTCTGACCACAGTAAGTTCGCACCGCTGGTGCATGCAAGCACCTTTTCATCCTGGCCCTACCCCCAACCATCTAAAAACTGCGCTCCTGAAGGGATTCAGCTCAAATCGTTCACCTCGAACGGACGTGACGGGACTGTTGATGACTATAGGTTTCGAAACTGACTGATTGAATGGGGATTGCGACCCACAGGGGTTCACGGTACCAACAAAAAAATGCAAAAACACACTTGAGATCTGATAGACAATCCGGGTTTCCAACATTTCTATCTATTTAGTTTGCTACGATCCAATTCAATACGACGCAATATCATCAATAGAACCCCAAATTTATTAGTTTAAACCCGGATAAATGAACCCTGGTTGATTGTGTTGGGGGCACTTCCCCTCAAAAAAAAATATCCCGGCAAGAGACCCCAACCAGTGTGGGGGCGTGGGAGGATAATGTATGATAATGTATGATAGTGTTGTCGTTGTTGATGGTGATGATGATGATGATGTTGTTGTTGTTGTTGCGGACGATGATGTTGAGGATGATGATGATGATGTTGAGGAGGATGAGAATGAGGATGATAATGCGGAAAATGAATTGGAGGATGATAAGGTGGAGGATGATGATGCTGAGAAGGAGGAAGATGATGATGTTGAGGATGATAATGCTGAGGAGGAAGATGAAAAGGATGATAATGTTGCGGAAGATGGGTGGAGGGTGATGATGTTGCGGAAGATGAGGTGGAGGTTGATGATGTTGAGGATGATGAGGTCAAGGGGGAGGAAGATGATGATGTCGAGAATGATGATGTTGATGAGGAGGAAAATGGCGATGTTGGGGAAGATGATGTTGAGGAGGAGGACCGATGCCCCACACTTTGTGCGAGCCTGCGCAGGCGAAATGCACGTGGACATGTCGCAAGAGCCACTTTGTGCAAGAATTTACAAGTAAAATGCCGCCGACGCGAGCCTGCGAAGTCAAAATGCCTTGGCCGCTTAAAAACAATTTTGCGCGAGAATTTACAAGCAAAACGCCGCAGACCAAGACCGGGGACCACAGTTTGTGCGAGCCTGCGAAGTCAAAATGCACTTGATTGGCCGTTTCACCCATTTCGCACGAGAATTTACAAGTAAAATGCCGCAGGCCAAGACCGGTGACAACACTTTGCGCGAGCCTGCGCAGTCCAAATGCACTTGGACATTGCACAATCAGCACTTTATGCGAGAATTTACAAGTAAAATGCCGCAGACCAAGACCGGGGACCGCACCGGGGACCACACTTTGCGCGAGCCTGCGCAGTCGAAATGCGCTTGGATTGACAGATAAAATGCCGCAGACCATCTGGAGCACCCTGATCAAGCACCGGCCTTTACATCGCCGTAAGAACCCCTCAGTGTGGACACGCTGTTTAGGGAGCAAGAACAAAAGAGAGATGGACCAGGGGAAAACGAACCGTTGTGGACCGACAAAGTTAGGTGTAGATAATGTTTTAGCACTTGTTTTGTTTTTAAACCATAAAATCATCTTTCAAGCTTGGACATCAATTAATTTGATCCATACCCAAATAATCCAAACATAGGTTTCCTAAAATAGGGGTACCCCCAGATCTCATCCATTTTCAGAAAATCGGAGTTTTCATCAAAAAAACATCCAGCTAATGGGGGCTCCAAGTGGCAAGGGTCGGTTCCAAAGGAGCTTTGCCGCGATCGGGGAGAAGACTCCGCCATGGCGCCCCACTTTGAGGACGACTGAAAGGTGGGCTCCTGGCTTTGGAGTCCTTAGGTTTGACCTTTGTTCTAAGGTATGGGTTGGGTTCAGTTGAGTTCCATCCTTTTTGATTTGAAGGAGAACAGCTACCATAAACCCCGGTGGAGATGTGAAGTAGAGGGAGTCAGGGGGAGATATGTTTCACAACAGTTCCAGTTGTGTTCCCGGCAGTTTCTTGGAGATTTTCGGTGCTTGTGAGGGCAATCACTTCAATCACCATGAGTCAAAACTTATAACATTTCACTGGTATTGCTGAAGATCGGGAACTACACATGTCATGATATACAGGCCGGGGATTGAAGTGCTGGCCCTGCCTTTCCAGCTTGAAAGGACATCAAGATACATGTGATAGATACGCAGTCCACCTCTTTCAAATGCGTTCAGCACTATGATTTTTTATCGTTGTCGAGTTGTCGACGTGTTGCTCACTGCGCTAACAAAACTCGGAAAGGTGACAGCCTTTTTATCGCTCGCTCACTGCAAGGCTCACTACTCCATCAAAGGAACAGCTTTGAGGTTGGAAACAATGTATCAAAAAAATTGCCCATCAAACACACGGATGCAATCATCCATCATTCCGACACGCGAAAATCATCAAACACCCGCTTGTGGACACAGAAAGGTGCTAGGTACAGTGGGGCTTGCAAGTTTCACCTTGTGTCTTCCACAAACTCGCAATTCTGAAACAAATTTCATTGGCACCTTGATGTTTTAAGGGTTCAAATTCAAAGCGCGAGGCCGCCTTGATCTCTAGCACAAGTCATTGTCTGGCAGCTTCGGCCACAATTGCCTGCGAAAATTTGACTGCTTCCGAAACCTCACAGTGGAGCAGTTTGACTTGCAGGCCATTCCAGTTTGACGTCAATTTCCTATCTGGCACTTTCAGCAAGGGAACTGCAACAAGATCGTCTTTGCCGCGAAGAAAAGACTTGTTTTGACACCTCACGCTGCTTGACTCAGACAGCTGAGTCGCAGCCGCAAGATTCAACACTGGCCACGGCAGCCATTGATGGCATAAAACTGCGGCCCCGCCCAAAAAGTCCGGGGCGCACTTCTTCCGAACATGCAACCCGATTTGTTTGGTTTATCTGTCGGGATTTAAAACTCAGCATTGCCTTTGCTTCCGGTGCATTTCAACTCACAACACCGTGCCTCAACATGTGGGTTTGTCTCAAAAGGGGAATACCCACAACCAGTTTGTTTGGAAAAAAGATGCTAAACCACAACATGTTTGGGCTGAACCTTTTGAGACAACCCCAGGTCATTGTCCACCAACTTGACATTTCTCTTGATTGACACAGCGCAAGGCCTTCACACTCCGGCAGCAAATCCCACAGACACCTATGGTAGAAAGCAGGGCAAACCAAAGCGCATCCCTGCAATCCACAGCCCTACCAGAAAATCAAAATTTGTGCGCCTACGAAAGACAGTTACACCTACCGCAAAAGTCTATATTTCAGCGCTTGATTGTCTTGGGCTCGCCCATTTGGTCTGCAGATGCGCTTTCTACAAGAAAGGAACATCTTCCCAACTTGCACATGTGCTTTCTACAAGCTATATGTCCAGCCAAGATGTAATGATGAAATATAGGCGCTTTTACACATTCCCCGACGATAGTTTGACACCATCGAAACTGCAACAGCCCATGGCTTGCCCTCTGCCCCAACTCGACAACGTATCATCTGAAGCAGTAAGATGCTTTCCCTTCTGCGCAGCAAGATCATTGCCCCTGGCACGTACTTCACACAGTATCAAGTATGCTGGTATCGCAAGTGCCAAATTTTATTCCAAAGACTGTCACTCACAGGAGCCGTTCGAGAAGGTTTCTCCTCCTGCAAATTGGGGTTGGCCATGCCTGGCTATCAAAGCCGCACTGACCTGGTTTGGTTGTGAAATTTGAAGCGCTATAGCTCTTTTCTGCCAAGACAAAGTGTCACTTGTTGCGCAAATGTTTTGGCCGTGCAGCACTTCTTCAACACTCTGACCAAATTTGTCTTGCGCCCTTGATAACCTTCCACTTGCGAGAGCAGCATGTGTTTGCCTGCTACACATGCAGCCTGGTGCTGCATATGACAAAGCGAAGCTTCACCGCGCATGAATTGTTTAAAGAGGCTGTTCGCTTCACATGCACAGCAGCCTTGTCTAGCCAAGAAATGACACTCTTTCCTGGCTTAGCTCTGGAGCTTTGCCACTACATGGCATGGCATGAAATGATATAGAAGAGCCCCGGCCCAAGATCAAGATGTACCCCTTCGGGGCAAATATGTTGGAAGGGATCCGGAACCTTCTGGCCGCAGTACAATTTATCTTCTATGGCAATGGGCTGTCGAAAAAAATGTTTTGCACACTTGCAAGAGCAGCATTTGCTTTCTTGCGTGTGTCAATTTGACGATTCCCCTACTCATTCCACATCCCTTGCGGGAAGAGTTGAAACAGGGGCAGGCCTCAGCAAAGCATATACCCAAACAGTCGATCATCCTAGGCTAAGTGACATCTTACATTAGAAAACCGAGCCATCCTGCATTTACGGCTGATCAGGGCCTTAACTTCTGGAATGCCACCAAAAAACCAGAGTATGCAAACCAAGTTTCCTGAGCCTCCGCCCCGCTCCCCCAAACAAATATTGGGTCCGGAATGCTTGCTTGTTAAATGTAATTCAGGAAATTTGGCTTTTCCCACGAACCAAAATGAAAATCGAGAAAGCGGTATAACCGGAACTGAAGGGCCCTCCCGTTGTTCGTTGCGAAGCTCTTGCGCACTTTCAACCTTGAATGTGGTTTAACATGTAAAGGGCCGTGGGTTGCGAAACTTCTGACTGTTGAGAGCACTTCGGCTATAGAGCTCTTGAGTCTTACACGCGCGCGCGTGAACTTAAAAGCGTTGCGGCATCAGCCCTGAAAACTGCCCTGGTTTCTGGTTCCCAGTGGATCAACAAACCATGCATAAAATGCGCAGCTGGCCAAACAAGGACGGACAACGCAGGACTTTTTTCTAGATCACCCTCTGGGTTCTAGATATGCAGCTTGAAACAAAAATATCTGTCTAGCTCTTGCTACTTGGGGTTAGCTTGTATGAATGCCATTTTGCAAAGCCCAAACTTCCTTCAGTCGCAGAAAACAATTTGGTCAGGGCGGAAGACATCTTCGAAACTAACATTGCAACATCCTACCGTCGCATCCTTTCGAGGCTCTTGCTGGCAGCGGTACCCTCGGCAAAAACGTGATAAAAACATAATACGTCCTCATGGACCGTTCGTGAAGCGTGTTCCTCCGCTGCCAGAAAAAAATATTGCACAATTGCATGAGGCGCCAGCGGTGTCTTTTGCGCGCTGTTTCTCCGAATGGCATCGTTGGATGTCTTTTGGAGAAAACAATGCCATTTGCCCTCCGTTTCATGGTATTTCTTCGTTGTTCTTTCCGTTTTGCGCCGGAATTCTCTCCATCCGGCGCCGTTTTTTCACGCGACGACATTCTTCCTAAAAGTTTGTTTGGAGAAAATGGTGTGCAACTTTCGCCGTTGGAGCCTCATGGTACATGCCGGCCCTGGAGGCATGGACTCTCAATATAGCGAAAGCGGACCCAATGATCGGCCCAGCATGGTTTGAGCTGGAGGCAGTGACACGCGCAGCCCGGTAATTATCTTGCAGCATGCCGTGGCACAAGGGCCAAACAGTGGAGTTCTGCAACGCAGGAAAGGTCGTGGCACAAGTATCTGAGCAAAAGACTTCACCCGCCTTGGATCTTCCCCAAGGCCCCTGTTTCTTCTTGAGCCTTTCCAACTGCAACCCAGGCTAGCTCGTAATTTGTCAGCTTCAACCTGCAACTCTGACTTCAACTCAAAAAGAAAGCACCGGCGCGCTTCGGGACTCATTTGCTCTTGGGTTCAAACTCTTGTGGAACATGCTTTCCATATTTGCATGGCCAACCTCTTCTGCAGAACTTCTCAACGTATGCAGCTAGATTTGTCCCCGAATGAATGAATCTAACAGCCGTGACGACGGCGTCCACCAGCAACAATAATGGTCCCCATCCGAATCATGCTCCGATTTGAATTCATACATGTTATGGTGAACAAAAGCATCTGCGCAGTGTCCAATCCGCTCAAGATCGCTTGCGCCCTGGCTTAAGCCGTGCTTAGGCGACGAAAAGGTTTCACATTCATCACGCGACCAGCTTACACGGCATTTATGCCAGCATTTGTGCGCATCCCGGCTTCATATAACCACAACGTACTTTTCAATGGGTCTCGTTGGTGCATGTTGTGTCTCAACCAAAAATCTTCAGCTCCGGCGATTTTGAATCTCTTCAACGTTTTTGAATACATCCGGCAATTTCACAACCTTCCGCCGCCAATGCGACAAGAATTGGCCTCTAGAAGAAATGTCTGCCAAATTTGATATGTATATAATTATGGCAGCCTATAAATAGCAAACAGGAGATTTGGGATTACCTCGATATCTGCATTAACACGGCTCGGTCCACTTGGCCAAGTGATCACTTGATCATGGTGTGACAGGGAAGCTATACTGGCATACTGGCGAATTGACCGGTTCCAACGCAAAGCTCTGCAAAGCCCTTTTTCTGCAATCAGAATTGCTCTATCGCGTTGAGAAGGCGTTCAGATGTCTATAGGTCGAGTCTAGGAAAGCATCATCGGAACCATGCGGGGCCCGAGTGAGCAAGCCTTGCACAGCCCCTCTCCGTCCCTGACAAATGGGCTTACGGGCCTGCAGCATGCACCCAAAAAATACGTTACTGTCACACATGGCATCCTGAAAGCTGGCCGCGGCACTTTTCAACAAGCACGTCAAGTCTGGCATGCCAATGCTCATAGAACATGTTTTGCGTTTGCAGAATAGAAGCTTCTCATATCCATGAACAAGTTGATGAATATTTGCCACAGGACCGTATGCGCTCGGGTACTTTTTGCAATTTTCACCCGAAATTAATGATCGACAATT